GGTCCCGTAAACGTCGCCTGTGCCGCAATCCTTGTCCCCTTCCCTCTTCCCCCCCCCCCCCCCCCCCACCAGATTTCCCGACCCTTCTTTTTCGACGGCCGACTCGCTATGCGCACACCTTTGCCCTCCACTCCGTCCCGCTCCTCGTTACGCCCCTCCCTCGTCAACCCCCGCAGCAGCCTCTGCATGCTCTGGTACCGTAGAGAGGCGGAGAGCGAAAGAGAGCAGAGAGACACAGAGAGAGACGTGAAAGAGCCACCACACCTCCCCTTGATCGATGATCTTTCCCATTGGCCGTGGCCTCGGCCGGCTTCTCGACAACGGTCATGCGTTCATCCGTGGAGTCGACGCAGAGCTAATGTCGCAAAGGCCAATGAGCAGCACCCAGATCTCGCAGCCGAGATGTCCTCTCACTCCTTGATTTTTCTTCTTCTCCGAACTTCTGTCTGCCGCCGTGTCAAGGGCTTGCAATCCGCCTGGCCGTCTCGCACTTGTGGGCTTTCAGGATGGGATAGGATGGGTTGAGGTTGAGCAGTCGGGATTGTTGCTGTTCACTCTCGTCCCGTCCTGTCCTGTGCCGTGGCCATGCTGAGCCTGCTGCGGTGCTCCAGCTCGGTTCTATTCTCTCTCTCTCTCTCTCTCTCGATGTCAGATCCATATTATTATTATTTTTGGGCCGGTCACCTCGGTCGTCCCTATGCCTGTGCCTGAGCCTACCTTATGCCTGCACCTGTTCCTGTACCTGTTCCTGGCCTCTCCATCTCTGTTTTCCCTTGCGGCCGCCCAATACCAAGGGAAACAGGCCAGAAGGGGGCCCCGTTCGACCCTGTCTCATTCTCTCAAAACCGTCGACCCAGCTCTGCACTGATTCAGGTGTCAACATCAGCCTGCCTATTCAGGTCTCTGCAGACAAGGTGACCCCGTGTCAGGACGGCTCGTCGCTCAGCTGCGAAAAGATCTGTCATCTCAATCTGGGAATCTTCCAACACGGACCAGGTCGCGCCATACTGGGCTGGATGGGCTGGTTGAAGGTTCCATGACATTCATGGCGACGCACGGCATTAGCCATTCAGCCGAAAATCTTAAGGCCATGGGCCTCAGTGATATAGCTGCTACTATCGTTCCGTCCATCTGTCACTCGCTTTTAGCGATTCCCCAGGCCATGCCCAGGTTTCTCGAACAGGGTGGAGATGGAGAGGAGGGGAGGGGACGGCAGGGGACGGTACAGCGGTTGTGAGTGTGAGTGAGAGTGAGAGCGTGAGTGAGTGTGTACAGAAATATCCACACCCATACACATTACACGCACAGATGCTGGCTGCTGGCCCAGTTGTATGTGTGGCTCAGCAGCCAGCAGAACCGAGCCAGCACCAGCAACCGGCGACCAGCAACATCGCAAATGTTCACCAGCTGCCACCCGCGTCTGCTCACCTCACCTCACAACGCTCACCCTCGCGCGCGCTCCCCGACTGTTCCTCCTACCAATCCAACATGAACCATATCCATGCTGGGGGGCCTGGCAGGCCTGGCAGCAGGCCAAACACGATGCTCATGGCATGCCTACCCGCCTGGCATGGCATGGCATGGCATGGTAATGGTATGGCACATGAGCTGCTGCTGCGGCTTTTCTCTCGAATCGACGAGCCTTAAAACAGTGCATCGGGTCTCCTTTCGAGGCCATCCCCACTGCTACGGTACCGTACCTCTGTTCCCTCTCCTCGAACCTCCCCCCCTCCCTCCCCCCTTGCTCGACGGGGACCAAGGACACCACTGCTCAGGTACCAGGTACCGTCGACCCTCGTTCGAGCAGGCGTTATCCCGTCGTGGCCGCTGCCCGTGCTCGTGCTGTGCTTGCCTGCCTTGCCTTGCTCTTGCTCTTGTCCGGATCCAGCCTCGACATTTCTCCGTGTGGATGGCCGTACCCTTCGGTATTAATTCCACCTCTGTCATACTACAGAGCAAGGGTTTCCTGACAAGACGGCCCTGCTACGGCCACGGGTATCCTTCATACTTGCCATACAGAAACGGGGCCTGTCAGTTCCAGGCCTGAGAACGCCTCCCAGTCGATCGACCCCGCCATACAATCATTTGGCACACCCTCAAATTTATACAATATATGATCGATCCTACCTCGTGGGACCTGGGGTAGCCAAGTCCTCTTTCCCTTTTTCATCATCTTCTCTTCCTTTTCTCTAAACGACTTGACGCATCAACACATCATTCTCTCTCTCTTTTGATTAAATTGCTTCTGGGCCCGTCTTGGATTTCATCTACAACCTGGACACCTAGACCCTACGACGTCAATTTGAGCTATCCGTTGCCCGACCCATCGGTTTGCTCAAGCTATCAACCTACCTACCTACCTTTGCTTTGAGCTTTCAAGATTGCCACCCGAGGCTATTCTTGTCATCCATCTCCAACCTCGTCTCGCTCCACGAACGACATCAGAAGCTCCTTCACGGCCACTTCTGATATTGCAGAGAAGAACCTGTTTGGAACACGTTCTCGCGGTACTGTGATGCGCCATCATCTCTCTTGAATTCGGACATCGAACCTTGGGACCACCACTCGTTCAACACCGCTCTCTTCACAACGCTCCTTCACCACGCCTACTCCGGCCCCAACGCATCATACAGAAGACGCTTCTTAGATCGTCTCTGTAACTTCATCCAGCTAGAAAGCAGCCCCAGAACTCTCAACCTCTCAACAACCCGTCCCAATGCTCGTTACCAGGCAGTTCGACACCACCGAGCAGAGCCACTGGTCTTACAGCAAGTTTGAGACCTCCCTTCACAAGCCCCCTACTACACCTCCACGCATGTCGAACCAGTTCGAAGCCCCGTTGCCGACGCCTCCCGAGTGGCAGGGCCAGCAGTACTCGTACTTGCCGGCCCCGGAGAACAACGTCTTCTCTCAGGGATACCAGGCTGGCAATGACGCCTCGGAACCTCGCACTTCGGCCAGCGCTCCCACTCAAGTACACATCCAGACCAAGCAAGAACCCAACACCGCGACTGAGAACCGCGGAACCGCAGACCCCCTTGGCCTTCGACAGGTCAAGCAACCCACTCCGGAAGACGAGCCTGAAGTACAGCAGCAGCAGCAAACACAAGGACAGGACCAAAGGCAGGAGAGTGTAGAGAAGATGGCAGACTCAGCGCCCCAGGACAGCATGGCCTCGGTGGAGACACAGAGTGTATCAATGGCATCGGCTCCTTCATCGACGGCAGGCGATGTGCCCTCGGTTCAGATCGACAACGACGATGCTTCCTTGAGCAAGGATGAGGACGATGATGTCCTCGACGATGATGATATGCTTGATGATGGAGACGGTACACCCCAGACTGCCGCAGAGCGGACAGCCGCCCGCAGGAAGATGAAGCGCTTCCGGTGAGTAGCCTGGATGTTAGTTTGTGTGACTTGTAAGCTGACCAACGATAGTCTCACACACCAGCAAACACGATTCCTCATGAGCGAGTTCGCCAAGCAACCACACCCCGATGCCGCCCACAGAGAACGCTTGTCTAGGGAAATTCCAGGCCTGAGCCCTCGCCAAGTCCAAGTTTGGTTCCAGAACCGGTGAGTCCCAGATCACAACGAAGACGATAAAGGCAGCATACTGATGTAAGCAATTCAGCCGTGCCAAGATCAAGCGTCTCACAGCCGACGACCGTGACCGTATGATCAAGATGCGCGCTGTCCCTGACGACTTCGACAACGTTCAAGCTCTCCACTCTCCCTACGGCGCTGTCCACGGCCTCGGAACTCCTTTGGCCTCACCCATGGGCTTCGGAACACAGGCCTACGCCGACCACATGATTCGACCCCTGATGGTGGATGTGCGAAGGGCTGAGGGCGGCGAGGATCACATCTCTACCTCGGGAATGAGCCCGGGCTTCGGAGGCATGGCTTACACCCCGCCGGCAACCATGAGCAGCCCCGATATCCTCTCTCCCATGACCCCCAACTCAACGGGCGACCACCGTTACGGCTACGGCAGCCACCTCTCTCCCATGGGCCCCGGTCCTCGCACCTCGAACCCCTTTGCGCGCCAGGGCGCCATGGAAAACTCGATGTCGATGCACCGAGGCCAGCCTGCGCGACCTCTCCAGCCCCTCCAGCTCCGCGAGACCATGTCCAGGTCGAGATCAGAGAACATCCAGTCTCCCTTGAGGTCTAGCATGTCCTGGAAGGGCGACTCGATCGACTACAACTCGTACCACCACGGCGCCGGCCCCAGCCCTCAGCTGAGCGGAAGACAGCAGTCCGTCTACCAGCCGGATGGCATGAGCGCCCCTTCAAGCAGCGGCCTCCCCTACGAGTCTGGCTCATACTCCGGCAACTCGGTTCACTCCCCTCCCGGCATGAACTACTCAAACTTCCAGTCCCAGCCCAACCGTCTCCGAACTCGCGCATCTTCCGGAGCTGTCCCCCTTGGCCTCGACCTCCGCAACCAATACCGCTCTGTCGGCTCGGTCCCTCCCCCAGGCCACGCCTCTACCCCTCGTGCGACCTCCGCCCAATTCCCCACGTCGGGCCCTTACACCTCCTCCTTCCCCTCAGCGCCCCTTACCGCCCCCGTCGACTTCTCCCTCCCCCGCACCCCCGGTCCCCGACCTGGCGGCGTCCAGGACTACTCCATGCCTCAGATGAGCGCCCCCATCGCCGCTCCCAACGACTTCTCCCAGGCCTTCCACGCCAGCATGAGCACTTCCAACGCGAGGACTCCCATGCGCGACTCCTTCGGCGGCGCCGGCGGTCCCATGCCTCCTCACGCGGAAAGCCAGCAGCACCAGCAAAGAGGCGAAGAGTACGGACAGGACTACGGGCTCAAGAGGAAACGGAGCTTCAGCGGAGCGTCAACAACCGGTCCTGCGCCTGCATACGGCAGCACGGCGTAAATACACGACCGGCTCTTTTCATTTACATCTTTTTTCTTTTTGGAAGACAATATGGTCGGAAAGATACCCCCAGGGAAAGGAAGGGAGGAAAAAACAAAGGAATACGCAACATCGACATCGACAACATTTTGGCATCTTGATTTTTTGGTTTAAGGGTCGGGGAAATCTGCTTTTAGAAAAGGCGAGCGCGCTGCTCAACGACACGACTCTCTGCGTTGTTTTCAAGGGGTGGCCGGGCCGGCTGGTTGATTTCCATCGTTTTTGCTGTTCATTTTCTTCTTGTTCCATCATGTGCCGACGACAAACAAACCTCCTGTCTCTTCTCTTCAAAAAGGCTATGCACATACTTTTACCATTCGCTTCATATATTCATGGACAAAAAAAACCAAATACTTTTCAAACAAAATGTTCTCACTTTACTTTCCGCTTTTGCTCTCTTCCTTTCTCTATCTCTCTTCTCGTGTTTCCGCGCCTTGTTTGGGACTGCGTTCTTGCTTCGGAAATACCCCCATCTTTCTCACTTCTTGTGTGTATTATTTAAGAAAACAGCTTTTTGATGTGTATTTAGCAAACTGGTTTTGTTTATTTTTTGTGCTTTGGCAGGAACAATTTTGAGATTTCGTTTTTAGTATACAACGTATACCATTCCCATTCTTCCAAAGAGATATTTTGCCGGTGCAAACACCCAACTCCCCTCTTCCCGTGCTGTGTTCTGTGATACTATGTTAAACCGGATATTTCCCCTCTTCTACAGACTACCTCGGCGCGGCTCGCTTGGGATGTGGACAGACCTGAAGTCGTGGGACCGGAGGAATGGATGGCGTCACGATGAGAGGGGGGGTTCGAAAAGAAACCATGCGAAACGGAAGGGAGCGCAGTTGGCTCGGTTGGGCATCAACACACACGATGTTGCTATCGCGGAATTTTTGTGCATGGAATCGCTTATGCAACTACGAGACGCGAGGTTCTGGAGACGCAGCCGCGTGGGAGACAGAGAGACATTTGGCCATCGTCACGGTGGCGAGGAACGAGCTAGCTAGCATGGAAGAACGAAAAGAACGCATACCCCATCGCGAATCACAAAAACCCTCATGCAGCACGTCCGTCAGCGTGTCTCGGAACGACTTGGAATCCCTACCCATGGCCCTGGAGCGTCGCCTGGCCAGGTTTTCGTTGTGATGAAGAGAGACAAAGCTGCTGCGGCGGCGGCTACTGTGGGATTCGCCTCCTCCGCGACCCCGGATCCCCCCCGGTCCATCGATGGCACCGCGGATTGTGGGGACCAGCCCGAATCGTCCATGTCCTGCGACGTGGTTGGTCCGTTGCGTCGAGTGTTCGGCATCGCCTCGCCGGCATCATCTCGGCCGCCCCAGCCGGCCGGGGGGGAATAAGCCCAGACAACGGGAGAAAAGGTGAGGGATTTCTAGGTCGAAAAGAAAAAAGAAAGGAAAGGAACTGCCAAGAGGGTTCACCCGCTTGCTTGTTCTGGATCTCCCTGACGCGATTGGGTGCGATAGCGCCCCTGGGAACTGCAGACGTGCGTGGCTGCCATGTGGTCGTCTTGAAAGCCCTCCTGATGGGACGCGGGGTTGACGGTGGTATCGTACGCCTTGCGGTTGAGCCTAGGCTATTCTCTTCGCTGTCGCGCTGATCCATAATCCCACGACGCCGCAAGTCACAGTACCGTGATCCCTCTGCATAGGCAAAAAGCAACTCGAGCCTGATGTCGATTCGCCTGGGAATATTCGGTGATGACACTCATCCATCCTGATGACGATGGTTCGTTCTGCTCGATGGACCTTTACCAGACTGCCGAGGACCTTTTGAACGGTCACGTCTGGGTTCCAGATACCGACTGCGGACGGTTCTGACGGAAGTCATTCCAGGTTTCCTTTTTGATCGTACTGCATTGTGCCTCTCGGCTACCAGCGAATGTCTTGCAATGAGACTAGAAGTCGACCCGACGAAGCGGCAAAAAGCGAGGCCAGCCACATGATAACGGCAGTCAGGATGACGGCCAAAACAAGCACACCCATGGTCGCGTCGAGTTGTCGGCCGAAGCTGTTTCTCCGTGGTTGCGACAGGAGCAACCACTGTTGCGCAGATTCCTTTCGATCCACCAACCATGCATGATCTGCACAACTACCAGAGTGACTGACACCTGCCGAACAGCATCCGTAGCTGGTGGCTCGACGGGTCGCATGGGCCAGATTTTCCAGGTCCGATTGGGAAACCTCGGAGGCTGTCAACTCATCGAGCTGCCCGGCCACGGCAGAGCATGCAGTACTGGGGCCTGCACTGCACGTTTCGAGTTGTATGGCTCTGTTCGTCAAATACGCACACCACCGTACCGTAGCTTGGGAAAGTTGAGTCGGTCTCGGTTTGGTAACACGAAGACATGGGATCAGTCAGGGTCCGGGTCTCTGTAATCCCCTTCAACACCTGGGATCTCGCCAGGTAATATTGGCCAAGTGTATAATGACAGCCACAGCAGTCAGATAGAGACATTCTGCGGCAGCCACAGTTGGGCATGGGCCGGAAGTTGCACTTTGTTCTGGGAACACGACATTGCGGATGTGCGTACGAACATTGCCTACCGTGTCTGCCACGATAAATCGAGCAACATCTCCGGTTGCAGGCTTTCCGTGTGACCAAGAACCTGAGTTTCTCTGCATGGCCGAGAATCTCGAAGATTGTACTCCTCGCACCCTCTTTATCGGCCTTTGTGCGGCACCCCAATGACGGATGATACTATATTCTTGGGTGGAAGCGCGTAGGAAATCGAGAACACGCCCCGTCCCAGCCTCGTGTCACCCACCACAAACCCTCAGACAGTAGTCGAGGCTTACAACCCCCGGATTTGCTCAATCAAGAGGGGCCAGCCGACTGTCATCCATGCGGGCTGGCCAGATCAGCAAACTAATGCGAGGCACTTCTGAAAATATGGTTATTGTCAGCGGCGGGGCTGGTGTGACTGCAGAGCGTCGATCAAGGTTCGATGAAGGACAAACTTACCGGCGTGCCACAAAAGAGATGGTGGGCGAGAAGTGCGTCAGGCACGGCTTCCTGCGTCAACATTGCCATCGTCGAAGTACAATGATACCACCATCGCCAGCTGAACCAAGGTAGTTAGTTCCCGAGGGGTCAGATCGGGGGAGGATTCTCGAGCTCGACGCTTGGCTCGATGCGTAGTCGGAAGCAGACGGCCGACGGCAGAGACCGCAAGTGTGATAGGTGGAGCCAGTACGGATGCTTGGATGTCAAGCAAAATGGTTGCCTCCAGCCCTGGACAAGCATTCCGTGTTGGATGCGGGGTACAGCGACGATGGAAAATGCAGTTCTTCAAGGGAACGCCGATCCGGGGAACGTTTGATGGTCAATGGGCGGTCTGTACGAATGAGCGAGGTCTCGTCGACAGCCCAGGTATGATCGTGAATAGTTGGTGGGGTGACTTCTGGCGGAGGTGTTGCCGATGAGCCTGACGAGGGCATCACTAGCTCCTCATCTCCAGGCCGCTGACATGGCGAGAGGAAGCTGATCCAATCGCGGGGCGAGCTCCATATTGCAAGCTGCCGTCGCCCGGGGTACCACTGGCATCTGTCTAGGGGTCGAGCCGCTCGAGCATCAAGTATGGCTCTCCTGTACCGTGGGAAAAATCCGGCTGCTGGTGAATCTCTCCGAGATGCGATGCTTCTTTTGCTCCGAATGCGACATCGAGAAGGACCGATATTATCCAGCTGACGGGAAGGGCAGCGGACACGGCTGCTTCGGAACAAGACCTTATGTGCCTGGCTGCGCCAGTTTGTACATCGCCGTCGTCAATATGGTGTTGTGGAGTGCGTCCTGACAGTGTATTCTCCGATCATTAAGTGAAATTAAATGAATCCGGGGAAGTTGGAAGATGGATGTCTGGGGGAAAATGAAGTCGCCACTGCGTTGGTTGGGGAAGTAGAAGTGCCCCAAGCGCACTGACCTTCGCCGCAATGCATGCTTAATTTCAACGTCTCGCTTCACGATCTCATATTTCCTTGTGTACCTTCCTTTACCTTACTTACCTAGTAGTCTGCCTGGTTCAACTCAATGATTGATCAAACTACATCAAGTTCGAGTAGTCTTCTCGACGATGTATGTTTATCGGGGTTTAGGCGCGTAATACTAATCTTGCCTAGAGCTAGGTGGTAAAGTAAGAAATTCTTTCACTGGTCGTTATGAGTGTGATGTTGATATAAATTCTCGGACACGATTTGGTTTGCATTTCTGAAACAGCGTGTTGTGGTGATATTCTGAGAAACCTCACTCTCATATCAGGCATCGCACAACCTTCGAAAGATGTATAGACCTTGTCAGTGAGATTTTCGAAGGGTTCCATGAATCAATGTTCATGGATCGACAGAGCTCCACACACACACGTATTTTCCGAGAATGACTTTAGAGGTGCTGAAACCGGCCACAAAAATATGACATAGTCGCTAACGGGCTGAGCTTGCCCCGAAGGCTCGGAGCAACTCTCACATCATAACGCCCAGACAGGCCACAACGTAGGAAGAAGAGACGTCTCAGGGACTTTGGACTTTCAACGAGCTGCCACGATGATCCTCAGGCCTTTCCCCCCGAACGGACTATAAGGCCTGAGTTCCTCCCGGCCGTGGGCCCTAGAAAGCCACAAGGGGTTTTGATGTTGGAAGAGCGTTGGGAACATCTTGAACGTCTAAACTTGGGGCAACGGCAAATGTTCTGGAATATACGCATCGAAGGAGTCAATCAAATGTGGTTGGGGAGTCATTAGCGTTCGGGTGTAGGGTCAGGGCGAGAGATGAGACTTGAGCCGCACGCTTCCTCATTGTCTGAGTGAGGTGAATAATGTGTTGATGGTAGACGTCGATACCGATTCCAGGTGAGTTCATTCAAACCGTTTATCTCAGTGTTCATGTAATCATTGCAGCAAAGCTGTCGGACCTCGCCTGGCGTCTTCAAGGGGTGGGCTTCACCATAAGGTATGGGATGGGCACTGTGGTCGTTGTCGGCTGCATTGAATCTTTGGAGTGAGTAGAATGGGTTTCACAACATCTAACCAGTTGCCCGACTTCAGGGATTAGAAACTCGTTGTCAATATATTTCAAGCAAAGTACAACTCAAATGAGGCTACAACTCATCGTCTGCTTGAAACAAGCACGGCAGACGGAGCTTTCAAGTTGTGTTGTGATGCCATCTGAGTCAACTCGACCTCTGCTGTTGGAGTTTTGCTGCTGCAACATACTAGCTATGTACGGACTCACTTCCGAGAGTCGCCCATCTTAGGCAGTCGTCGATTCACTCTCTTTCTTTTTCAGAGGCTTCCGCGCGTAGATTGAATAACTAGGATAGTCAGAGAAACACATCGGAGAGGGGCAGAGGGACGGGGAAAGCTGTCGACGTAGAGGGAAAGAAGGGGGCGAGGATGTTGACTAACACATTGAAGTAGGCATGGATGTTCCTGTTGCCGAGGTCCTTACGAGTCTCCATCGCAAGGACGTGAACCTCCGCCTTTTCCCAGTCGAAGGCCCGCGTCAGAGGAGCCATAAGCAGCCCGTCCAGATTAGGGGCCAAGTTGTCGTAGTTCCACGAGCCGAGCAGCCTATGTTTTGGGTCTTTCGCCCAGCCGTTTGTCGGCCATTTGAACGGCTTGACGTGTACATCTTCGAACCCGACTTCCTCGATCATGTTCTTAAAACCGTCGGCCGTCTCAAAGGCAACCCCCATCTTGGCGAGGGCATCACAAAATAAGCGGAACGCCTTCATGAGACTAGTGTCCTCCGTGAGTGTGTCATCGTCCGCCACCGGGAGGATGTCGAGATCGCTGAGCTCAATGTAACCGCCGGGGCTCAGGTTACTATTGATGGGTATGATCAGTGGCGCAATGGGAAACGTAATCTCGTGGGGATGGCTCACTCGAAGCATCTCTGGAAGAACGTCTTCCAGTCGCGGATGCTGCCCTTCATCATCCGAACGTGGATGTAGTCGAAAGGCTCCGAGAAGGTCCACGGCTCCTCGATATCGTCGATTTCGAAGCGAACGTTTGGCGGGACGCTAAAAAAAGACTACATCAGAAACATTCTCCACGCAATAATCATGGCTGTCTGAATTGGCCCCTACAAGGTAGATTGCGTAGCCGACAAGTCGACACCAATGATCTGGCGAAATTGTCAGTATCGCTTGTAGCGAGGCTCAGAGCAAGGACGCACTTCCGCCCCGGGATGTTCGTCACCAAAGTCCATGGCCCAGATTCCCGTGCCTGTGCCGACGTCGAGGACTCGGCCGACCTCGGCATCTGGCTGGTTGGGCGGCGCGGTTCCCAGCCGATCGTCGAGGCTGAGCAGGAACTGGTTGTGCATCAAATCTAACGGCTGTGATTAACGAGCAATCCGACGACGATCGAGGTCATTGCTGCGGAGCATACCAAGTCTGTCCTTCTCTCTGTCGTCGTTGGGCGCGAAATACTCTGCGATGATTTAGTCTTTTGGTATTTGCTTCGCCCTGGCAATTTACATACTTCCATCCTTGTACTTGTGATAAGTCCGTCCATTTTCAATGCGATAGTCGAGAACTGAGCTGGAGACACTCGCAGTCGACGATGCCAAGCTCTCCTGGCGACCTCTTCATTAGTAACGGCTCAATATGTCACACATACACTGTGTGCATTCGTTAGGATTTAAGCTGCACTCACGCCGCTCACCGACGCCCCATCATCGGTCGTCTATCTTCCCTATTAGCGAATGAGCTTACTGCGACGGCCCCAAAAAGATCCTGACCTCGTCGGCCGCAAGGACGTTGCGGTTGTCAATCGCCGCGGCGGCGGAAGCAGTGGGGTTATCGGCGATCATTTTGAAGTTGCGACGGGATTCCCGGGAGCTTGGAAGTTGGAACAGTTGGAATGCGACGGTGAGCCGAATCCCTGGGTCTGCCACGATTATATACCACGCGGGGTTCGGGCCTAGACTCGATTCAATGCTCGGCGGTGTGCCCACTTTAGGAGACCAAGTCGTCCGTTACAGAAACCCCCTCGTCTTGGCCAGCTCAGATGCGATAACGCATGTTCGTAACTGCGGAAGTTCGCTATGCCTGGAATCCTCAACCTTAGCGCCCTCTTTTGATTTGTGGTTGGAGCCTGTATTCGTAAGGTAGTTGTGGGGGGTGTTCAGGGGCTTGACAGGGGAGGAAGAAGATGGCAAGACGCAACTAATGAGAGGCCTTGTTGTGGGCGACTCTCAAGTCTGAAATGAGAGCCAGCCGTAATGCCGAACATCCAACCAACATCCAACTCGAAGGCATCTGCAGCAAGCCAACCACAAACGGCAACTGAACCACGGTGCTTTAACCTCATCTGTTGGCTGCTCAGCGATTACAGCAGAGTCCACTTTTCTACGCTACCTTAACGATACTGTTTGCTCATTCAGATACATGCTCGTTCAGCCGCCCAATCTCATGGCGCAATAGGGCTTCGTGACCACAGTTTCTTCAGTTCATCCAACATCGCATCGGCAACAACGAATTGCTTGCGCACCTCGCGAAGAAGGTCGCTCACAGCATCACGCTGCTCCCGCCGCCGCGCTCGCGCGCCGGCGACTCTCAGTGGAAACAGAAACAGCAACGGCGACAGCCGAGAGGACTTCAAAGCGCTTCTCGTTGTGTGGATGATGGTCTCGAAATGTTCATTCACCTGATCCTCGTGCAGAACCGGTACTGCTACGGCCATGGCGCGCCAGTGTTGTAAGTCGTAGTCGTAGTTTCCGGAGAGATAGATCCTGGTTGCCGAGTAAAACGTCGTGGAGAGAAGCGCCTCTTGCTGGTTTTGTTGCTGGAATGATGCTTTCGACTTCCATTCTTCCATCGCTTCGCAAAGCTCGAAGCCTTCGGTGGCTATTTCGAGAGCGTCAAGATGTGTGTTGCCAGAGCTGGAGCTCGACGTAGCTGTTAAGGATTGAATGAACTGAGATGTGCTGTTCTCGGAAATCAGCACAGTTTGCAGAGTGTCTCTCTCGCACTTCACCAGATGAAGGACTTACCGGACTCGCAGTGATGAACAGAGCACTATAAGCTTCAGCATTTCGTTGAGGGCAGAACCTGGCGCTCCATCGCCGGTATCCGCCAGGGCATCCGTCAACCTCATCCACTCGGGAGCGGCCAGAAAACTCGCCTCGTTGAAGATGATGGACCGGCAGACCTCGAAAGCCCGAGCTTGTATGAAGAAGTTTCGCATCGTGACCGACGTGCAAGAAAAAGGGCCACCTGCGATGAGAGCCCGCGAAGTACCGAAGACCATGTGCTGAAGCCACTTCTGCCCGGAGGCGTCTTGCATTAACTAGGTCAAGCATCAGTCGTGATTGCTTACAAGACGAATGCAAAATTCATGTCGAATATCTTGAGATATGTCTACGTACCTCGAATAACCCAAGAATCAGAGTCGTCCACAGAACCCCGCTTCGAGGGGTCGTGGACATGTCTGAGACGGCCACTCGGAGAACGCCGATGGACTGTAGATATGAATCCAGCGCAAATCGCAAAGTCCCGCGCGATTCCCCCTCTCCCTGTAAGTGTGCTTGCATGGCTCCTATGGCAAGCATCGCATCCAGCAAATGATGCCGCGGGCCTCGTCCCCTGCTATTTGAGGCTTTAACGAGATTCTGCACGTCAGGGAGAAACACAGGATCTTGTCCAGTGAAGCTGTTCCTCCGCACAAACATGTCGAAGTAGGAGAGGTAGTTCGCCGTCATGTCCGAGAGAGGCGTGGCAGGACGCGCAGAACTGACACCCGTAAAGTTCTTGGCTGTCAAGAGCTTTCCTCTGTTCAGCAATATCGCAGCACCTTTTCCCTTTTGCGATGGTGCTGGAGAGCTGCACTCGATGCCGCGTTTGAGGCATCGGGCACATGGATGCGAACCAGAACACTTGGTTTTATCAGTACTGAATCTTAATGCCGAGACTTGAAGGTGTAAACGGCGAAGATTGTTGAGTGGTTACAGTTGGCCATACCTTCGTGTGACTTGTAACGCATTGTGAACAGCGCAAGCGTTTGGTGCGTTGGTCGAATGGTCCGAGGGACATCGCGAGGGCCGAATACAGTTCACATTGCCGTCTCATGAAGCCCTTCTCGCTTGACGTAGTATCTGGAGAAATCGACGGACGTTGTCGTTTTCACCGAAATCCACGACATTGGGTGAGACGTGGGTTGATGACCGCAGGAGAGGCAGATAGAACGAGAACGGGCAGGGTTTCTGAGTCTTGAAGTGGGCTCGGGGCTAGGGGGACCAAGCCTAAAACAGAAGCAATCGAGCGACGCTAACTGAAAGGGGATGACGATGTTAGTCTCGATGAACAGTTCGCCAATCACATCACCATGTATTTCAGCTCAGAGGATCTCGAAGATAGTATAGGAAGTCTGCCTGGGCAAAGCAGGCGGACGATCATGGCTCCAGAACCGGGCGCAGTGGTTGTTGTCGTATTCCTAGATCGGAAGTCTTCGTACGAAGAGTTATCAAGGGCAAATTGTTTCGTCGTTTGGAAGACTTATTGCCAGACGAAAACACAGCTTCAAATCTCAAGATCCTCCGTCTTCTTCAGACCTATAGCTAATCCCATTTCAATCTTTATCACAATCCAATTCTACCAACATCATGATCCACGCTCTGGTAATCGGTCTGTTGGCATCAGCTTCGCAGGCCCTCCTCATATCATCTCCAACCGGTCCATACGCCGTGTCAATGTCCGTTCAAAGCCTGACCGACGATACCCGACTCGACCCCTACGCTCCCCCAAACAACACACACCCTCGAAGACTCATGATCTCGACCTTCACGCCCGTCAACACGACCAAGAGCCCCTGCTCGGCCCGCGAAAAGGTCCCGTACATGACACCGCTCGTGGCCCAAGCATACGACCAGCTAGGCGTCGCCGTCGGTCTCCCCAACGGCACATTCTCGTCCTTCGAGATGGAGTTTTGCAAGCCGAGAGCACGCTCGTGCGGTCACGGACAACCCGAGTTCCCCCTCGTGCTGTTCTCCCCCGGCTGGGGTAACCCGCGCCTTCTGCACGGCGCCATGGCCCGTGAAGTCGCGAGCCACGGCTTCGCAGTCGTGACTATCGACCACTCGTACGACCCCTCGTTCGTCGAGTTCCCGGACGGCACCGTCTATCGTGCTGTGGAAATCGACACGGACGACACAGCCCAACTGGAGTTCCTCACACAGGCAAGATGCTCCTCCGTCCCCCCAAAAGTCTACTTCATGAGCTGACCAACACTCAGGTTCGCGCCGACGACACCTCCTTTGTCCTCTCCCACCTACACACCCACCCCGTTCCCGGCATCGACCTCGACCGCACAGTCATGTTCGGTCACTCCCTCGGAGGCGCTACCGCCGCGGCCGCGATGCTCCAAGACCCCCGCATCAAGGGCGGCATCAACATGGACGGCAAGCTTCTGAACCCTGTTCTCGAAGCAGGTCTCGATGGGCCGTTTGCGCTCGTGGGGAGGCCGGATCATGCGGACGAAGATCCGACATGGGACGCCTTCTTCGCGAAGCTGCGAGGACCGAGGGTCCAGTTGAGGGTTGCCAATACCACGCACGCAACCTTCACGGACTTTCCCGTTCTGATATCTTCGTTGAACTTAACTTTGCCTGAGGCGGCGCAGCAATTGCTGGAGAGCCAGCTGGGAAACCTTCAGTTTGGTAGGATTGGTAAGGTTATTGCTGAAGTTGTTGAAGCTGTCGCCGACTTGGCGTTGGAGAACAAAACTCAATCCATCTTGACCAAGAAAGGAAATGGCGCTTTCCCGGAGGTTTCGGTGCTTGAGTCTAACCTTTGATAGATGTCTTAGCCTACCTAAGCTTATTGTTCAGTATCCTAGTTGTTTAGACCAAAAACATGCCGAGTATGCTTGAGTAATTCGGCCGCACAGTTTGCTATGTTTGGAGGGAATGTCACATGACATCGCCTGACCACAGGCTGTTTCGCTGGTTCTCCCGGTGCAGCTGTGTCATAACACTGGTAAAGTAATTACTTCTCTTTCGTGTGAATTTGGGCTGGATACATGCAACTTGTACATGTCCAACATGACATAGACTACAACCCCTACCATTCCATCCCACAGGGATAAGATCACGACGACGATGACTTCTTTGGCTCATCCTCAGCACCTGATGGCGATTCCGTCTTCCCGTCGTCTGCGCTCTGTCGACTGCCAGGCTCAGCGGTCGACGTCGTGGTGGAAGCTGTCGTTTCAGATCCACCATCTACTTGTCTTTCAGGAGGAGGAGAAGGGGCAGCCTTGATTTCTTTCGAGTTTATAATGCCCTTCAGAAAATCGCCCGTATCACGGAATCCATCCAGCTTGCCAAGCTTCGCAATAAAGAAGTCCACGTCCCGAAGCATGCTTTACACCTGTTAGCAAGTTACTCGATGCTGTTTTGCCTCTGAAACATACCTATTCCGACCAGAGATTGTCTTGGCGTCCGCAGCGTCAAGAACCCTTCCGAATTGGTCCTTGTAGCTTGCGAAGACAGGCCCCATGATCATCTGGACTGAACTCTCCGGCAGATGTTTTGTCAATACTCTGTGCAGAGTTGTTGTCTCTTTCGCCAACGTCTCCATATACGTGTGCGTTGACTCGCTCGGGTCCTTGTCCCAGTTGATAGCCTTCATGGATTTGGAGTGTGCCGCCGCGCGACCGCTCATGATCTCCACCAACTTGTCGTAAATGCTGTTTTGGTGCTCCTGGAATAAACGGCGAACCTTGTCAAATTCGCCCATGAGGCTGGACACACCGGCGCCGGAACCAGCATGCCTGCGGACGAACTCTCGGATATGAGGTATAAGGGTGACGATAAAGGATAACGCTTGGGAAGCCAAAGCCAAGTGTCTCGTCGTAATATTCTTCAGACCGGCAGACCGCGTGGCACCCGCGCCGAGAATGAGCTGAGTGCAGCGGGAGTTGAAGAGTTGCAGGTATGTAATGAGAGAAGTGGCGACATCTGAGGCCATAGACGGGATGCTGCCGATGAGATGAAGAAAGTGTGAAATGCCCTCGAGGCAGAGTATCGCGGAATTGGGCAACAAAAATGTCTCGCCTTCGATCTCCGCTGTGCGTGCCTTTTCTTTGCTGGTGCCGTTCGTCTCGTTCTCTGCTACACCATTGGAAGCCTCTCCATCAGGCTGTTCCTCCCAGATTTTGGTACCTTCTGTCCAGACAGCAGCATCTTTAGTACTGCTCTCCAGAACTTGGTCAAGGAGGGCCTTGGCTTTTTCGTCGAAATCCTTGGCACTCCATTGATCGGATTCCATGCCCTGTGCGAGCTTCTGCTTCTCTGCCTCGCCGTGTTGTTGGACAAACTCCTTGATATGGCCGTTGACCAAGGTTTTCAGCGCGGTGCCGCTACGGCCTGAGATCGCCTCGCACTCGTTGGAGAAATAGAGGTTTAATGTGAAGTATCGCAGGAACCAGGCCAAAGTCAAATGTGTGCTTTGTTCAGATCGTACCTTTAAAACCTTTAGGACCTTGTCTTGAGCCATGTCGACAGCTTGTCCAACTAGGTTGGGGATGTCCATGGCTTTGTGGATCTCTTCCTGAACTTCAAAGCTGCCGGGAGCGTCGTCCAGTCGTGGGAATTCCCGATCAAAAGGCGTTGGACTTGCAAGCGGCGATCGGATCGGCGGGGACTTGAGCCCGGCGGCAGTAGCTTCTTCGGTCAAACAGCTTGCAATGTCCAACAGTACTTTGACTTGCGTGGTGAGCCGACGGAGTGTTTCGGTGACACCGATGTACATAGTCTTAAGCAAGTCTTCAGCGTCCTTGGGGTCCAGGGCCCGCAGGTTCCTTGCAAGAATAGACGACTTCTCCTGGTTTGATCGTTGCCTTCCGCCGCTCATAGTCGATGCGGACATCATGGATTCATTGTCATCATCATTGGAGCTCGGCATCGGTCTTCGAATAATGTTCCGTACCTCACGCAAAACAGCCTCGCGATATGCCGCAATAGCCGTAGCGATGTGCTGGGCTCGATGGAGACCAAGAATGTTCGGCATGACCGCTTTGCGCAGTTCTTGTGTCGAGCCAAGGTAGGCGGGAAATGCAGCTGCCTCTCGCCCAGCCCCTCCCCTGGCGCGCATCGATGAGCTGCTCCACCGGAGAAGGACGTCGCGATTGCTAACAGACTCAACATGCCTGCGCAAGTCGGCAAGCAACAAGCTCTGAAATTTGGACTCATAGGCCCGGCCAATGCGGAAGCGCAACTGGTGCAAATCTTCGTTCACAGTTTGTAGTGCCGTAGCACCCCTGAGATCCCGCAGTCGCGAAGCAGGCAGCACGGGCGTCCCGGCTTCGTAAGATTCGTCGTGCTCGCCAGCAATGAGAAGCTCGAGCGTGTCGATGTTGCTCAAGGCTTGGTCAACCTCGCCGGCATCCACCAGCGCTTCGCATGAGGTGACTCCTTCGACAATATGGCGCAGCTGAAGGACAGCATCATTAAGCGCCTGGATGTTCTCGCGCCTGCGACGCTTCTGAACGATATTTAAGCCCTTTGTTGCGATTTCGTCGTCAAGAGCTTCAAGCTCTTTCCGCAGAGTCTTGATTCTGTCCACGGATTCAGCCGCCTCGGAATGAAGCTCCCGCAATGAACCGAGGGCAGTGAAAAAGGTGGTTGAAGCAGTTGAAATTGAGTTGATCAAATGAACCTCGATTGTATCCATGTACCAGGACAGCTTTTCTTGCAAGATTGCGTTCGTTGCCAGCGCCTTTCGCGGTGCCATAACACTGCCATTACTACCGGCTTCATTATTTCCTGGCGCTGGCGGTACAACCTCCGAACGTTCGCTGACGACGTCGAATGTCCTGGGGTTTTCTAGATGAAAATCTTCGTCGAAGTACACGGTGGGTATTGTCGATAACGGCGGCAAGCCTTGCCCGCCCTTACGACCAAGACCGGAGCTATTTCGTCTCAGTGGCCCGGGGCCTTCTAGAGAAGATATCGACGCGATGGACGCAATGGAGGATTTTCGTCTGGCGGGTTGCCGACCGGCGGGCTTTAGGTGGCCTTCGTCTACCTCGGTGAAATCATCGTGTTTGCTCGACCGTCGGCCTGCAGATCCCGGTCGGTCGTCGTCTTGCTCTTTGACTCGACGGAGCTGTTCGTATAGGGCACCGACTTGTGACAAGTACGGCTTGAATTCGGAGAGATCCACGTGAGGAATGTTTGTAAGGGTTACAGGGGGGATGTCGCGAGCTGTCGGAGGCTTGTGTGCGCTAGAGGCGGGCGCAGAGGTATGAGGTTGCAGGCCAGTTCTCACGATGGGCGGTTGGAGGAGAGTCGAGATGGCTATTTCCCCTGTTAGAACAGTGCTGTAGTTTACTTGCGCAGATCCGTACCATTTTGCCCAGATTCTAATACAGCATTTGCCCAGCTGCTGGATGATGTATCGAGTGATCCGCCGATCGAGTGTACTGAGCTCGCTGTCGAACCACGTCTGGCGGTTTGGTGCGGGTAGCCGTGTCCTTGTCTGGCAGTAGTCAGCGCCAACGTGGCCAGCTAGAGAGCGTGCAAGCTGGCTGACCTATGGAATGGGAACTCGGTGCGCGAACTCGGCGGAGAACTCGGCGAAGATAAAGTGTCCACCGACTTACGGGCGGTAGGAGAGGAATACATGATGTAAGACAATGGCTCGAGGAGGTTTGGGCTATTGAGAGCTGCTTCGGGTTCTCGATCGCTTGCTTAATCGCAAGAAAGCCGTCGAGTGTGTTAGAAGACGGCCACGTAGCCAGGCTACCGGGGTATCATTGCTGGGAAGATCGCATCAGGCTCTAGAAAATCGAGGAAAACGAATCGCAGTTATCATGACAGGGCAAGTGCGACAAGGGAAACGAAAGATGAAGTTGGTGTTTTCGCAGCTTCAAGCTGAGCCACGTTCCCAATTCGTCGCCAAGGGGCTTCGGTTGCGTACCAGAACCGTGATGCTCGCAGATCTCACCACGTGACGTTGATGATAAGATAAGCTCCTTCCCCAGGCCTTAGGCTCCACCCGGATGAAAGTACGTATCCACCTCCTTGTTCTCAAATTCGCGCTAGAGTAACCACTTAACGCGCTTTCGCGTTCTGGGAAGAAAGGGGCGCGTTTAGTTCCCCTGCGCAACTGCCCCTCTCCCGCATCCACATTTTCAGTCCAAATCCTCAACAACGCTCTGGCAACAATTGCTGCTCGTCATTCTTGGGATCACAGTCGCAACCATGGACCGGCAATCAGTCTACTCTACCCGCGTTTACGAGCCTAGTGACGGCCAGAATGCCGACACGCGCATCAACATCCAGAACCAGCTGGAGAAGTTCATCCTGGACTTCAGACATGGCTCCAAGTTCACCTACAGGTTGGTTGATTGCGATTTCTATCGGCACCTCATTGTTTGCACAATAACTAATGCTAGCTCAACAGAGATCAATTGAAGGAGAACGCCCTTCTGAAGAAATACTATTGCGATGTCCATGTCACCGACCTCATCAACTACAACGAGGAGTTGGCGCATAGATTGGTCACAGAACCGGCCGAGATTATTCCCTTGGTAGGTCTCAATCTTCTCGCTACCGCTCTACTCGGCTGACCCTCTACAATTAGTTCGAAGCCGCTTTGAAGAAATGCACCCACCGAATTATCTTTCCCCAACAAACCAAGGTCGACCTGCCCGAGCATCAGCTGCTGCTTCACTCTGATTCCGAGACCGTGCCGATCCGCGATCTGGGCTCGACGACGATAGCTCGCCTCGTCAGAGTGCCGGGAATCGTTATCGGTGCCTCTGTCATGTCCTCGAAAGCGACAGAGTTGTCTATTCAGTGCCGTAATTGCGCGCACTCATCCACAATACCCGTTTTGGGAGGCTTCACTGGAGTAACGCTCCCCAGACAGTGCGGCAGATCAAGAGTTCCGAACGATCCCACACCGAAGTGTCCCCTCGACCCCTACTTCGTTCTTCACGAAAAGTCCCGCTTCGTCGACCAACAGATCATCAAACTACAGGAAGCCCCGGATCAGGTCCCGGTCGGTGAGCTTCCAAGGCACGTCCTCATCTCTGCAGACCGCTACTTGACCAACCGTGTGGTCCCTGGTTCGAGATGTACTGTAATGGGAGTTTTCTCCATTTACCAGAACAAGGCGACCAAGAACTCTGCCACAGGTGGTGCGGTTGCCATCCGCACCCCCTATTTGAGAGCCGCTGGCATCCAGACCGACATCGATCAAACGGCGCGGGGGCAGGCGATCTTCTCCGACGAGGAGGAGCAGGAATTTTTGGAGATGAGCCGTCGTGAGGGTCTGTACGACCTCATGGCCGACTGCATAGCACCATCCATCTACGGAAATCGCGACATCAAAAAGGCCATTCTTTGTCTCCTCCTTGGTGGGTCTAAGAAGATTTTGCCCGACGGTATGAAGCTTCGTGGAGACATCAACGTCCTCCTTCTCGGTGACCCCGGTACCGCAAAGTCACAACTGTTGAAGTTTGTGGAGAAATGCGCGCCAATTTCCATCTACACGTCCGGTAAGGGCTCCTCCGCCGCTGGTCTCACAGCGTCTGTCCAGCGTGACCAATCGACACGCGAGTTCTACCTCGAAGGAGGTGCCATGGTTCTTGCCGACGGCGGTGTTGTTTGCATCGACGAATTCGATAAGATGCGCGACGAAGACCGAGTAGCGATTCACGAAGCTATGGAACAGCAGACAATCTCCATCGCCAAAGCTGGTATCACCACGATTCTCAACGCGAGAACGTCCGTGCTGGCTGCAGCAAACCCTATCTTCGGTCGTTACGATGACATGAAGACCCCTGGCGAGAATATTGATTTCCAAACCACTATCCTGTCGCGTTTTGACATGATTTTCATCGTCAGGGATGACCACACGAGGGAGAAGGACGAGAGGATAGCGAAGCACGTCCTGCGCCTGCACAGCGGTGGTCGTGGCGTTGAAGAGCAGCCAGCAGCGTCCGAGTCGGAAATCCCCGTTGACAAGATGAAGAGATACATCAGCTACTGCAAGTCGTAAGTGCTTCCCGCATCCTTTTTTGACTGTGGTTCCCGCTAATCATGTCGTAGGAGGATGGCCCCTCGCCTTAGCCCGGAAGCAGCCGAGAAGCTCTCGTCTCACTTCGTATCTATCCGGCGACAGGTCCACGCTGCAGAGATGGAGGCCAACACACGGTCTTCCATTCCTATTACTGTCCGTCAACTTGAGGCCATTGTTCGTATCACTGAGTCGTTGGCGAAGTTGACACTCTCCCCTATTGCCACTGAGGAGCATGTGGACGAAGCCATCCGACTTTTCCTCTGCTCCACAATGGACGCCGTCAACCAGGGCAGTAACCAGGGAAGCAAAGAGCTTAACGACGAGGTCAACAGACTAGAGACTGAGCTCAAGCGACGCCTTGCGGTTGGCTGGAGTACCAGTCTGTCGGCATTGAAGCGCGAATTTGTTGAGCAGAAGGGTTACACTGAGCAGGCACTCAACCGGACACTTATGATCATGCAGAGGAGGGACACGATTACTTTCCGGCAAGGAGGTGCTCAGGTACACAGGAATAAAGTGTAGAGAGTTGTATTTGAAGAGGCGATTTGGGTTGCGTTGTGTGGCACTTGTGGATACAGCAGGATGCCTTATGAAAGGAATGATAATCAAAACCAAGCCTTTGTATCTCTGCGTTTCGTAGAAAGCATCAAATTTCAAAAGTTCAATAGGACAATGAAACTTCCATGTTTTCCATGTGTCCTTTTTCTCGGGTTGGCCATATGGAAACCTTTGAGCTCGCCTTTTCCCTTAGGACTCATTCTACCGTAGTGGATCTCTTCCCAATGACATTGTCGGCTGCTGCACTCAATTATTGCCGGCCGAAGACAATTACCGTATGGGAAGTAGGTATATGTAGAAAGGTTTGGACACATTGGCCATAGTCGGTGCCGCAAACCGCAGCCGGTTTAGAGCTTTTGACGTGATATGTGGATCTGGCAGGACAAGACAAGATTAGCCGCATGATCCAGAAGATTCCGCATATTTCCATGGCCGAGGTCCAGAGCAATTCAGACATGCCAGTTCTCAGCAGGCTCAACCTGCTCAAGAGCGCGGGCAGCATAGAAACCGATCCGACGCACTCGCGGCTGAGCTATCGGTTTACCAGATGTAGGATTGTCATCCTGCGTCTGCAGACATTTCACGCATTTTTTGAGCGTACCTTGGTATTGAGCTAACTACCCGTGAAAGAGCAAAGCAAGCATGCCAACTGGATGGAAATCATAGTATTGCGTCACAGCTGACTGGCAGTAAAAGTCCCCATATGGAAGCGCCAATCCCGGGGGTGAGTTCAGATTATGTCTCTTGCTTCAGGTGATCATCGCATCATGGAAGCCGCACGAGGGGCCCTCACAACAATTGTTTTAAACAAGACTTGTTTCAATCTCGACTCGACCTTTGGAATCGTCAGCAGCGTAGATGCGATATGAAATCAGGCAGGCTGGCGATGATTTGAATAGGTGGTCTGCAATGGTTGAAGAAGAAGAGAAAAATGCGACAAGCCGGTCGCGGTCGCGAAGTTTAAAAAACCAGACTGGGGCCCCATTCTGCCGGTGGGGCCCGAGCTTGTCACGTGTGCGTGGTGTGCGGTCGAGATCCCGTCCCAGGTGGTCAGGTCGTCGTGAGGTGCTGCTGCCGGCTGGCTGCCTGATCCAGCCACGCCCTCCCTCCCGTCCCTTCCTCCGTCTTTGGTGGTTTTGGGGGTGTTCCTTCCTCCTCCTCCCATCTCCCACCTCCCACCTCATTCATCCGTCAGTCAGGTCCCCGGGGATCGGGTGTCGGGTGTCGGAGCGGGCACGGTCAGCGGTTTCCTGGACGATTCACTCCTAGAGGCCAGCCTTCCCATTCGTCGTTAGACACCTTCACCCCACGGCGGAAGAGGAGGCGCCTTACCTAAGTCTCCTAAAGTTCACTCTCGTCAGTGTTGTCTCTGGCCGCTGGATGGTCCCGGTCCCACCGTCAGTCGCCCAGAACAGAGCAGCAAGCACGCTGTTCGCACCACTTCCATCACAGTGTTCCGCGGCAAACCCAAGGTACGGTATTAGGCCCACTCCCCTCTCCCTTCCAACTTCCCTCCGACGGAACCTCACACACGACAACGCACACCCCCCCGCTGAACCTGAACTTACCTCCCAGTGCCAGTGCCAGTGCCAGCCAGCGCAGCCCACGGCCCAGCCCAGGCGGCCACCCCCGTTAAGCGAGCAAATTGCCTCGCTCATCTGTCCGCCCCCTTCACTCTACCCAGCGCCGTTCAGACTTCATCTTCTTCAACTCCACCACGACCCGACGCCAAAACACTGCGAATCGACGACCGATCCTCGACCGCCGCCCATCGCCGTCGAAGATATTTTTTTCGCTGCGACTTCACCAGTTGGATTCTGGCATCTAGGAAAAAATTTCACTCCCGGGAAACCCCCTCGCGATCGACCGGCTGATTGGGGAGAGCGGTGCATGACGCTGCATCGGGGGATTCAGAGCCGTCGGCGGTTTGGCGCGACTCGCCACAACAACCCCCTCATCTTCTGAACGAGCCCAGGACCACCTCTGCCATCGAGCGCATCGTGAAATACGCTCCAAGTGGTCTTTGACGACATTTTCCGTCGAGTCGGCTAGTTTTTACTTGCAACTTCGACCCGGATTACGTCGTGGTAACGGTAGCGGTTTCCATCCCTCGTATTCCGACTTTTCCCTTGTCCTCACCCGACGACGATTACGACGGCAGCGGCGACGACAAGAAGACCGAGACCTTCTCTCACTGCACTGTCATCATGTCGTTCCACCCCCGAACCCCTCAGAGTCCTTCTCAATTTTCTCCTGGCACTTCCGATCCTGCGTCGAGCATAAACAGTTCGGCCCCGTCATCGACCACAACTCTGCCGACACCAGCCCACAGCGTCAACGGAAGCGCATCACAGCCCTCCGACATGTCTCAGGACATCATCATGGGCGATGACTCGCCTCATAAGCGCAAGCGCCTGCTCGAAGATCTTGGTGATCGAGAGCAGAAGAAAGTCCACATCGAGGATAGCAAAACTGGTATTGAGGCACTCCACCTGGATGTCGGAGAGAAATACCTACTTTGCCAAACTCGTAAGGCTCCCTTCGCAGGCTCCTGTTCACTCGACAGGCTGTCTTGTCAATCCCCCTTCCCTATGGCGTATCTGGTGTTTTGATCTGGCCACAAATGTCGAACTTAATTGGTTAACTCTGAGCTACACAGCGCACCACGAGAGACTGCCGCGAATCACAGAAGATCTATTCGAGATGTTCAACCTGACCGGCATCGCCGCAGAAGTCGCTCGCGAGAAGCCCAACGGTGAGAAGAATGCTCTGCGGAAGACCTACAAAGGTCAGATCAAGAAGCTGGGAATCCTCGGCCGTTTCGACTCTGTCGCTCAGGACTGGGACGCTCCGATGGAGGACAGCGGCGACAAGAAAAGAGAGGCGTACCACGGCTTCAGGGAATTGTTGGAGATTCCAGATGCAGAGTTTTGGGGCACGCGGCAAGATCCGATTACGAACGGTCTGTCTAGCACTGTGAAATCGGTGCTTAGCAGAGCAACGAACATGGCCAAGGGACCCATCCCCGTCAAGGATTGGGATAGCTCAGTGCTCGGGGACATCGGTCCAGGTGGCGTAGATGCCCTGAAGCAAGGTCTCGCGGGCAAAGCAACTGCGCCTGGCACGCCTTCCGCGACGACGCCGAACCCGTTTATGCGGAAGCAGCAACAGACGGCCCCGGGAGCTGTTCGTCCCCAACGGACGAAGAAGCGTGGCTACGGCGACAACAGCTTTGAGGGTTACGGAGAAGGCTTCCCCGACGACGGCTACTCTACGGGAGATGGCGACGACAGGGGAGGCCAAAAGCGTCGGAAGAAGGTTGGTGATGCCTCATCCGGCCCGCCTATGTCTGTGTCTAACTCGTCACAGGATAGCGGTAACGGGCAGGCGTTCCCGAACACGATGCGTCCGCAAGGCTACGGTTCGAGCGCCGTGGGCGCATAGCACCCGCCCACGGAGACGAAGACGAAGCCCGCGCGCGGACGCGGACGCGGACGCGGACGAAGGCGTGGCGCCTAATCATAGGCACACGGCGCAATTTCCTTTCCTACCCTTCACTCATGGTGTCGGGTTTGCTCAGAATGTCTCACGGTAACACCGGTGATGCGGATAACGACCGTTTGGATCGGAGGAATAGTCCACGAGCAACGAACAACGTGGGTTGAAAGGAAGGCTTTTTTTTCGCGGTATACTGCCGCTCCGAAATCAAGGGCGGGTATTCTGCACTTTTGATGAAATTTTCCACTTCCAGCAGGGCGTTCGGGGGACTCGATTTTCAACTTTCAACTTCATTGCCTCCTTTTTTTCGTCACTTTTTTGCACGCATTCAGTCGAGGTTGACAAATGAAACACATGACCGACTGAAAGACGGGGAGGGGAGGGGGGATCACAAAAAAATACCACACGGGTCAGGGGCATCATATCTTTTTTAAAGGTTGCTACGAAGGGGAGACGGACGGGACCGGGGGGGAGGCGAAAGGACACACCACCAACCACGACCTCCATCATACCGGACACACACAAAAAAAGTCATGCTGGGGTCGTTGTAGCACTATCACAAACCAACACACAAGTTAATTCATTAGACGGCACGAGACGCCGACATATCAGCCATGAACGGTCCCAATGTGTGGGATGTATTGCGTGATGTCTGACGTGCTCTCAACGATCTTCGACTTTTCAATATGCGGTTCTGCATCCAAGACTGTCATCGTGAATCAGGTAAATTCTGTGGCTATGATGTAGGGACTGGAAACCCTCTCCCGCGGGACAGACCTGCTGCCGGACTCCGACCCCTTCTTCGCTGCCGCCTAGGACATTTCCAAAATGGCCCTCGCCGTCATGTCGTCCTGCACCCAGCCCAAGATGCGCTCGCCCACGTCCCCGATCAGCCGGTCGTAGTGCGGCCCCGGCACGAACAGGCCGCAGTGGGCGCCGACCTCGTCCATGCCCTCCATGTAGATGGGTACCCACGCCTCGTCGCGTCTGCCGTTGGCCTTTCGCGGCAGGGTGCAGAACTTGCGCTCCTTCTTGGGCTTCTGCGGCCCGGCAGGCGGCGCCTTCGTTCCAGGCGTGCCGGTCTGCGCCGTGGCGATGGATGCCGCTGACGAAGCCGGTCCGGTCGCGAGGGAACTCGCCGAGGTTGACGGCATTCGCGGGGGTAGAGGAGGCGCTGATTTCGGCTGCGGAGGTGCCGCAGGGGCTGGGGCCGGAGCTGGTGGTCCGTCCTGTGATATCGGTCTCGGCTCGACTTGCGTGAGAGGTCCCGTGTCCTCCTCGGGCTCTTCATACTCATCGGCCTCCGGTTCAGCTGGCTTTCCGACTGGCTTCGGTTTGTGGGCCGGCTGTTGTCTTTGGGCCGCATCCGTGTCTCTCTGGACGGCCTCGGCCTGTCTTTGAGCGGCTTCCAGCTCTCTCTGAGCGGCCTCTGCCCGTCTCTGGGCTGCCTCGACGTCTCTCTGCAACTCCTCCCGCGTCTTTTTCTGATCGGCTTCCTCTTCTTGCCGCTTCTTTTTCTGCTCCTTCTCCAACTGCTGGGCCTCCTTGAGAGCCTCCTTCTCGGCTTTCTTACGGCGCTTCTCGACGAGTTTCTGACGCTCTTTAATCGCCTTGTCGCGACTCTTGACCGCTTGTTCGTAGGCTTTTTGCGCTCGCTTTCCCTCCTTTTCGGCCTGCTTGCGTGCGTCTTTGTCGGTGTACTTGTCGAGATCGGGGGGCGTCGGTTGCTCTGGGAGATCAGGGATCGGCGGAAGTTCCATGTCGGCAGGAGTATCCGGACTTGGAGCGCTTTCCGGGGTTGTCTCTTCTTCAGAGGCGGGCTTGTCCTCTTTGCCTTTGTCCTCGGATGGTCCATCGGTCGCTTCCTCGTGATCCAATACTTCCTTTTCTTTGCCTTTGGGTTCTTTCCCCTTGCCCTTTGTATCGGATTGTTGCTCCAGAGTGCCTGAAATCTGAGCCTTTTTCGCATTATCAGATTCTGCTTGTCTTTCTTCGTGGAGCGTCGACAGCTTTCGGTCCACAGCCTCGATAGAACTAAGTATCTCGACTTCCTCGTTGTCCGAGCCCTCAACTGAGATGCGTGGTGTCGAAGACCCATGGGGAGACAGCTGAGAGTTGATGTCTAGCGTGCTCATTGGTCCCGTAGGAAGATCCTGGTCTGGAGATCTCGGCGACTCTGGAGACTTTGGAGACTTTGGCTTCTTCGGTCTTCCCGAGCTGAGAGTATAGTAGTTGACGAAACGAACTCTCGCAGAAGCTGACTGGTTAGGGTTGCTCCCCTGATTGTTCCCCTTCAGGTGTTGTAGAGGATCGACATCCTCCAGCGCGCGAAGCTTGTTGTATCGGGCATTCAGGCCAGGATAGTCAGCCAAGCAACCACCATATTCAAGGTGCGACATAACGTGGTTCTTGGTGGCATCCCACACGCCTTCAGCTCTATGCTTCTTTGCGAAATGACCCAGTCTCTTCATGAAAGAACGGTCCTTGAACTTGGAATCGTTCCAGAAAGGGGGGTTGAACCAAGGATCGGTGTTTGGAGGTGCATCGTTTGAAGAGGCAATAGAGGGTGCGACGCTTGGCTGCGGGGATAGTTGTTCGCCGAGAGAAGGTGTCGATTCCAGGTTGGACATGGACGGGTTAGGACTGTTGAAGGCCGAGTTGCCAGGGCTCAGGTGAGCTGCAGACGCATCAAGCTGGTCATGGGCCTCTTCCGTTGGCGAAGCCGGGCGAAATAGGCTTGCAATTCCAGCGACGACAATGCCCGGATGAAGGCCGAGAAAAGGCGAGTCGAGTGAGATGGTTCCGAGGATGCGATGCTTGAAAGGCTGGCGCCTGTATGGATGCCGATTAGGCTGTGAAACAGGTCAGTCAATGCAAGATGCTTTTGTCAGGTTTGTACATACCATCAGAGCCACCTCACCAGCAAGAATGCCACCCATTGAGTGTCCGACCAGAACCACATCGGTCTTATCCGACTCGTGAGGCTCTAGCCACTGACTAAAGTTATCGCGAGCCACGTCAATGGCCTTGTAAGTCTTGTATCTGGGGTAGATCTTGGAGTGAACGGCATGGGTTTCGGCGAGCGCGTCCTTCAGATAGTTGTGAACATGTGCAGGGAAAGACCTGAAAGATGACTCGTTGCCGTAGAAGCCATGGACGTAAATGATCAAGAGAGTCCGGCGGGCATCGTTATCACGGTCATTGATGGATGGAGCAAGCGACTGAGCCGACGAGGACCTAGGGTCGGCCATATGCCGCTTGGAATCCAGAACGCCTCCATAAGGGGAATTGTGTGAGGCCTTTTCCGGGGTCAAGCCGGATGCTCCATGGCTGGATGTCGGAGCTGGCGGGTGGAGGGAAGACGATACGGACCCGTCAAAGGAGCCGGTGAAGGAGCCGGAGCCCGGAGCGGAGACGGAGTAAGGTGGTGGTGGTGCCGACGAGGACGAGGGTTCGTCGTACTGGTGGTGATTCATGACGTCAGGCCTTGTGCCACCCAGGTGATGTGTTGTGCGATGAGGGATAGGAGGGGGCGGATATTAGGAGAGACGCGGAAGATGGTTTGATAAAGCGGAGGCAGTGAGGGGAGGCCAAGTGGGAGGAAGGGAAGCCTCAAGCCGAGCAACAATGAACGATGGGCGAGATTCGGTAGGTGGACGACCCGATATCAATACAACAAGAGATGGTACGAGCAAGAATGAGGTCGTTATGTTAAAGAAGCTCCATGCCTGACGGGTTCCTCTTGACATTGACTGCGGCTGCCTTGGTTGGTGCAGATAGAAGCTGGCTGGACGTGCGTGATAAAGTAATTCTGCCGTATTGGGTACGTATTCGGCAGTACAGAGCCGTGAAGGTGCGCGGCATCAACTCACAATTGTCGCTTTTTTTGATAGGTACCGCACCGTAGGTAGGAAGATACGCGGGAGGACGGGAACGATGGCGAAACGCGGTAGGTGCTGCTGCGCCCTGTTTTCCAGGCGGACAGGGCACATAGCTCTCCAGGTCCACTGAGCTCACTGCCCGCTCAGCGCATGTCCAACGCTTCACAGCCCGACATGCTCATTCGTCAGCCCCTCAACGTCGACAAGGCGCTTATTGATTGGTGGAAAGGACATCAGAAGAGACGAAACTTCGCTTCTATTGGCTGAGATTATGGGCCAATAGGCAGAATGACGACATGCTCAGGCGCAATCTTTGAAGCAGCTGTCGCGGCAGGTGCGAAATGCATCGCTCTTAATGCCATGAATAGTGCAAGTGCAGTTGAGCTGTTGTTTGTGTCGCGCCATGATGGACATTCGGAGCATGAACCATCTAGTCTTTTTGAACCTCCATATGGAGAGGAACATGGCGGACGGCGCTTACTCTCCAAGAGCTTCGCAGCAGGCATGGAGCATGTCTTGGCCGCGACGCATTGCAGGGCTTACCTGGCCTGACATGTTGGTCTAACAAAGACCGTCGGGCTGTGTGTCGTAGACAATATCTCCGTGTCCGTAGACGAGCTGAGTTCATCGTCTTTCTTGATGAGCCACCAAAGTCAACCCCATCCGATCTGATGAGTAAGGGCAGCAAAGCGTAATGGCAGGCTCCATGCTCCCTTGTCAAAGTTTCTCTGGATTCTGAACTTACAGTGGTTTGGTTCTTGACCATGCCTAAGGAGAGAGAGCATCGCCTTGTCAAACGAAATTACGGGCAGTATCAGAGCTTGTCCGTGGCAGTGCTCAGGAACCCACGTGTTCCTAGTCATTAGACATTAGACATAGGCAAAAGATTGAAGTCGTTCTGCTCCTCGGCCGCCGGATGGTGAGACGTTGCTCGAACTTTATCCGTGCTTCTTCCTTAACCATCTCTCGAAACATCATCAACCAATATCTGACTTGATATACATGCTCGTCTAACAAAGCAGCGTCAACGACGGAATCCTTGGCCGCGAGCTTCTCAATATCCCGACCCTTGACTCCGGTTCCTCTAAAAATCAAGTTCTCAAGACCCATTCTGATTACGTTCCATCGACGACTGCGGCCATCTTGCTCGATTCGGAGCGAGAGGGGGGAAATTGCGAGATGAGATTAGATTCGGGGCCACCCTTCCCCCCGTCGTCATCTGCTCTGGGGGTGTTCGTCGATCTTTTCTGGCAGGCCCTCTGTTCGAGACTTGAGAGACGACATCGTGCCAAGAAAAGGAACAAACGTACGGCGCCGGCAGTCACGACACCCGCAGTCCTTTTCGTAGAGAAACGGGAACGGGACGGGACAGACGGACGCCCGGGACGCGGCATCAGCATATCGTGTAGGTGAGCTCCCGTCTGATACGAGCCGTTGTCGCGGCCAGCCGTCGTCCGTCTCGGGACAACGCGCTTCCTGGACCACGATAACGTGGACGACGCGCTCTTTTCCTTGGTTCCCATTTTGTCTCGTGCCTGGGCTTGGGCCTGTCAAAAATTTCCGTCGCTGCAAGGGATGGAGACACGGCAGCTGCACAGCATTCTTAGGCACGAGTTTGCCGACTCATTTCGAATCGAGCTTCCAAGCCTTTTCTTCTTCTCTTTCTTCCTTCTAAATTACCTCCACACCGCGCCCATATCAGCCCCATCCCAAGAGCCCATTTGCAGACTTAGGGGTTTATTAATTGTATAGGGCAATTTTAATAATTATATAGGGTGCCCTACTAAATAATATAATCTAGCTAATATAAAACTACCCCTTAATAAGCTAATAAGAAAAACCTTACTAATAAGACTTTTTTTTTTACTTATTATATCTCTATTATTACTCTTAATTAATTATATATTAACTTACTATTTTTATTACTACCTTCTACTTATATTAGCTATAGATATTAAGCTCTTAAGTAATAATAATAATAGTAACTTATATACTATTAAGAGCTTTTTTATATCTATTAATAACGCTTATAGATATCTTATTAACGCTTTTTTAGAGATTAAATTTATACTAATAAAGAGCTAAACTTATAAGTCTTATAAGAATAATAAGTATAACTCTAATAGTTATATTATATATATTAATATTATTTATAATTATATTATTATAAATAAATATACTTAATATATTAATTAATAGTAGGGAAAGTCTATTAAGTATAACTATCTATTTAGAACTAAAATTATATATTAAGCTATTATTAGTTAATATAAAGTAATTATTATATATTATTACTATAACTATAACCCTCTTACTAATTAAGAGTTAAATCTTTAAATATATTAACTATAATAACTTAATAACCTTATTATTATTAACTATATTAAGAGTCTCTCTAGCTTTATCTCTCTTATTACTACTTAAATTACTAAAAACCTCTATAAAAACTAAAGCTAATAATAGGACCTCTCTATAATTAAGTATATACCCTACTTTATTACTAACTAAAATATATATAATTTTTAAGTCTAACTATATACTAAAAAGTATAGCCCTTATTTATACTTTTAAATATTTCTCTATTATATTTAGGTAGGTATTAAGAATAAAATAATATATATAATATCTAAAAGAGATATTAATAGATAAATTAACTACCTTTTTTAGATATTTTAAGACTTAATTAACCTCTAGAAAAAGAACCTTAATATTATCTTCTTTAATAATATATATAAAACTAATAAGTTTAATATACCTCTTCTATAGATTACTAAGGCTACTTACCTCTATATTAGTTTTAATATTAATTAAGCCCTTATAAGTAGAGAGACTAAAAAGGACTTTTAATAGCTACTTACTTAGTTAAAAGTACTTACTTATTACTAATAGATCTATTAACCTTATATTATTATTAGTAATCTTAATAAGGCTTTTAAGAACGCTACTATTATTAAGTTCCCTAATATATAATAATAGCTCTATCTATAGTATATAATAAAGAATATTTTATATTATATTTATATTTAATAGTATAATATTAATAAGGAACTTAATAGTATTATTTCTATTAATAATAACCTAAATTATATAGTTTTATTATAATAAGAAGAAAATAATAATCTTAACTATACTATTAGCTTTATATTACTTCCTCCTTTTAATATAGTATTTCTTAAGAGTAACTTAACTCTAGCTATACTTATCTAAATAAGTACTCTACCTTCTATTACCTATAGTATACTTAGTAATATACTTAATAACTATTCTATCTCTTATAATAGCCTAACTACTATATAAAAAGTATATATTTATACCTCTATAAAAAAGGACTTTAATACTATTTAAGCTACCCTATTTTATTACTTCCTACTTTAGAAATATACTATTAATTATATTGTAAAGATATACTTTTTTTATATTAATAAATTTACTAATTATATTACCTATTAATATTATAACTATAGTATTATAATTACCTCTTATATAGAAGATATTTATACCCTATTTAAGTAATAGCTATATTATATACTTATTAGCCTACTTACTTTATTTAAAACTATTAAGAAGGTTAAGTTCTATATAGTATAGAAGTATAATAAATAGCTTTAAGATAAAGCTATTAAGATAATCTTAAAGTATAATAAGTTAGTTATATTTCTATTTATTAAAAAGATTAAATTTATTACCTTTAAGTTAATCTACTATTAGTTTATAATAGTATAAGCTTATATTAAGAATAAAAAGAAGCTTCCCCTATATATGAACTTATTTACTTAGTAGTATAGCTTTCCTTATTATTATATTATCCTCTATTAACTCTAAGAGGGTAGTACTCTAACTATTAATAATATTAATATTATTAATATCTCTCTAACTATATAATAAGTCTCCCTAATAAATAGATTTATATAAGTACTAATTATAAAAGCTATTTAATCCTATAGTTAAAGTACTATTTAAAGAGCTTAATCTAAATATAATATTACTATATTAAGTTTAGCTTATTTTTATTCTACTCTCTATTAAAGAGGCTTAATACTTATTATACTACTATATTACTAATTTAGCCTATTATAGCTAGTTAATATAGAGGGATCCTTTTTACTTTAAGGCCTCTAAGGTACTATAAGCTATACCTATCTATAGAAGGGGCTAAAGCTAACTAAGAGGTATAAGAAGTAATATATAAATAAGGGGATAAAGCTACTTTACTATTTAAATTAAGCTATAAAAGATATATCTACTTTATAAAAGATTTAACTATTTTAAGGGTATTTTTTATAAATATATTATTAATAGCTAAGCTAAAGTAATAGCCTCTCTAGCTATAATTAATAACTCTCTTACTTTATTAGTATTAATATTAATACTAATAGTATTATAAAATAATAATAATAGCTTTATAGTAAAGTTAGTCCTCTACTTAGTAAATAGGGAACCCTTTACCCTTTAGGTAGAGGAGTATAAATATATTACTTTTAGTTTAAAACTTATTTATACTGTAGGGATTTTCTATTTAATAACTAATAATTTAGTTCTAAATATATATAACTATAAAATAATTTAATAACCTTTATAATTAATTAATACCTTTAATAACCTCTCTTTAATTTATAACTTTTATTTTACTTTTAATATAATATTCTTTTTTATATATTTAATATAATTAATATATATAATTAAATTACTTTTAATATATATTAATATAATTATATTTAATATATATTTATATTATAATATATAGTAAAGGTTCTATAGCTTTTAAATTATATTATATTCCTCTTTTTTTACTTTCTACTTTATTTTAATTTTATTTTATATTACTTTATATTTTATAATTAGATTTATATTTATCTTAAAGGTATCTTTTCTTTATATCTCCTTTTATAAAATAGCTAGTACTATAGTATTAATAGAGAAAAAAATATTATTATCTTTATATAAAGTATAATTAATATAAAAAAGAAATAGTCTCTTAAAACTATATTATAAAATATATATTACTTATTAGCTTAAATTACTAAAGATAGTAAATTAAATATTAAACTTATTTTATTATTATTAGTTTTTATATAGAGAGTAAGAAGCTATAGAGAAGTCCCTAAAGAAGTCTATAATATTTAGGTACTTATTAGAGTTATTTTATAATAGTATAGTATTTTTCTTATTTTTAGTTAGAAAATTAAGAGGGGTTTAAGCTATTTAGTAAAGTAATTTATAAAAGATATTTAGAGGATTTTCTATTTATTAAACTAAAAAAGTCTTTATAGGTATTTATATAGGTATAAAGTTATAGAAGATAATAATTAGACTTTTTAATACTCTTTTATACTTATAGCTATATTAAGCTTTTCTATAAGCCCTAGAGGTAGTAATAAGTTAAAGCTATTACTATTTAGGTTATAGCTAAATATATCTCTATTATAGATAGGAATAGAAATACTATATATTTATATTATACTATAAGAAGTTAAGTTATAAATAAGTTAAATAATTAGAGGCTAAATAAAAGCCTAATAGTATAATAAATATATTAAGTTATATAGTTAAGGCTTTTTTATTAAGTATATATAGTATAAAGTATTATACTATTTTATAGGTTATTTATATTAAATATTTACTTATTAAGTTAATTTATATAACTAAGGCTATATCTAGCTTTAGCTTAAGTATATAAACCTTAATTATATAAATTATAGTAAAGTTAGAGAGAGCTAATATTAGCTTAAGTTTTAAGCCCCTAAGAGTATTAATATTAGTACTAATAGATAATAATAATAATAATAACTTTTAAGTAGAGTATATTTAAGTAAAAGAGTATGAAATATAGTATGTAATATAGCTTTAAGAGCTTAATATTATTTAATATAACCCCTCTACCCCTTAAGGCTAAGGCTAGAGCTAAGAGAGATCTTTTAGTACTTAATAGCACTAAAATAATTAGATACTAAATAATTAAACTTTTTATAATTTTTAAAAAGACCTTAAATTTAAGTAATTTAGGCTTAAATTATACTCTTTTTAAATATTAGCTAAATTAGCTAAAAGGTAGCCTTTTAACCCTCAAAGTAGCTAAAAGATAATAGCTAAAAGTTAGCCTTTTAGCTATTATTTAGTATCTTTTAGCGTTATTTAGGCCTTAAAGTAGCTAACTAATTGCTAATTGCCTATTAGCTACGCCTAGTTATAGTAGGCTACCCTACGCAATTATTAAATCTACCCTGCGCAATTAACAAACCCCGCAGACTTGGACGGGCATTACGTACATCTGTGGAGCGGCGTGGATGGGTATCCGTAACACCAGCTGGTTTGAGGCCTTTGTCGATGTGGACTGAATACCTCAGCGAAATCGACGCTGCGATATTCGAGATTCGACGCCGTCCTGAAACGATTCTAGTATATTGGAACAGACCATAGTACGTGTATTATGGCTCCGACGGGGAAGAAGCCGACCGGATCGTGGATCCGCGACCCATTATCAAAGAGGCAGTGATGAATTGCAAGTGGATGCTGGAGGAGACGGCATCGCCATATCGTCCCCCGAGTCCCCCGTCGCCGTTGCCGTTGCCGTCTCGAAGACGGGGGAAGGGGGTGAGAAAGGGGCCCCCCCAGTGTTTGTTTCAACGGGAGCGAAATTTCGTCCCATGATCTCCGAGCCGCCAAGCTTCACCTTTCTGTTTCCAGCCGGGCCGTTGGTCCCAGCAAAGGAGTCGCGAACGGGCTGATTGCGCGATTCGTCGCTAGCGAGCGATGGGGTAACGGCATGTGGGCGTTGTCATTGTGTCATCCCAAGGTGTGCGATGTAAAGTCGACGCACCTCGTGGAGGATAAGAATCTGGCGATGATGGGTTTTCGGTGTGCGGCAGCACCCCGAGAAACCAGAGGTTGCATACACGGCATCCAATATTCATTTCGTGTGAGTGAAGACGGGTATGTGCTCCGGCAGCCGTTTTCTCTCTCACGGGGGCTACCCTCGTCTTAGCACCTTGCGATATTATGCGTTTCGACCAGCCGTTCGCCGGTTGAGGGGAGGGAAAGCAAGGGACTGTGGACGAAGGTGTCACCGCGACCCACGAGACTCCTCCCCAAAAGAACCTCGCCAAGGGTTCAAATGCAGGTACAGCGCACGTCTGCGGGCCACGAAAACCTGCATGCAGAGGGGATTGCAAGAATGCGTTGGATTGTTCTGGATTTTCTTTTCTTCTCTCTTTGGGTCGGTGTAGGGCGCAGAGGCAGAGGGCTTGTCGTGGACCCGGCGGCGGAGAAGAATACGAGGCGTAGAGTGGTGTCGAGGTGATGGAATACCTAGCAAAACGGATTGCTCTTTGTGGACGGGATCCTCAGTGCTTCCACATACAATGAATTGTCGGATAGAGGTGAGGCAGGCTAGGTAGACGTGATTTGCGGATGACGGAACTGGTGAGATTCGTGGCACCATTTTTAGAATGCTTAGGGCGGTTTTCTTTTCCCTAGGTACCTTAAGGTAGGGTCGCTAAAACGTTGCTCTAGAATGACAGGGAACAAACAAACGTGTTTTTTCGCAGGATTTCTTTTCCCTTTCCCCTTTTCTTTCGAGGGCTCTCGTATTTGGGTTGTACGATGCACTGCACTTTTGGAAGCACTTCAGTGCCCCATTCGGATTGGCGCCGCTGAGCCTGTTGACGGTTCGGGCAGTCATCGATGAGTCCACATTCCAGTGCTGTGTATACCTAGGACTATGAGGTAGAAACGACCCTTCTAACGCGTTCGTCATCAGACACGCGGTCCATTCTTGATGCCAGCGTCCAGTCCAGACTGGATTGGTTTTACTGGTTTTTAATTGATGAGTGAGCGGACGGGCTAAGGTAGCAGGTGCCGCCGCCATGATCTCCTTGGCGAAACCAACGGCGCCAATTGACGGGCAGACAGATAAAGGTCACAGGTGTTGTTGAGGTGCTAGTGTTGGTCAAGGTAGGAATCAATCAATCAGACTTTCGTCTCATGCATCTCATCTCATCCTATCCCATGTTATTCATCGCCGAGAGAGAGGGGAAGAGAGAGATGGTCCGGTCCAGCCTAGTTCGTCTCACCCATCTGCCCAAACTGCTCTCATAACCAGTCGCCTGCTTCTCATACTCATATTGAAGCCATTCCATCGAGGGTGGCCATGACGAGCCCGTATTCCCTTGAAATGTCGCCGCACCACTCACCGCGCTGACCTGAGATGTGTACCTGCAGCCACCAACAAGCCATGCACTTCTCTGCTCTCTCTCCCTCTCCCTGGCTGTTCCTGTTCCTGTTCCTGAACAGGGAACCTAACCTGCCCGAGCACAGGCACAGGCACAGGCACACATCTGGGCTCTCTTCTTGCCTTGCCTCGCCCCCTGCCCTTGTCCATGTTCCCCCGTGATAGTGGACAGTGGAACTGCTCATTGCAACTTTGGGGACCTCTGGTTGGCCAATGGGGGCGCGATGTCCTCCAGCTAGCAGCCACCCGCCCATATCAAGCGAGATTATCGAAATCTTGCACTCCTGCGAGAGTGACTGCATGTGTGGCTCCCATCCAAACAGACACACAATCGAGCGCTTCCACGCTTTGTTTCCTGCCAGACGAACTGCCTTTGCTGGCTTGTCTCTCAATTTTTTTTTTGGCCTTCCCTGGCTCTGACTTTCCGGCCCCCGATGCTTATTATTGTCGTCGAGCCGCTCACTCCACCACCCTCCTTCCCTTTCCCTTCCCTCTTTTCCCCCTCCTGCCATCGCCGCCATGCCATCATCCTGACCCATCGGCCATGAGAACTGGCGGATGCAAGGGAGACAAAGGATCTCGCCCACGAAACAACGAGAAACGGTTGAACGATCGATTTTGAAAAGCAACAGCGTTTGTTTGAACATTGGGATTTTTCGAGCTTGAACCCGGACCGAAAGAGGGGGGACATTCGTCACTGCTGGACATTCGCTCGCCGGCCCGTTGCAGGACACCACCCAAAAAAAAAAAAAAAAAGCCAACAACACCACCACCGGACGATGCAATTCATCGACATCGACTCGCCTACGAACAACACGCCAAGAATGGAATTCGAATAGATCGACATCTTTCATCCATACAGCGCACTCGCAGAACCACACTCGCTCAGCACCAACCACCAGTCACTCGTTAAACGGTACTTCTGAACCACCTTATTCTATCTTTATATGTCTTTTTATTCGTAGCGCTCGGCTTCGCCTCAGTCAGCTCGAACGGATTCGCCTCCCTTACGGGAACAAACCACACTTCGGCCAACCAGACCGGCGCAGTAGCTCAGCCTACTGTCCACGCCACCCCAACCCACAACCATGACTAAATCACACCGCGGGTCTTCACTCCCTCAGGCCCGCTCATACCATCACAATCATTACCATCTACACAACAGACGCGACGCCTCCCCCGAGAATGCTCCTCACCAACACCACCGCCGCCAGACTGACGAACCCGACCCCAGCCCCACTCCCGAGCCCGCATCCAGCACGGTGGCTTCTCGCAGAGTCGTCGTCCAGACCGTCTCGCTCATTCAAGTAGTTGATGAGTCCGGTACACCTATCGAAGTCCAGACTCGTTACGCTCCTCTTTCCACGGCCGACTCATCGTCGTCGACGTCGAGTCCCAGCCCAAGTCCCAGCACATCCACCAGTGCCTCCCTTGGCCTGTCAATCGCCGCAGTGTCTTCAGAGTCGTCGACCACCGCTGCCACCACCACGACTACGACTAGCGACATCACGTCCGAATCTTCGAGCTCCACGTCAAATGACTCTTCGCAGTCGATACCTTCGGCGACGACACCCTCGACAACTCCCTCATCAACACCTTCACCGTCATCTGCGAGCTCCGGCTCTGCCTCCGGCTCCTCTGCTAGTCAAGATATTCCCTTGACGTCCGATCCTTTAACCTCGCCTCCGGCATCGTCTGCATTGCCTTCGCTATACCCTTCGTTGAGCGCTGCTCCAAACTCAACAATTCGTGAGCCTCCCTTTGCTGCGTTTTTGATGCGAACAGAACGACTGACCGGCGTCTTTAGCATTCCTTACCTCAACAAACTCATCTTCAACATCAGTCCTTACCGAAACCACTTCAACGAGCCTGTTTTCGTCCGGTTCAATAAGCGTAACGTCTTCAGTGCTTTCGTCACTCTCGTCACTTTCTTCAATCTCCGGTTCTACTTCCACCACCGCCGCCACCACTACCACCACCTCTGGTAGCCCTAGCAGCACCAACTCTTTTGCCACGAGCACATCGACAGGTTTCCCCGAGACGACAGCAGGAGGAGATGGAAGCGACGGTGGTGTCGGCGGCGTTGGAGGCGGCGGCTCAGCATCTCCCACATCAACATCTACTTCGAACAACACTAGCAGCGACGACTCGGCCCCATCAACCGGAACCGTTGTGGGCAGCGTCGTGGGGAGCATAGCGGGCGTGGCATTTCTCGTATTACTCGCCTTTCTGGCCTTGCGGTGGAAGAAGGGCTCCGGAGGGAGACTTCGGCTCAGCGAGGCTAGCGGATTGGGCAACCGGGGCATTCTCAACGGCTCGGGCGCCCCCGACGGCGGCAGCAACAGACCCGGAATGGCCCAGCGAGCCTTGACTTTTGGCCCAGCGGTGATGGCCGGCGCAGCAGCCGCGGCCAAACCTTCGTCGAGAAGAGCAAGTGAACCTTCCGAAACCGGCGAGAGAGGCTTCGTCAGGGTCGCCGGTAGGAAACTGCCGTCGGTCCTCCAGGCTGGAGGCGACGGCTATACCGACCCTCGGGAAGCCGCCGGAGGCGCAACCGCAAACGACGACGAATCGGTCTACTACCGCGACTCCCAGGTATTCTTCGACAGCGGCGCGGGACAAACGCGACTCGCGCTCGGCTCACCAATGCGGCCGGTTAGCGGTGTGGTCACAATGCAGCCCGGTCCGGCCCGGACACCGGTGACGGAGTCGGCTCCGTTCCCGCCGCCGCCACCGCCGCCTGACTCGAATCTCTCGCCGTTACAGCCTCCGCCGCGGGACCCCATTGGCCGGACTTTGAACTCACAAGACGGCTCGCGGGGGTCCCGGGGCTCTGTTTCCAGGTTCCAAGAGGACATGTGATCCTCCCACGAACCGCACCTTTTCTTTCCTCCCCTTTTTTTCCCTTCCCCAGAGCCGGCTCGGCTGGCTTTGACGTACCTTTGAAGCGTACTGTACATTCTCATCAATCTTTCAAAAAAACCGATAATCCTTAGTACCTATTCGAGGGAGGTCGTCTCTTTTTCTTATTTTCTTCGAAACTTCAGAAGAAAATCTCTTTTTGGGCTCTATGACAGCATTTGGGACTGGCGTTCAGTGTAGGGAAAGTGAAGGAGGAGGTTGGCCGCGTCTGATATAAGCACCCTTCATGACGAAGAGGGGGGACTTGGGGATTTACATCAGACGATGCGCGCGACTTCTGCTTCACTCTCGTCCTTTTCTGCCGACGAGGCTGCGGTACCGCGATGATAAAAAGGTACGGCTGCGGCTAGAAGCGAACCAGGAGCGGATGGGATATTCGGAGCGTTTGCTTGTATGTAGATTCTTTTCCCACAAAAGTTGGGTGAAAGGGATGGATGGGGGCCGCAATCGGTCTGAACTTATCCCCCTCCTTTCGATCCGACGAGAAGAGGTGGAGGGAAAGGGGAGGGAACTTTTTTTTCTCTTCTTACTCCCCGACGTCTACCTCGCTACGAATAATGTCCAACCTGGTTCATGCGCGCACTCTCTGACTTGGTACCATTCGCCTCATGACCATGTGACTCGAAGCTTGTTCGTTGCAACGGTTCAGCCTGTGCTTACTCCAGGACCCGGCACGGCTCTTTTCGATGGGGGGACTAATTTACCCAAAAGGCACGGGAGGACTCCCGTCCGATCACGTCGAGAGAGTGATGTTCACAGGGATGGGAGGCACGAAGGCGAGGCGAAGAATATGGGACCTGGGGAGGTAGGCGAAAGGGAGGGGAGGGGAGGGGAGACCGGAAGGCCGGATGGAATGTGGAACCGGCGAAGAAACGGCTTTCTTCGTTCGTTCGTTCTCGTCTTTTTCCTTCATCGTCATCACCGTCATCCATTTTCACCGGCTACAGTAACGCTCTTTCCTAGTTGAGATGAGACGTGTCGGCTCACAGAAGCATTGGACCTGACGCTTCTTTGCTAAGTGACAAGCCCGGTATGGGACTGTCTGCTATACTGACTGCGATTTACGACAGTCTGCAACGCGGACCCTGAGTTCGTGGGGAGGATGGAGGGGTAAGAGAGGCTCAGTAAGTCTCGGGATATCTTTCCCGTCCGTTGCTCGTGGAGCCCCCGCGACAAGGCCAAGAAGGCGGTTTACCAAGGAAAAAGAGAACGGGGCGGAGCGGCGGGGGAGGCGCACGGCGTTGGCATTACCTTAGCATTGAATTGAAATGCGATGCTTGGTGGTTGGGGCAGAGAAATCCTGTGGGCGGCGGTTGCACAGGGAGGGGGAGAAGAGAGAGGAAAAAGTTGAGAAGGGATCTTGAGACAGACATGAAACGGGAATGGGAAAGGTGGTATACTCCAGCCAGCAGGTTCCCGCTCGCACGACTCTGGGCCCTCCGCTACCGGGAAGTGTGCTTAGACCCTGCATGACAAATTGCCCATGTCTGTTACCACTTGCAAAGTTGCATGCAGAGCGCTCTGGTGCTTCGCTGGCGGACTTGATGCCGTCGTCCTTATTAGCACTGGAGGGTGGTGGTTGTGGATATCGTTGAGCTCGTTACGGTCTGGCGGGTGTCTCATCTATCAGGTGTTTATCAGTGTTTACCGTCCCATCTACAACACGGGATGAAACATCTTTCTTTCAGGGCTAGGCAGTCCGGATGAGCTGGATCAAATGGCATTCGTCTAGAAGGCGCCTCGGTTGTTGTGTAGATAACCGACCTGAATCAAAAGGTCGCGCGACGTCGAATATGCTCGTGAGATCGACAGCTTGACAGCGGGTTGCTTTTACTGGGTCTGTACCCGAGGAGCTCTTATCTCCCACCGGTCCCCTGACACGATGACTGCTTGGGAGCAGATCGCAAGACGGGCTACCCCGATGCCTCACGTAAAAAGAACAGTCTGTGCCTCCCGCCAGAGCTTAATAGGCCCTCCGTCATGAGACTGGACAGCCCACGGCGCGCAGGGCAAGACTGTCTTCAGCGGAGACGCCATTACGAACTCGTCGGGCACCGTATCCACTTGCTGTTTTGAGAGGCCCAGGTTGGCCGTCTGATGGCTCGAACCACGGCATCGATGGCGTCTTCTTCCGTCGAGGGGCCAGCCCTGTCCAAATTACCTTCGAGAAGCTTTGCAACTCGCGGGCCTCGGCGTAACAGGTTAGAGCGGCGGAGGAACTGATTACTGCGAACGAGCGAGGGAGGCGAGGACATGAGTCTCTGTCGTTCTGGACTGAAATCTGGGACGATCTACACGGCCTCGTCGCCATGCGCGTATGGATCCACTCGAGGAGTCGATGTCGGAGTCCCAGCTTGAATATTCGTACGGACCTACCCCTCGTTCTTGGAGGGGAACGGGATGTGGACTGTGGAGTCGCAAGACCCCTTGGTTCTCCTCTCGCCGGTAGACTCGGATCAAGAAGTTGAAACCCCCAGGTAATTAAAGTGCCGGGCCTGCTTTGCCTTGCTTTCGAAATGCAAACATGGCGATTGAGCGGAGAAGTGCTAATAAGATGTTACCATAGCTTCAAGAGGGATAAAGGTAAACCTATTGATGGGGTATGGGTCGCTGCAGGCGAACTCAAACGGCGATGGATGAGAAGCACGAGGCAGCCGGGAAGAGCTGTTGCAAGGCATTAAGAGTCGAGAGCTCCATGCCGCTTACTCGTCGATTCTTGTCGCGGTGCTGTGCTATGTGCTGTCACATCAAGCAACCCTTGTCTTGTTGTCATCCCGAAGTTGGCTTGCTAAGTCCGAGCACTGAAGCTTCGTCCAAGAAAGGGATCGGAGCTAGAGCTTGTCAGGCACGTCGTGTCGATAGGGCGCGCGGCTGGGCAGATGATACCGAGGGGGCTGCTTTGATAAGCGGCTTCGTCCCGTATTCTCGTAAGGCGAATGCGAGTATTGTGAGTAAGGTAAATGGATGATGGCATCGAGACACGCGCGCGGTCAGTGACATGTAGGGATGTTGATTGCGGGCTCTGCAGCGTGCAGAAGAGAAGAGGCCGCACGGGCAGCAGATGGAGCTTGTCAGGCAGGTGATGGCAACGATATGATTCGCCGATGGGTGATTCCTTTCACATCCTGCCGCGCCAGGGTTGCAGACTGACAGAGAGAGCGACCGGGGGGAGGGGTCAAGGTTGGGTTGAGGGGGAAGAAGTGAGACAGAAGAGAAATATCCCGATATCAAAAGGGTTGGAAGTTTGAAGGCAGCGTGGCTGAGGAGGATGTGAGGGAGGGAGCCGATGGGCAGAAAAGGTAAGACAAAGAGATTTGCGAGGTAGAAGCAGCGTGAAAAGCATAGCATCTTGGGTGTAGAGTACTGGATTGACATGGCATTGATGTGCTGTGCTGGCCGACCCCTGGCTGGATTGAAATCCATGATCTCACTCTTCGGGTTCTCGCATAGCTGGTTTGCGACGTCGTCCAAGTGCCGGACCATGATTCGTGAGGCGGCTCGAACCAGTAACCAGCAAAGGAGAGGAGTTGGGACGATGGCGACGGGATGGTAGGACGGAGCTATTTACAGCTTCGGTAAGGTAGGCGGTGATGGCCAAGAATGTTTGCTTGCTGAACGAGTCGAATTGCGCCGTTCCCTAAGTTTCGGTACGTTGGTGTTTGGTAGAGAGGAAGGGACCAACCAAGATTGCAGGCGGCCTTGAGATTGGGAGAAAGAAAAACGTGCCACAGAAAGAGACTCGCGGGTTACATGTAATCCATGGTGGTATTCCCAGTCGATAGTCGGGAGGCCGAGTACTGTGGTAGTCGTTGTTCTTGATAGAAGTGTCTGCAGTTGAAGATGAACGGGTTTGATGTACTTCAGTAAGGTAGGTAGGTACCTCACATTCCTATGATCCTGATCCTTCCTTCCCGACTTGCTGCTTCCTCTCGGAATGCCGGGGTACGTACCTGTGCATCCCTCATCTGGCAGCAACTGTAAGGTACCCGACCCTTGCACCAAGCCCCTCCATCTCACTCACTCCATGACCACGACGTCCACAGCCCACAGTCCACAGTCCACAGTCCACAGTCCACTGCGGTGCGGCAAACCTGGAGCAGCGACACAAGACACAAGACACCCGCCCTCAACCTCAAGCAACCCCCGTCCCGTACTCCCCCCCTCGCCGACGCTGACCAATGCCACTGCAAGCACACTGACGAACGACTCTGCAACTCTGTAACGCCTTTTGCCCCCCCCCTCCAACAGGTCGTCCACCAAACGACAGGAGGTAAGGCAGCTAAGGTACGGGATGCTGGGCAATTATGTGATACCGCCATGCTCGAATGCTGCTTCACCTTTTACTTCCTCCGTCCCATCTTTTTCATTTTTTCTCCCTCCTTCGTTTCTTCCCTCCTTACTTGCTATTTTCCTCTTTCCCTCTTCTTGACTTTCTCCGTTCAGTCCTTCCCGAAGGCGTCGACCGTGATACCCCCCCAAAAAATAACCACCCCTCCCACTGGCCCCCAACATCGCCCAGGAACAAGAACAGGAACAGGAACAGGACCACACGACTAAACGAATACGCCTACAACCCTACAGCACCCCACGCGCCCGTTGGCCGACCTCGTCTCGTTTGACCTAAGGTATCGCTGCCTGCCTATCTTGGCTGCATTTACGGCATCAAACTCGACGACTTCTCCACCGACCGGAGCCTAGACCGGATCTCGCCGCGACGCAGTGTCGGACTCTCGCTCGCTGGCTGAATCCCGCACCGCTATTTTTATTACGACTTCTCCTGCCGTCTCCCGCGTGCCGTCTTGCGTCCCTCCTCACCACAAGCTGGAGACACGTTTGGGCACATTTCTCATCGGCCTTTAGTAGATCCATCCATCCTGTCAACTCAGCCACCAGCTAGCTTACCGAGCGAATTACAAAGGCCTTCCGCCGCCGCTACGCTACTCTCGCGCTACCTGCTTGCGAATACCGAGACGGGAAATACCTACTGTTGGATCCATTCATCTTTTCCGTCTCACGGTCCCCTCTCTTCCACTGCCCCTCGACAAACTCGAGCTTGGTTGCGCCCAACCACAACTGACCACCTTGGTCCTTCACGACTGCTGCGCTATTCTTCAGCTTCCCCAAGCTTGTAGGGAACCTCGTTTGCGACCGCGACCGCGCCCTGCCACGACTTCGATTGCGCCTTCTCGCCAGTCAGTCTATTTCGCCCACCATGGACCACATGGGCTTCCAGATGCCTCACATGGGGCACCCGCCTCCATTGATGAACCAGCCGCCCCAGATTTTCGGAGCTTACACCGCCGATGGCCTCCCCGTTCAACACATGCCGCCCGACTTGGCCGCCCATATGTTTGGCGATCCCTCCACACTTCTTGACGATGCGAACGAGGCAAAGAGGAGGAGGATTGCGAGGGTAAGCGCTCTGCAGCGGCCCGCGACGGCTGGCCGTCTTTTGTGGTGGACAGAATTTGTGCTCATGCATTGCGCAGGCTTGTGATATGTGCAGGAAAAAGAAGATCAAGTGTGATGGCAAACTACCCGCGTGTAGTCATTGCATAAACTACAAAACCGACTGCGTCTTTACACAGGTCGAGAAGAAACGAAACCCACCCAAGGGGTATACCACCTTGTAGCAACGTAACTCGGCTGCGCGGTTGACTGACACTGAAACAGAGCAAAGTACATTGAAGGACTCGAAAATCGCCTCGGCCGTATGGAAAACCTGCTGCGGCTCTCAGGTACGTAGTCTGTGTTCTGCGGAGAAGCCTCCAATCTAATAAGCCGCGTAGGACTTCTTGGTGAAGATGACAATGGCGAAACCGATCTCGGCACCCTCGAGAAGCGCCTGGCAGAGAAACACCAGCAGTCGAGGCAAGCTTCCCAAGCTGCATCGAACCCGACTTCACCCTCTCAGGCAACGTCAGGTCAGAATGAGATGGAGTCTACTCCTCACAGCACCATCACGTCACCTGAACCAACCAAAGACACCCACAAGGAACACAAGGAGGGCGAGAGGCGCAAATCTGTACACCCCGAGGAACCCGAAAAGAGCGAGGAGGAGGTCGAGGCGCTATCTGAGATGATGTGCTCCCTGGTCACAAATCAGAGTGGTGAGACTCGATACATCGGATCCTCCTCCGGCTTTTCCATCTTCTCTCCCAAGGGTATTCAGTGGGTCCGAGAGAAGACCGGAGACAACTCATTCCAGCAGATGATCTCCGAGGTATCGATCGATGACCACAAGTGGACTGCCTGGAAACCGGAGGTCTTCAGCGACCTATTTCGACGTCCCATCTTCCGACCCTTACCGCCGAAGCACGAGGCGCTGTCTCTGTTGAAGGACTACTTTGAGAACTTCAACTGCATGTTTCCCCTGTTCCACCAACCGACCTTCATGCATTTGGTTGAGCGACAGTATTCCGACGACCCCTACGAGGGTACTGGTTGGTGGGCAAGTTTGAACTGTGCGCTGGGTTTCGCTCACCGCCTGCGCGTTATGAGCAACTTGGTGCCCCAGGAGGAAGACGAAAAGGCGTGGGGTTACATCAAGAACGCACTGGGAACCTTTGCTGAATTGACCATGCGCAACACGGATCTGTTGAGTGTGCAGGCGTTGCTGGGTATGGCTTTGTTCATGCAAGGAACACCGAACCCTCAACCGACGTTCGTGCTCGTCGCGACGGCAATTCGCCTGGCTCACACCATCGGCCTGCACAAGAAGGGAACCGGTTTCAACTTGAACCCTATCGAGATCGAGCAACGGAAGAGAGTCTTCTGGATCGCATACATGCTGGACAAGGACTTGTGCCTCAGGGCGGGCCGACCGCCAGCGCAGGACGACAACGACATGAACGTGGAATTGCCTGACGCGGATCCGGAGGACAATATCGGCAACATTCCTCTGGCTGACGGCAAGGGCAAGATGAACTTGTTCAGAGTCATGTGCGAGTTCGCGACAATCGAAAGTAAGGTGTACTCTCGCCTATACTCGACGAAGGCGACTAAGCAGTCGGACGGCGAGCTTCTGAACACCATTGGGGAGCTGGATCAGGAGCTCGAAGAGTGGAAGGACCGCATCCCAATCGATTTCAGGCCGGAACATGAGATCAAGGCTTCGCACACGCCCCTCATCCTCCATGTCGTCATGCTTCACTTGACATATTATAACTGCTTGACAACGATTCACCGAATGTCAGTTCACCACGGATACTGGACGAGCCGTCTGTCCAATTACGCCATTCAAGGGCTCAACGCGAAGCCACTCAACCCGCGCGTCTTCTCATCCTCGGCTCTCTGCACCGCTGCAGCTCGTGCTTCGATTTCATTGCTGAAGTACATGCCTCAGGGAGACTCTTCGAGTGTTTGGTAAGTTGAACTCTCCGTTCGTTCGAGAGATGCTGGGTCCTAACTTGTTTCTCCATCAGGCTCATTCTGTATTTCCCTGTTTCTGCATTGATGACACTGTTCGGAAACATCTTACAGAATCCAATGGACCCAAGAGCAAAGTCTGACACGAGACTTATGAACTTGGTCGTTAACTTCCTATCCATGCTGGGACAAGAGGCCGAGACTGGTGGTGTCCACCGCATGCTAGGAGTCTGCTCCGAGTTTGAGCGGATTGCCAAGCTTGTAATCGAGAAGGCAGAGAAGGACCAGTCATCCCGAAGGAAACGCAAGAGCGATGCCGTCAAAGTTTCGTCGAGCCCAGCCGCATCTTCCCATACTCCTCGACCTGTTTCAGCGACAACTCCGACGCCACAAACCGTCACCGCCAACTCCGGGACAAATGGCCAGTTGTCTCCCGACTTCAACGGGGAAGCTAACCGGAGGAGGCACGGATTCAGCCCCATGCAGACTACTTCTATGCGCGAGCCTTCGCCGGCCCTGCCATCTGCTGGGTGGCCACAAGAGTTCCCAATGCCGGATCAATCACAATTCGGCAATTTTGCTGAAATGACCGGGTTCGGGCAAAACAACCCGCGCTCACCTCCCATGAATATGGGCGCCCCATTCCAGCAACCTCTTCTGCCGCAGGACTTGTTTTCACTGCCGATGACGTTGGATTGGGACTGGGCCGAGATGAGCGGCGGCGCATACCCGACGGTGGAGAACGGAAACGTTGGCTGATGCACGAACGCTTCAAGGTTCGTGGGTACGGCGTGAATGAAGAGCGGATGAGAAATTCCCCACGGTTACGGGGCATGGAAGACCATGGCTGTAAATATGGTCAATTTATGGGCATATGAGACGACATAACGACACTTAAACGCATGTACTAGTAATCAGCCCGTTTGAGGCGGAAAAGTAGGTCATATCTGGTGTACGACCGTGGACGGCCGCCGTAGTGCGGCGTTGTATATTGCCATAGAGTGGCGGACAGCCTGTCTAATGAAGAGAGGACCACATATGACATTGAGGTCGAGACTTGACATGAACAGGCGCCATTGAGTTGAGAGAAACGCTGAGATTAATCGAAGATGCACGACTGCTCAGACCAGGTAAGTTGAATGAGTCACTTGGCAGACGGTTACTTGACTGGAAATTGTTACAGATAGGGATTACTTTATTTTTTTTATGACCATTCTGTCTCCAAGGTACTCTCCCAAGGGATTCGGAGGTTTCCACTTCCACGCCGAAAGAGTTATTGCTGCTGCTGTTCAAATGATTGAACGGTTGAGGAGGAATAAGGGCAGGTACGGGAGTGGCGGGCAATGGAGGTGTCATGCCGGAGTTTACGGCGGAAAGAGTGGGTTCCTGCCACAACGGGCCGCCAAAAGTCCGACCCGACCTGTCTTTTGCCATCCAGAGTCGTGTACGTAGTCATCCGAATAAGTCGATTTGCCCATTACCAACCGCATCAAATTTCTTTTGACCACCGCCTCGACCGCAGCGGTCGGTGTCACTAAGCTCCCAATTTCCACCCAGTCGACCGCCTACCATCCAGTAAGGCGATTCAATGAGGTAGCGCTACACGCGAATATTGTAACTCGACCCCGGTCGTCCCGTTTCCCCCAGGCATACACAATGGCGAGGTTTCTGCTGCGCCAGTCGGCGCAGCTCGCGCGAGCTGCCAGAATCACGCAGCGATCGACTCTTCGAATGCGATTTCAGCCGTCCTCCAATATAGCTCGACTGCGTCCCCAAGCGCCTCTGGCCGCCTACCGATCGCAATTCTATTCGACGTCGAACAAGCCAGAACCTCCGAAGGACGACAAGAAGGAAGAGAAGGACGAGAAGAGTCCAGAGAAGAATGAGGAGGAGGAGAAGAAGCCAAACGAAGAGACGGACACGGAGAAGCTGCGTGCCGCCGAGGAGGACCTCATACGGAAAGAATGGCCGCTGCCCGAAAACTGGGTGTACCTCACCGAGGAGGAGCTCGGCATTCTGCTCAAGATGGCCGAGAATGACAGGCTGCCCCAGTTTCAGAAAGACTTCTTCATCAAGAGCGTCGAGGAGATGAGGCTATTGGGAGCCCCCCAAGAGATGAGGGAGCTTCTGATTTCATTGAAAGAGCGTAAGTTGAAGCTGTCCGTGGCCGACATTACCAAGGTCCTTCGCGTCTCAACGAAGGTCGCAAAGAGATTTTCGGAATACGAGGCGACAGTAATGATGCGCGAAGAAGAACAGGAGATGAACAAGAGGGAGAAAAGAGGAGACGAGGAAGGACAGGGAAAGCAGAGAGACGAGCAGCGGAATCAGAACTCTGAGCAGGGTGAAGGTAGCCCTGGTGGGCCCGGCAAAAACAAGTGGCTCTTCGGCATGTTCAGCACCGGCGACTTGATTGTTGCCGCCCTCGTCTGGGCGGTGATATTGCCGTTCTTCGAGTCTATATTTTTCGGCTCTGAGAAGGAGATCACATGGCAGGAGCTGCGCAGGAATTTCCTCGACAAGGGTCTCGTCAACAAGCTCGTGGTCATCAAGACTACCGGCCGCGTTCGCGTTGAGCTCAACCGCGAGGGAGTGCAGTCGGTATACGGCGGTAACGAAGGCATCAACCCCAGCGTACAGTACTACTTCTCCATCGGCTCAGTTGAGATGTTCGAGAAGCAGCTTGAGGACGCCCAGAGAGAGCTCGGCATTCCGCCTGCGGAGCGCATTCCAGTGAGCTATGCTAGTGAGGGCGGCATCATGCCTCTGGTCTACGCTTTTGGCCCAACCCTGCTCCTTGTTGGTCTCTTGTACTACACCACCAAGCAGATGGGCCGTGGAGGCAATCAGATGTTTGGTATCGGTAAGAGCAAGGCTAAGCGGTTCAACCATGAGACGGCGATCAAAGTAAAGTTTGCCGATGTCGCCGGCATGGATGAGGCCAAGGTCGAGATCATGGAGTTCGTCAGCTTCCTCAAGACGCCCGAGCGATTCGAGAGGTTGGGCGCCAAGATCCCCCGCGGTGCTATTCTTGCCGGACCCCCGGGTACTGGTAAGACGCTGCTCGCCAAGGCCACGGCCGGCGAGTCGGGCGTTCCTTTCTTCAGCGTCAGCGGTTCCGAGTTCGTTGAGATGTTTGTCGGTGTCGGTCCTTCCAGAGTGCGCGACCTCTTCGCCACGGCTCGTAAGAACGCGCCCTGCATCATCTTCATTGACGAAATCGACGCCATTGGTCGTGCTAGACAGGAGGGCAACCGCATGGGTGGCAATGACGAACGCGAGGCTACGCTCAACCAGATCCTTACCGAGATGGATGGCTTCAACACTCAGGAGCAGGTTGTCGTTCTCGCAGGCACCAACCGAGCCGACATCCTCGACAAGGCTCTGATGCGTCCTGGCCGTTTCGACAGGCACATCTTCATCGACCGCCCGACGATGAAGGGCCGTCAGGACATCTTCAAGGTGCACCTTAGCAAGATCGTCACCAAGGAGGACATGGAGCACCTGACTGGTCGTCTGGCAACACTCACTCCTGGTTTCTCTGGTGCCGACATCGCCAACGCCGTCAACGAAGCCGCCCTGGTTGGTAAGTCAAGTCCAGCAACTCTTTATGTCAACAAGATACTAACATTCCGCAGCTGCCCGTGCCAACGCCGAGACTGTCGAGATGATTCACTTTGAGCAGGCCATTGAGCGTGTTATCGGAGGTCTCGAGCGCAAATCTCTCGTCCTCAACCCTAAGGAGAAGAAGACCGTTGCCTACCACGAGGCCGGCCACGCCATCTGCGGCTGGTACTTCGAGCACGCCGATCCCCTCCTCAAGGTGTCCATCATCCCCCGTGGACAGGGTGCGCTGGGTTATGCACAGTACTTGCCTGCTGGCGATGCGTACCTGATGACTGTGCAGCAGCTGATGGACCGCATGGCCATGACGCTGGGTGGTCGTATCTCTGAGGAGCTGCACTTCCCCACCGTCACAACAGGTGCCAGCGATGACTTCCGCAAGGTCACCCAGATGGCCCGCAAGATGGTAACCCAGTGGGGTATGTCTGAGAAGGTCGGTCCTCTTCACTTCGACGACGACCCGAACACCCTCCAGAAGCCCTTCGCCGAGGCAACCGCGCAGGCCATCGACGCCGAGGTGCACAGAATCGTGGAGGAGGCCTACAAGCAGTGCCGCGATCTGTTGCAGGCGAAGAAGCACGAGGTCGGCCTCGTTGCGGAGGAGCTTCTGAAGAAGGAGATGCTCACCCGTGACGACTTGGTCCGTATTCTCGGACCAAGACCGTTCGGCGACAACCAGGAGTTTGAGAAGTACTTTGGCGGCCAGGGCCAGAAGAGCGCGCCGCCGCCGCCACCAACGGAGGAGGCCGACAGCCCTCCCGAGAACCCTCCCGTCCCCCCTGCGCCCGCTTTCAAGAGTCTGGATGCCCAGGATAGCTCAAGGAGATGAAACAGTGGAAGAGGTGTCGGGCTGCAAGCCGCATTTCACGTCTGGCTGTCGGTTCCGGCAGCCGTGTTTTTTCTAAGGGGATAAAAAGGCTCTCAACTCTGTGTTACTAGTAGAGGCATCACCATTGCGGGCTGGAGTAGACGGTGGGACTTTATGTGTATTTGTATTTTGTAGATACATTCAGCCTCTCTCAAAAATACCAACTTCCTGCAGAGGGATATCAAAGAAAAAAGGGCAGCCTCAATCCACTCACGACCAGGAAGGGAACACCCCGTTGTGACAGCGCATGGAACGCTAAACGCACCAATGCTTTCAACACTAACAATCTCATATAATATGCTAATAAGAATGTATCAATAAAGGGTGTGGACTCGCCCTGGGTGTGATGTAGTACGCCCTTGGAAAGATTGACGTCTCTTTGACCTAAGCAAAACGCTCGCGCAAGATTAATCAAGAGACCAGACGACATCACACGAGCTCGATGGGCCGAGTTGCTGACGGCATTAGTGTGTCATATCTTTCGGGGTTAAGGGTCTGAGAGTTTTGGGATGGAATCGGCACGGCTACAACACTTCAGGGTTGTTGTTCCTGGTAATAGTGCTCTGAATAATGAGGGCAATAACACAGGTAGTCACGAGGAAAGGTTAGTAGTAGAGGTAGCCGGAGGCAGTGAGGGCAATAATCGAGGTACCGAGAGTTGTTACAAGGGGAAAAATGACCGCGGAGGAGTGTATCGAGCCAGAGATCAGAATCTTGCCGATCTCACGTACTAGCTTTTCAACCGGCGACTCCTAGCTCACCCATCCATCTCGGCCGTAGAAGTTGCTGTCCAACGCGGTCGACAGTCTCCTTCGCCTCACCCACGAAACCACCAGGAAGAAAGGATATCAGCAAAAATCCTTTGACATGAGAGACATCGCGAGTGGGTCGACCAAACTCCGACTCAGACAGCAAATCATTGGCGACGGCCCCCCGAGGTTGTTGAGAAAACCTCTCTGCCCAAGCAGAATTTTTCCGGGGGGCGTGACCAATCAGGACCGTCTTGGGGCCGTGGCATTCCCGGGACGGGCTTTCGCTGCGTGTTGTCGGCGCGGGCGAACTCACTACGAACATGCACGTGGCGAACTTGTTGCGGCTTTCTTGACTCGGGAGAGACCTTACTTACCAACCTAGAGAGCAGCGGTGGACGGTAGGTACTGCGGTGACGGCGAAGAGGGAGGTTGCCGTCATCATTTCTGCTTCCCATCTCTCTCTACTCCTCGGGAATATGCCCCGTTTCTGCGGTTTGGTTTTTCTTGTTCATTTGATGAGATATTGTGCTCGCCTCTCCCCACGGGTGCCATCCATATTCGAAACCTTGCCAGAGTTCCAATCGAGCGGGGGCAGACCTTTCTCTTCTGTCGCTGCTTTCTGAACATACCCGATTCTGGACTCGGTCCAGGTTCATCAGAGTTGTCGACCCTTCTCACATCATTTCCCTCTTCCCAGCAGTGCCATCTCGATTGCCGCCCTTCTGCAGCCTGTTCTTCTCATTGTTGCAGCTGCAGTCCCACTCAACGGTCGACTTTTACGGATACGGATACCTCTTCATCCCCAGAGGCCTGCCCTTCCCTCTTGGGTACCCTGTCTGGGTAGATCCATCCATTGATTCTTAAATACAACCACCACCACCCCTAGTTCATTGCCAAGGAGTTGTGCCGTCTTATTTACATCGTACACTCCAATTGCCAGCATCGCCAATTCTGTGCGGGAGGGTTTCTTCGATATGATTACGCACTGGTCCCTCCTCGCGTTTCGTTAACCTCTTATTGATATTCATTCCTCAACTTTGCTCTCTCGCCTCGTCGTTGAGCTTTCCGACGGCGCATTTCACAGAGACTTAGACGAAAGCCGTAACATCGGGGTTGGCGTAGTACCCGAAGAAGGGCAACTTTCTGTCCTTGCTTGACTTCGTCGAGAGTCTTTTGAAAGATGGCTCCCAACACGGACGAAAAAATGGTCGAGCCGCTCCCGAGACGGACGACGGGAAGCCAGAACAGTGCCGGCCGTCGTCAGCGGCGGACGAGTTGGTGGAGGGTCCAGCTGTTTCGCGGCATGATCAACGACATCCGGCGCCGAGCGCCGTTTTACACGAGCGATTGGCTGGACGCCTGGGATTATCGTGTCGTGCCGGCGACGGTGTACATGTATTTTGCAAAGTACGTCTGGCCGTTTCCTCGCGTCCCAGCCCTCTTACAACCCCGCGCGTTCGTCGGTGGTAACTTTGATGTTATTGGCCACGACGCCTTCGCATCGTGTGTCGTCGGTTGTGGATTCAGTATTGACGTAGGCTGTTAACAGTATCCTCCCCGCGCTGGCCTTCTCCCTCGACATGTTCACCAGCACCGGGTCGACATACGGCGTCAACGAGGTTCTCCTGGCCTCGGTCCTCGGCTCCGTCGTCTTTGCCGTCCTCGCATGCCAGCCCTTGGTCATCGTCGGCGTCACGGGCCCCATCACCGTCTTCAACTACACCGTCTACGACATCATGAAGCCGACGGGCGTGAACTATCTGGCCTTCATGTGCTGGATCGGTCTGTAAGTTCTCTCCCCCATCCGAAACCAAACATTGCCCTCTCGGCTTACGAGTCCGTCAGCTGGTCCCTCGTCTTCCACTGGATCCTCGCCATCATGAACTCCTGCAACTGGCTTCGCTACGTCACCCGTTTCCCCTGCGACATCTTCGGCTTCTACGTCGCCTTCATCTATCTCCAAAAGGGCATCCAAGTCCTCGAGCGTCTGGGCGACGCCGAGCCGTTCTACCTGTCCATAGTCGCTTCGCTGCTCGTCTTCATGGTCGCGTACGTCTGCGCCGGCGTCGGGGGCAGCGGTCTGTTCCACCACCACATGCGCATCTTCCTCAAGGACTACGGCACGCCATTGACCCTCATCTTCTTCACCGGCTTCGTCCGCATTGGGAGGATGAAGCCGATCCATCTGGAGGTGTTGCCGACGAGTATTGCGTTCATGCCGACTGCTGATCGCGGCTGGCTCGTTCATTTTTGGGATATCCCCGTCGGCGATATCTTTCTCGCCCTCCCTTTTGCGGTTTTGTTGACGATTCTGTTCTGGTTCGATCACAACGGTACATCCCTCCCACCCCCCCAATCACTATCGTAGACGGTACTAACTCGACGACAGTGTCATCCCTAATCGCCCAGGGCACCGAGTTTCCCCTCCGTAAACCCGCCGGTTTCCACTGGGACCTGTTCCTCCTCGGCCTGACCACCGGCGTCGCCGGCATCCTAGGCCTGCCCTTCCCCAACGGCCTCATCCCGCAGGCCCCCTTCCACACCGAATCCCTAACCGTACGAAAGTCCGAGGCAGAGGTCGACGACAAGGGCGAGTTCACCGGTAAATACGCGACGCGGGCCTCCCACGTCGTCGAGCAGCGCGTCTCGAACCTCGCCCAGGGTCTCCTGACCCTCGGCACCATGACCGGCCCGCTGCTGGTCGTGCTGCACCTGATACCGCACGGCGTGCTCGCGGGGCTCTTCTTCGTCATGGGCGTCCAGGCGCTCGAGGGCAACGGGATCACGCTCAAGCTGCTCTTCCTCGCGCGGGACCGCAACCTGACGCCGCCGAGCCACCCGCTCAACCAGATCCGCCGGCGCGCCGTGTGGGGCTTCGTCGCGATCGAGCTCGTCGGGTTCGGGGCCACCTTCGCCATCACGCAGACGGTGGCGGCCGTGGGGTTCCCGGTGTTCATCATGCTGCTCATCCCCATACGGGCGTGGCTGCTGCCGCGGTGGTTCTCGGGACAGGAGCTCGGGGTGCTGGATGGGCCTACGGCGAGCCCGTTCACGATGGAGAGCGTGGGCGGGGTGTACGGTGGTGACGCCGAGGAGGATTCGGACGAGACGAGGTTCGAGGACGGGCCGAAGAGCAGGCAGGCGAGTGGTAGCGAGGGCGTTCTGAGGAGTGCGGAGGAGGATGTTGAGCTGGGCCAGTCGAGGAGTGTTGAGTCTCTCGGGAGGGCCTCGAGGAGAGGGGGGCATGCGGGTGCTGCTGAGTGAGAGGATTTCCTTGCACGACAGAGGAATCTTGGATAATGTCTGGAGGGTCTAATTCTTGGATACCACCACGATGAAGTTGGATTGATGGAAGACATGAGTATTATAATCCCACGGGAAGACGTGGACAGTATATAGCGTTAGATACCAGAGAGGCCTGTCACTCGAGACGTGCTCTCGATTTGACACATACTTCGAGCGCGCGATATTCTCAGCGATAGAAACGAATTCACTAATTTAATCTTCACTCATCGGGTCAGGAGACTTGAGAAAGCTGGACCGCTCTCCAGCAAGGAAGGCATCGCTACTTTCCATGGTGAAAAATTGACTCCTTTCTCTGACTCCTATACCAACGGATAAATCGCACACACACTTTCGATGATTATGTATGTAGCCAATATGACAGGGTAGATTGCAGTGACGCATGCCATCGGAGCTGGAATACAGTTCTACTTGACCGTGTCTGAAGATAGCTTCGGGATGATGTTGCTTATGGTCAGGCGGACGTACTACCGTTCAGATCCTGCTTTTGTGTAGAGCTCGGCTGCGTAGGAGACGTGACGAAGCTTGAAGTAGTGTCAGATTTTCCGAGCGGAGGTGGATTGCTTCATGCCCAAAAATCAACATTCAGCCTCCTATATATTTCCCCCCCTTTTTTAGACTTGACTATATCGTCTTGAAGGCGCGATCCTCTCTAACTAGCTCGGATGTTTTTGTGGTAAGCCCGGCTAACGCTCTCCAGGAGCAAAAGAGACCAGTGCTGCTGTCCCAGGGTGATTCTATATGGAACTTGGAAGAAAAGGCGGATGAAAACGGCGGCACATGGGGGAGGGAATATCCGACGATGGTTTGGTGTACCCCAGAATGGAGAAACATAAATGCTAGGGCAAGATCGTCTGCGCTTCTGGGAACCCTATGTACACTGACTTGAGCTCAGTCGATAGGGAATTTGGCGAAGAGATGTCAGCGTTATTTCCGTCCTAATCCTGAGCTTAAACATAGCTATGTAGTGGCGATCGACATGTTGATTGGTATCTTTTGAGTAGTACGAGAGAGGCGGAAGAAAACAGAGCGGGAGAATTCAGTGAGAAAGTGCGGGAGACGTATTGAGCATATGGAAATGGGTTTCGGGTGGTGTGAGAGATCACATGGCAAGGAAACTTTGTGGTGATTACGTCCCTCGACAGTTTCCTGACAGTACCTAAGGTATGGACTAGAAACCTTGGCCAGTTCGAGCTCGTCAATAACGATTCTACTGTTATCTGCATCCATTTGTTTCATTTAGATCTGTCATAGAGTTAATGCTAATATTCCATTAGAAGAATGGCGACTATAGACTTAGTTCAATTGCTTGAGCTCTTTTGTAGCAACAGTAATAGTTCAAGCACAAGGTGGGTACTAAGTAGAATAACGTCAACGAGACGGCGGGTACACTTACGAAGCCGAGCCCTTTCTCGTCTTGATCTGGAGCTGTATCGACCTTCCCGAGCTGGCCAGCTGGGAGATGAGGTAGACACTAGCACTGGGGCTACCAAGCTCTGGTCCAAGATTGCGTATGTCGTTAACTTGAGCCAACGGCAATATATCAAGAACCGGTACGGGGGACTCGAGTTGACGAGCAAACTACCACTACTCCATTTAAGTTGGGTTTGATTTCTTTCTTGGAAAATCACTACCATCTAAGTTAATATGACCAAAAGCACGGCCAAGCACGGCCAGAATAACGTGGACAGCTGAAAAGTCTCCGAATGCTAACACAGTCGAAGTACACCACTCTAGCACACGTGGGCGGCTCCCCTGGATTACAACGGCTAGCAAACCTAAGATTTCTCGACGCAAGAACATAAGGGGAAACTCGGTAGTTTCCATCATTTCTTTTGCATCACGTCAGTCTTGTTTCAGGTACTGGAAGGCTGTCAACGGTCGTTGGACTCCGTGGGCAGTCCGGCGGAAGCGAGGTTCTTTCGTCCAGCGTACCAATGCGTGCCGTATCGTATAGTACACGAGATAAATGTTTCTTAGGCTTGAAGGCCACGGTGAGTTCATTCTGGTAAAGTGAGAGTTCGAAAAGGTGCTCAAAGATTTTTACTTCAGATGTAGAGCCACACCGGGAGGGAACGTTGAGTGGAAGGTTGCCCATCGAACCAGTTGTGAATCTGCTTTCCCTCCTGTTGCCATCAGTACGGATACACCGAATATTGTAAGCCTTGGGCTATTCAGAGAGTCGGGACCAGAACCATACGATCAGACATCCAGCTACGTGTTCAACTGAACTCCAGCTACCACTTCTAGCGCCCCGATCCAGTCTTCCTCAGCGCCCGCCAGCGTTATTGCCGACCACCTCAGTCAGCCTTTCATAGCTCCTTTCATTCTCCCTGTCGATATCCAGGCCATTTCTCCCCTCGAAACTACTCTCTGGTGTATCGAAGTTGCATTAATAGTGCCGCCAAACCTCCTGCCAAAACCACAACGGCTTCCGCCATAACGGCCGCGCTCGAGACCCCACGAACTCTGAACTTGGTAGCTGCCCCTGAGCGATCGTCAAAGTCAAGAGCAATGATCCAGATAGTTATATCAACTTCGACACAGACGCAGTACGCGAGAGTCTCAAAACAAACACTCTACGAATTGCGGAGGATCTGACTGAGTAATTATCAAAGACTTACGTGACTATCCAAGCAAGCCATCTCCCTCTATCACACCATTACCCCCCAGGGAAAAGAAGCTTCCTTCAATTTTGGCACGAAACACCTCAGGACACAAATCCTTGTTGAGGTCGAAAGCCCTTGGATGATCCTAAGATCGTGTGGTGTTTCGATACCCGGCTGCCCCTTGGTGAGCGTGTTCAAAATAAGCGATGATCCTCTACCCATCCACCTTTCTGACAGTGCGGTCTCAACGCAGTTGCGCCGGCTACTCTTCGTTTTCCGAGCCGGAAAAGGAATTACAATGCCTTCCGGCTCACTGGCGAGTTTGGGGATCCGAACTAATCAAACAAATCATGACATGACTACTCCAGATTATACCATCAAACCACCCGCGAAGTCGTGTATCATCTCAAACATTTATCTGTCTGACCAGCCGAAGCAAGCATAGTACATCGAACCGTCAAAAGAAGAGTCAAAAACGCCTGATCTGCCAAACCTTCATCATGCTTGGGAGACATGATAAGTATTCCCGCATAATCATTCTGAGTCTTGTCCTTGGGAACTCATACCCAAGTGTCTTCTCTGGGAATCTTACCTACCGAGAAGATGAGAAGCAACCGACGAGACTTCTTAGGAAGGCGACTATAAAACTGCAAAGCTCCAACATGATCAGATAAGAGCAGTTGCTGCGTGCTCTCGACCCGATGCGCTGGAGGAATCGGGAGATATGTCCTTGGTTGTAATAAATACCTAGACTCTACAGAAGCTAAAGAAAAGCCGAACCCCTTTACCCCTCTAGATTGGCCTTATCATGCGGCATATGAAAACCAGCACCTCGTCCTCCACGGTACTCAACATGGAAAGTTGGCCTCACCCCAGCCAACAAGCACATGTTCCAGTCAATCTCCTTACCTACCCATTCTTCGCAACAACTCCAACGCAACCACAGAGATGCCCCCTTCCCCGGAGCTCTCATCCAAAACCACCCAGCTCCGCGCCGTAACACGTCAGATCCTACGTGTACGTCCCGCCATCACGAGGGGGCAGACCCGACCAGATATACAGCCGCTGCCGGGAAAGCATGAACAAGACCGCGGTAGCTTCCGAAGTACGACCAACGTAAGCCTTGTGAGACGACCAACACGGAAGTACCATCAAGACGGGCCATCGCATAGCGTACGCTCGTCAGCCCGCCCCCTCCCCCGCCATCCGTCCATCTCGACCCCGAACCACTGGATCCCTTCAAATCCGCCCAGTCGGGAGAGAGATAGAGTCAGTCCCCTTCTCACGCATCCCAAAGCTGAAACCCGTCAATTCCTGCCCTTCCAGCTCTCCCGCCCTTACAAACATGTGTCACGACCACCAAAAGCCATCGAAGGCGAAAAAGATGACGACGATAGCATCCGGTAGAAAAAAGCCACAGTTGCTTACGTCGTCATACACCCCCTGTTCCGGAACCGACCAATCACAGCCTCGGCGCCGCGTTCAGCCCTAGGCCGCGTCGTCGGACGGGTTCACGGCAAAACTTCCAGCTTCTAGTGGGGGGTTGGTGCGACGTTTGCTTTTCGAGGAGAGGAAGAAAAAAAGGCGTTGAAACGTGCGGGACCCCGGATCAGGGAGTTCGTTTCGTTTTCTTTGCTTTTTACGGTTTGTGTTGCGTTCGTCCCGAGAGACGGGATGAAAGGGGCACATCGGACGTTGTATTCTGTTGATTGGAAGATCGCTCAGGCCTTTTTAGACCAATACTTTGTACTTGTCGTGAAGAACGGGGAACTCACTCAGCCACGGCACAGACGCCTGCCGGAGTCAACGTGCCCCCGGCAACTGAGACCCGAGTTGAACAACGGAGCCCCCCCTCCTTCATTTTAAACTCATAATCAAGAGACACGAGGTGAGGCAACAGATCAACGGATTTCACAACGAATCAGGTCACAAAAGTAAACAGGGACGGAATCGGTCATGTTTTTGAACGTTTTTATTTTGCTTTTTTGGTATTTTTCCCTCTGAAACTGCGCCGCTCCCAAAGGTAGTAACATGAAGTTTTGTATGAACCAAAAAAAAAAAAAAAGTTCCCTAAGTGCGCTGTTGGCGCAAAAGAGCGGCAAGAATTTGTGAGATTGTTAAGCCCGAACGAGAAGTTCGAAAGTAAGAACCTTCAAGACAAGAATGCGAGACCCGGCTTTGATATGATCTCAGCTAACTTGGACGTTTGGTCTCGCGGTTCGCGGGGGGGTTTGGAAGGGAAACGCCTGAATTGCTCCAATTGCTCCTTTCTCCGTAAAGCGCCCCGGTCCGAATAAGATGTAAACACAAAAGATTCTCTATAACCCTTTCTCCCCGCCGGCGAAGCCTCGCTGTTGTTGGTTGTTTGGTTGGGGGGTATCTATCCTGGTTTTTTGGTATACGGTGTGTCCGTAAACAGGTGTGAAGAAATGGCAGAAAAGACGAATCGCTGGCTGAACTTTTGAGGGTTCGTTTGGCTCATCGTGAGGGGAAGTAAGTCATGAAGTCGTAGCGCTCAGCGCTTGTTGGCAGCAACTTTGATGAAAGCTGAAAAAGGAAGGACAGAAAGACTCCTTTAGTGCTTGCCGAGGACGAAGTCACGCTTGACGCTCTCGGTCTCCTCGAAGACGCTGCGCTTGGCGGCAGTGCAGTTGTTGTTGCCGAGGGTGGTGACGAGGTCGGTCTCGGAGGTGACCTTGGTCTGGACGTCGTCGGGGAGGTAGTAGGCCTCGTTGCAGGGGTAGCAGTCGCAGCCGGAGGTGGGGGTGGCGCCGGAGGCCGGGTACATCTTCTTGACGCCGTTGTGGTCGTTGGGGTTGACGATGGCGGAGACGTCGAAGTAGGTGAGGCCGTTCCAGCCGTTGAAGGCGACCTCGCCGAGCATGCCGGTGACGTTCTCCTCGCCGTCCGAGACGGAGTACCAGTTGCCGATCCAGGAGTCGGGGATGTCGACCTTGGTGGTGCCCTTGCCGGGGACCTTGACGGACTCGACGGAGGCGAGGCCGGCGTTGGCGATGAAGTAGACGGTGCGGTCGACCTCGTCGAGGGAGTTGAAGGTGATGGTGTTGCCGGCGGCGGCGAGGGCGGCGGAGCCGAGGAGGGCGAGGGTGCTGAACTGCATCTTGACTTTTGGTGTTGATGTGTTTTGAGTTGTGGTTGGTGTGGAAGTGAACTGTAAACGTTGTCTACAACTGTTTTACAGATTCAGGTGGTGGAGGATGTCAAAGGTGGAAGCCACTGGCTGGACCTTGGATGAAGATTGCCCGAGATGGGTGATGTGTGAGATGTGAACTCGAGAGTTGAACGGACCGGGGCCGTTGAATGTTGTTGGATAAGCTTTCAAAAGAGTGAAAAGCTGTGAGTTTGAAAAGAATGGTGTCTGAAAGACAAGTGTGTTCGAGGCTCGGCCAGGATAGTGATGAGGATGGAGAATCAAAACCGGGGAAGGAGAGGCTTCAAGGAAACGCGGCCATACTTATATTTCTAACGAGAGGATGAGAGAAAAGGGACATGCCCGGTCTCATGAAAGATGGTGGTGGGGAGCTCTGGAGCTGGAGGTGTCAAGGAAACATCTACTTCTCCTGGTGGAGACTCAGCCCGAGGGTGTTTCCCAGAGTTGCATGGAGCATGCCTCCATCAGAGAGTGGGCTTGGATATTGGCCGCCATGGCGGTTGTGACTTGTACACGGCCGTTGTAACTTGTCAACCATGATTGGACGTGTCTGTGAATTAATGGCCTCATCAGGCTCAGAGTCTTCGGTCTGGACCTGCTGGGCTACCATCCTGTACGGTCTTACCACTCGGCATACTGTGTACTGGACGACATCCAACAAAGCCTGTCCTGTCCGTAGGTGGCTTTCCCAGACGACTGACTGCCTTTTCCCAGACAGCTGGCTTTTCCCATGGTTTGGAGCTGGAACAGGGGCATCGGAACAAACGACATGAGAGACAGGTTCATAGGCCCTCATTCCGTCAGGTTATTTCGAGGACCCCATTCTGCACCTATTCTTGGGGGATTATCTCAGGCTGTGCCTGTGCCTGTGCCGTGCGTGGGAGTTCCTTTTCGTTTCTGGCGCCAAGGCCGCCCCTTTCGGGGGCTAGATGACGGCTTCGGGGCGGAAATGGGCAGAGACGACGCGGCAAGCAGAACGGGTACCTGGCGTCAAGAGACGGGCTCGGACTGGGCAGTGCGGGTGGTGGAGGGACTTCGGTACTCGTGTAAGCGACGCGGTGCCAGGTAGGGTACGGACATGGTGGTTGTATCTTGAATTGGTTTTGCAGTCTCCGTAAGCAATACGTATTTCGAGTACTCCATACTCTGCAGTGTACACGTCTTTTCTGCAAGTACTTGTTGGTCGCGGTCGTCAGCCTTTTGGGGCGGTTTTGGTTTTCCCTAGCTGCAGCATGTGTGTGCGTTTTGAGCGTCTTTTGCGGCGTCATTGGTTGGGGTCGGGGTGATTGTGCCTGGTACCTGACACTAACAACCAACTCCGCGTGGCGTGCCATGACAGGTCAAGGTCGAGGAGGAGTCCAGATTGCAAAGTCTTTCGACTAGTGTACGTGGTAGAAAGAGGTGCGGTTCGAGGCAGCCCAGCAAGAAATTTAGCGCCGCGGCTCATGATTCGTAGTCGAGCAGGGTTTCCAAGGCCCATATCTCATAAAGGACCCATGGGATGGGAGTTCCTTGACTCCGTCGTCCTTAGCCCTGAGGGCCGGGCCCCTGGCCGAGGCTCGGGCTGGTGTGACGATATGGGAAAGATGTGCCGGCCTGTACCGAGAGAGCCCCTTGCCCCGGTGTGGAAGAGGAAGGCCGGACAGTGCAGCCGGCACGGATGTGGGAAGGGAAGGGCGCGGGAGTGCCGTGCTGGCCATGCACCATGCCACTTGAGTGCAGCCAAGGCAGCAAAACAGGGCCCAAGTTCCCGCCGCGCTGGTTCATCTGGTCCGTCTGCCGTAGCGTAGGAACACGTCGATCGATTTGCCCAGCAACTGGGTGTTCGGACCAGAAGGAGCTGAAGGAGTAGAAAACAACAGACGACAGGAACTGAGGCTGATGGGACGGGACATTGGACGACGTCGTCTGACTTCTTGACGTACACAGTAACAGACCTAAAAGGAAGGATTCGAGTCTGGATTGCTCGCTAGAGCAGAGACCTGTTCTCTCGTCGCCAGGGAAAAAGAAAAGACGGCGGCGTCACTTCGCCGTCAGCCTGAGCCTGGCTGACCGACCTTGCACCGAGGGGACGTCCATTTCGGTTCGAATCCTTGTGCGACACAGACGATGCCACGACGCCCGGAAAATGCCTCTTTGTTCCCTGACAGACTCCATCTTCGACGAATCGTCACAGAGGAGAAGAGACTTGCCAAGGTACATCCGGAGGTGAAAGAGGGGAAGGGGAAAGAAACTTCAGTGAGAAAAAACCAGAAGAATTGGGGCTCTGACCTCGACGAGCGAATCGGGGAACAAGACTCAGCTGGCGGTGTTGGGACCGCGGTACTTTCTTGATGACCAAACTTTTGGCAAGTCAAGGTTGTGTCGCTGGGAACTGGAGTTGTAGCTGGGAACATGGAAGACACGAGAGAAGAGGGTGTGAAGGGGAAAGGGGAACTGGCGAGTGGGTTTGTGCCTGTCGATCACATCCGTTCCGAGTGCGTGGTGTTTTTGCTACTGTAAGTGACGTGTATAGGAACAAGACGGATGTGGTAGCCGTCGTAGAGAGCCTGCAGATCATACGGCAAAATCACTAACAATTTCCAGCAGAGAAGTTGTACCCGAGACTCAGTAGAGTCTCCCGGACACTGCCCCAATGCCTTCCCGCCAGGAACAAGTTTTGTGCTTGCAGAGTGCAGACCCGATTCGCCTGCCAACTGTCCAGGCTGTCTGTGCCTGCATATTTCTTTGGTCTGGAACGTCAGACCCGGACCAATTCGAATTTTCGCGGGATTTATTTGCAAGTATTTTTTTCTTCTTCCTCTTCTCATTGCCTGAGTCATCCGATATCTCTGAGGTTGTCACTGCATGTGAGCGGGAGGCCGAGTCACCATCACTATCATCCGAACTAAGACAACTCCCGTCAGCTTTGCCGAATAGCAAGTCGGAAGGGTATCAATGTATCCAGCCAAGAACGGCGAGAGGCTTTTCCATTCAGTAACAGACCCAGATACCAATTGTTCTTCCGCCTCGATCAACCAGGAACCGTCCTCACAAGGCTGCAAGTACAAGGTCCGTGGTTCGAATCACAAGCTCACATCTAAGGTATTTTTTAAGGTCAGAGATACGCTGTCAATCGCTATTCCCCAGCACGAAGCAATCCCAGACCGCGTTGTATCAGGTTCCCAGTTGGCGGACATATCTCCCCAGCGCGGTCTCAAACACACGTGCTCGTTCTGGGATTCGAGTTACCGGTAAACAAGTTCTTCTGCCCAATGTCAGGTACACCGTAACGTTGCTGGCAGTGGTCGCATGTCCTTGGCGGCCCGTCGATGATCATTGGAACGGGGACCGTTCGAGACCACCCGGGATCCACTGACGATCCCTCACTTTCCGAACGGAATCAAGGCCGTTGTGCATGACTTGCCTTGTCCTGCTCTGCGAAATCCAGGAACACAACGGCCAAGCCTGTGCTCCAAACGGAAGCAGGAGCAACTTCCGTTCGAGAGACTCTTCCGTCAGCATCACGACCACACCGTTCGCATTATACTGCTAGTGTACGGGGAAGGCAAAGTTGGCGAGCGCTACGAATACCGTCTTTGGAAACGTTCCCGGTTTTCCACACTTCCAGACGTCCACAACTTCTCCTCCATCCGCATGTCAAAGATTTATCAGCACCCTATCTGGCTGGCCTTGTGGATGTGGAATTGCCTCACACCCTCAACCAAACGCCTTCTCCACCAGACCATCGTTACATTCATCAGTGGAACGACGCAACATGGCCTCGCTAAACAGCCTTTTGAGTTGCCCCAAGCCGCCGTCACCATTGTCACAGGAAGTCGAAAAATGGTTAACCGGGGAGAAGCACCAAGGTACCGGTGACAGGCTCTGACCTCATCACATCCATTCTCACCCCGCCGTTCACCGTCATCTAGAACATCTGCCTCCTCTTCGAATGCGGCGTCGCCCACAACGGATTCCGGGCTTCCGCCCAACAAGTCGACTTGAGACGTCGGCAAGACGAACACAATTCGTCATGTGTGAAGAAAATTATTTTCTCTTGATTTTTCAACATCCGACATTTGCCTCTCGCCCACCGAACGCCACTTTTATCGCAACTTCAGGCTTTTCGGCCGAGGTCCGTCCGGAAGCACTCAGTCGCGCCCGATGGCCTCGCATGGCTCGCAAGTGGGCGCCGTGAGCAATGACGACGGATTGATCAAACCTCAAAGAACCCGGATTGCTGGAGCATAAACTCCAGAGATGGGCAGAAGAAGTCCCCGCATATCCATCATTACCTCTGTCGGGGGTTTCCCTGGTTCTTGCTTGATCGATCGAGCTGACAGATTTTGGGGCCGGTATTCATGCTGGTGGGCACCTGCAAGGTAGAGGACGTTGGTCGACAAGACTTCTCTCCTTTCTGATCCTGCTGCGTTTTGCCTTCTTTATTGCTGGAGGACAACCCGTTATCGGCCGACGTTCTTTCGACGGTTGAGGTTAAGATGCGACAGCACCTTGTTGGAGGCATGTCTGCTGCAAATCTGCCAGCCAACTCTGACGACCTATCCCAGCTTGGCGATAGACGAGGCTCGTCAAAATCGCGTAAGACGCACGTAGATAACGCTATCTACACTTGTTGGGGACACAAGGTGACCTGCCAAGTGGCATTCTCACACTGGTCTAGCAAACACCTGCTTGTCGAATAGCACTCGCTCTCTCTCATGCTGTTATATGCACCATTCGGGAACAGTTTGGGGATTACAAGGCTTCATAATGCTGATGCCTCCTCAACTTGTTTCCTATTCGTCTCTTATTCTATCTTTTTGGGCCAGAAAAGTCTCGTTTCAGTTGCTTGCAAACATCAATCACATGCAGATATGTATTTCATCCGCTACGAAATGTCTTACACCAGCTCGCAACTCTTGGAGAACAATCAGGTCAACCATCTTGGTACTGCACTCACCACGAAGGCTACAGGCTATCGACGACGTCCCTTGCAGTACTGCGGCATACCATGACACTGATGACACTGCGCCGCTGAAAAGCTGCGTCCGTTTTCTTCAATCATAAGCAGTGGCGCGACGTGTTAGTCACCCCGCACCGCCCGGAGCTCGCGAAGGGCAAAGGGCGTCGAACACGAATCTGACATTTGCTCGTTTTAGCAGCATTTTCTATTTCGACGCTTTCTTAGACGAAGAAGTTGGCTCCTGTACCTGCTTATGGTCAAGTGACTTTTGCGCCGGAGACTCATTGTTCCTTCGACACGAGGTGCTATTTGGCGATGCCCAGCTATCAACGGAGTTCCACGCTTTTGATTTCTATTTTCTGCCATTCTTCGACGAGCGTCGAGATGCCCGCCGGCTTGGACAAAATGCTTCTCTGGACCGCAGTAACGTTGTGACCGCCAACACGAAAGCACCTCTCGACCCCTGCCAGTCTTCTGTCACTTGCCCGAATGAAGATCAATAAAGTGGCCGGTCCAATCGAAGCAGCACTTCTAAATGGCGTCAAGGCTCGAAATGGACAATCACGACGCAGAATCGGACCGTCAGCACCTGTCAGACAGAAGGCCGCCTCGTATCGTACCTTAGCCGCAACACTCCGCAGAGTCACACTCTCCCGCCTCTTGACCACATCTGGTACGGACGCATGCCGTCTGCAAGCTGCGTACAGTCATCACCTCGCCGTTCCGTGTCGTTATCGAGGCCATCTGGAAATCGTCCCAACCCGGTATGGCACGCAACGAGCGGCGCGTCCGACGGTTCAACCTCGCCAGCCCTAAGATCCGGGGCGATGCCAGAATGACCGGGGTTCGTGTAAGCTTCGGTCCCTAAGCGGACAGCCCGCCTTCGCGATGATTCTCTCCGCTCGACTTGGTGATACATAAGGTGAGCGGGTTCCTGGACTTGGCCGATTCCTGTCCTGTTCACACATACGCATCTGTAAAGCAACAGCCTCAAGTTGTCTCACACGCAACTAACTCACAGTCGCTCGTGCCTTTGGCAAATTCACTCTCGTTCAAACCAGCACTCCAGCTCACCATGAAGCTCCTGCAAACGCTCGCGCCCGCCGCCGGGCTCATCTCTCTCGCCAACGCCTGGGGAACTGACGTCCATACCTTTTACACCACGGTCATAACCACGGCCTACGAGACGTACTGCCCCGTGAGTTCCGCCCTCCTTTCTCCAGAAGTTGAGCAGACGACTAACGACCCAAGTCTCCCACAACCTTTGTCCACCACAACGTGACTTACACCGCAACCACGGCAACGACCCTCACCATCACCAGTACGCCCATCTCGTCCCTCCTCAGACCATCCTAGACTAACAGATCCCCAGACTGCCCCTGTACCATCACAACTCACCAACCGCCCCCGTACACGACGACCAAGACGCTTCCCCCTCCTCCTCCTCACGCCAACACCACCATCGTGACCTCCACCAAGACCCCCAAGCCTCCCAAGCCAACCTACCACAACACGACCATCGAACACACCCCGAAGCCGCCCACGCCGACCCTGACTCACCCTCCCAAGCCTCCCCACCACAACGGCACCACGACCGTCATCGTCGTCACGCCCCCGGCGGAAACCACCATCGCCGGAGTCACCCCCGTCACACCGACCCTGCACAACCCCCCTCCCACCAACACCCCCGTCAGCCCCTCGACCACCCCTCCCGTCACCGTCCCCGGCAGCGGCGCGGAGAAGATCGGGGCCGGCGTCGGTGCGGTGCTGCTCGCCGGGTTCGTCGCACTGTTGATCTAATGTCTTACATCTAATACGTAGCCTCTCCACGGCGGAGCATTTTTGGAATGCCGAAACCTGGTGGCTCTTTTTAAATCCTTTTCAACACTTTCCTTTAAAGGCCGGCAAAAGTTGGAGTATATCAACCCGGGTTTTTGTTTTTGACCACGAGATACCATATGGCACTGTTTGGACATTTTTCGTGATGGGTGGTTCTTATCTACTACTGGGCATTCCACGGGAAAGCGAAAGACGGAGTGACGGAGTTTGGCCATATCGGACACCACCAGTCCTTACTTACATATCACATATCACTTATACAGTAATACCAAACGAGGCGGGTTGCAAAGGCACCTCCCCTCGACACGCTCCTTTCAATCACCTCTTCCACCAACGAGTCTCACGGAATCTCCCCAATGTGTCCATCTTTCGTCGCCGAAAAAAAGAACTCGACAGATCATCCCATCCCGCGCCAAATGCGAGTTTATCTCCCAGCAGCGCCAAGTCCAATATTCCTCTTCTCTCGCAGCTGACATGCATGATCCCCCCCTTCCCCTCGTTCGACCTGCCTGATCTACCTCTCACGCAACCGCAAACATCTCTCAGAAGAAGAAAAAAAGCTTTGCTGTGCCGCAGAGAAACAATTGACGAACCAGAACAAATCTGGGAGACGGGACATGATAAGGCTTCTCTTCGAGGACAACTGGGCGAAAAAAAAGAGCGCGCACCCCTCCCAGCCCAGATACTACTGTCCTACAATTATTAGCCACTTTCTATACTAATAATTCTAAAATAATACTTATTAAATATCTAAAATCTCAAGGTATTTAATAAATATTATTTTAGAATTTATAAGTACTTTTGAGGTAGAAAGGCTAGGCTACTGAGTTGAGGTAAATGGGGAGTGTGCGCTGAATTTCTTCGCCCAGTTGGAGGAGTACCTCGTATTCCCTCCCCCTTGCACTGGCAATCGACAAACAAGCAAACTTTCCCCATTCATCACCAGCCTGACTAACTACCTACCTTATCTAACTTCACCTCACACCGACTAGCGCCGTGGGTTGGGTGTGCATGTGGTCGTCCCGAAAGAGGTGAAACCGTCTTCTCCTTTGGACTTTATCCCCCACCCCGGCGACGAGCCAAGCTCGTGGTTCGCGGGTTCAGTATCCGGACTGCCGGACCCTAGTCGTTCGACCACGGGATGGGGGAAGGAAAACCTCGTATTCTTGCATCACTTGATGTCCACCGCCACCACCCTTCCACTCATTGACGTATCGGTTTCCTTGCTTCAATCGATATTTACTGACTGATGTGCGTTTGGCGGTCGCGTTGTCGTTGGCGGTTGGCGGGAACGTTGCATTTACCCCGTTGATGTTCATTTGGGGGGCAGATCACGTCGTGGAGGCGGGGGCGGGGCGGGGCCCAAGGAGAAAGGCGTGGGATAAGATAGACCAACGCGCTGGGCGTATCGGGAGCCTGCGTGCGGGATTTGGCCATGAGATGATAACTGAGGTTGTTGAAGTCGGGGTTTCGCACCAGCAGAAGGTTAGGAGACAAGTTGGGCCTCAAAGAATTTGGTATCTTAACTGTAGTGTACTCGAGGTTTCTGAAATCATACAACGATACTCTGTCGCCCCTCTCTTCAGGCGTTCCAGTTCTTTCCGTCTGTCACTTCGTCTACACCGCGGATATCATCAAGGCCAGCGCCGTGTACATGAACCCAGGCGCAAGCGCTATCTCCTTCATCGGCCAACGGGGTCCTTCTACCCCAAGTCCTGGCAGTTCTCATACCCTTGCTTCTGACAGGGCCGTTGGTCTGTCCGTAACGCGATTCCCTCTCACAGATGTGGCCGCAGACGAAAACGGCCGTCTTCAACCCCCAATCCCAGGGGGTCCGCATTGGGTCTGCCTTCTCGTCATGCGAAATACCTCCGCTGGGATGACCTGAATGGCTCGTCACGTCTTCCGTCAAACATTATCATCCGTAACCCCAGCGACGAGATCACGGGCTTAACCCAATCTCGGCGTTTCGTAAGCGTGCCCTGGCCTCTCTCACAAGCGCCTTGGCTTCCTCGACCTCGAATCCGTCTTGTGTGAGTTCCGTGCCGAGTCGATTGGCCGTCGTGTAATCCGCCGCCCGCATGGCGTGCCGCGCAAGCCACATGCGAGCCCTGCTCGTCGAAGCAGTGACGCCCGTCCCCTCGTGTCCGTCATCGCCTCTGCCCTCACCTTCGTCGTCGGAGGCCCCGGGAGAATCGTTGTGAATAGCAATCGATTCACCCGGGTCCTTGTCCGCTGACGCATCCCCGCCCTCTTGCGCGAGACACAACTCCATGTAGGCTTTGGACTCGTCAATCTCGCCAAGTTGGTCGTACATGATCGCGATCTGGTACAGCACTTCAGGGTCCAGGTGTCCCGTGGCGCCCCGGCCGTTGAAGAAGTCTCCACCGCTGCCAAAACTGCTGCCCACATCATAATAAGCCTCAGCAAGCAGCGCCCTTTTCAGGGCCTTGATGCCATCTTGGTCGCGACCCATCTTTTGCAGACACGAGCCGACGGCCACCCACATCTTGCCATCCCAGGGCCTCAGACCGGCCGCCTTTTTGTAATACCAGAGGCTGTAGGTGTGCATCTCCAGCATCTCATACGCCTGGCCAAGGCCGTACCACGCACGATAATCCCGGCGGTTGACGTCGACTGCACGGCGGTATGACTCGATGGCGGCATGAGTGTTCTTCAACTCGACGTACTCGTGTCCCATGAGCGTCCATGCGGAAAGGAACGATCGGTCAAGAGTAAGGGCTCTGCGGAAGTACTGCACTGCCTTTTCGTGCATCGATAGCAGAGAGTAGTAGTTGCCTACTACCACGCAGGACTCAGCACGGAACTTGTCGATATTGGAGCACAGGTGTGCTAGGAACGCGAGCTTCGGTCGCATGTTCATGACATAGAGGATGTTGGAGTAGTGATCTAGCGCGTCGAGCCGATGTGGATGCTGTGATAGCAATCGGCTAAAATGTTGCTCGGCTGCCACGAAATCTTTGGCGTGATATGAAAGCAGGGCATTGCATGCCTGAAGGAATGGCGAGGCCGGGAAAATGTTCAACAACTGATCCAGCGAGTTCGCGAGCTCGGGGCCCTGCTGGTATAGTTCGAGGGAGGTGTGGAGATGGAAGATGAAGGAGACGATGTTCTGGGGGAGATGAGCTGCTATACGGCCCAGCTTTGGACAGTTAGTTCTGAGCATTCTCTTTCGCATCATCCGAAACTTACATCCTCGACTCGCGTACAGAGCGATGCCATCTCCAACCAGCAGCCCCAGTTCCAGGGGTACAGGTGGACGCTGCGAATAAACCAGTCCATGGCCTTCTCCTCGTTCTTTTCCTTCGCGAGGACCATCCCGTACCTGATCTGGTTAGTAACCGCCACAAAACAAATTCTCCGCTTCCCTCACTCACAGGTATTCCAGCCAACCTTGACTGCCAAGCACCTCGCCGTCGTCCGTCATCCGTTCGTCGAACCAACTGCTGAGGATCCGACTGACGGCATTCAATTGCTTGTTGACCACGTTCCCCAGATCCTGCGGGCCCATGACCATCTCTGAATCTTCATTCTTGCGCTTCTCCCCGGACATGACCTTCGCATACAGCGCAAGAAACAAGGCCTTCTGGCTCAACCTCGGCAACTCGGTGCTGCCGAGGTTCTTTGCCTCCGCCTTCCCTTTCCCCTTTGGCGTTCCGGAAGCACCTTCAGCCTTGGCGCTCAGAATACCAGTCATCAGAGAATCCGGCAGGAAGACGGCGGCGCAGCGGTCGAACTCTCTCATGTCGAACAACGACTTCGCTAGCAAGTACTTGTTGATTTCCCTCGCCTCCAGCACGGCCTCTTCCGGGTCGGTATTTGGCGTGAACACGACGGAAACGTACGGTTCATCGGCGTCGACGACATCGGCACCGTTCGCGGTCTCGGGTATCGAATTGAGGAGCTCTGCCGCCCTGGGACCACGTTAGTCCAAGCCGCAGGGATCCCGTCCAGGGCACGGAGAGCTTGCCATTTCGCGGCCGAGTAGAGACACCGCTCGGAACACTTCACGACGGCATCCTGGAGCGAGCCGCGCAGCTGCGACAGTTCACTCTCGGTGAGCGACATCTTTGCGCGCCCTCAGCCGGGCAGGGGGAGTCGTCGGGATAGCGATCGGTTGCGGTTTCGTTTTGTGATTCAGCAGGACAGGGGCCGTGGCCAAGGGAAGGCCTCAAAATCGTCCAATGGCTCTTTGCAGACTCCGAGATACGATTACGTCTTATGACAAACGATTGCGCCGCGCGCGCGAGAAAGAGTCGGGGATGTTTCGTCGAGGAATGGAGTTGTCGAATGTACGAGTTGTGTTTGTTTAACCTGACGTAGTAAGGCTCGACGGCAGAAAACCGGCATCCACAACGCGGTCGGCGCGACTGGCGCTAAGACGTCTGACCGCCTTGCCCCTCGTCCACTGAACGGCGTCGCTGAACAAACACAAACGCAGCAACGTTGGTGGCCCTGAAGACGCCCTGGGCGCCTGTCATCCCGAATGGCAGGGCCTCCCCCACTATCGGGATGTTTGCTGCCTCACCGCGTCCGAATTCCCCCTTCCACCGCCTGCCAAAAATAGGCGGTAATGAAGATCGGATGAGGGGTCGTAGTAAGTACCAACACATTGCAACTCAATCTTTTGCCCAATTTACACGCCCGGCGCATTAATTTGCGATAAACATCCCCTGCGCAAATTTCTTGACGAGCAACCATCTCATCTCTCCTTCACCCGTTCTTCCTCCACCCATTGTAAGTCACCGCCTCTCTCTCCCCCGCCTCTTTTGTTCCCCCGTCTTCACAATCTAAGCGCGGTTTCTTCCCCCACACACAATTGAAGAAGCGCTCCATTCCTTTGAGACCGTTTAAACTGACCACGGAACGCCTCGATCAAGCCCCGTTCGAACATTAGCTTCCTCCGCCCCGTGTCAGCACCAGCACGCAACCGACAAGATGGCCAAGAAAACCACCCTCGCCGAGTTCGAGTCCGTCTTTCCCAAGCTCGAGGAGGTCCTCCTCGAGCATGCGCAGAAGTACAACCTCCCCACGGAGGAGCTGGCGTGGTACAAGAAGGCAAGCACACCACCACCACCAACAACACCATCACCGCCGGGATCGGTGACGATGGGCCGGGGAGATTGCTCCACGGCATACAGACCCCAAGAACAATGTAATTGACAGATGGCGCGCAACCACTATAGTCCCTCGAAATCAACACCCTCGGCGGCAAATGCAACCGCGGCATGTCCGTCCCCGACTCCGTCTCCCTCCTCCTCGACAAGCCCCTCTCCGAGGAGGAATACTTCCAGGCCGCCACGCTCGGCTGGATGACGGAGCTCCTCCAGGCCTTCTTCCTCGTCTCGGACGACATCATGGACTCGTCCATCACCCGCCGCGGCAAGCCCTGCTGGTACCGCCACGAGGGCGTCGGCATGGTCGCCATCAACGACGCCTTCATGCTCGAGTCCGCCATCTACACCCTCCTCCGCCGCTTCTTCCGCGAGCACGCCTCCTACGTCGACCTCCTCGAGCTCTTCCACGAGGTCACCTTCCAGACCGAGCTCGGCCAGCTCTGCGACCTCCTCACCGCCCCCGAGGAGAAGGTCAACCTCGACAACTTCTCCATGGAGAAGTACCGCTTCATCGTCGTCTACAAGACCGCCTACTACTCCTTCTACCTCCCCGTCGCCCTCGCCCTCCACTGCCTCAACATCGCCACCCCCAAGAACCTCAAGCAGGCCGAGGACATCCTCATCCCCCTCGGCGAGTACTTCCAGATCCAGGACGACTACCTCGACAACTTCGGCCTGCCCGAGCACATTGGCAAGATCGGCACCGACATCCAGGACAACAAGTGCAGCTGGCTCGTCAACCAGGCCCTGCAGATCGCCACCCCCGAGCAGCGCCGCATCCTCGAGGAGAACTACGGCCAGAAGGACAAGGCCAAGGAGGCCGTCATCAAGAAGCTCTTCGACGACATGAAGCTCAAGCAGCGCTTCGAGGACTTCGAGGAGAAGCGCGCCACCGAGATCAAGACCATGATCGAGAACATTGACGAGAGCGAGGGCCTCAAGAAGGGCATTTTCAGCGTCTTCCTGGAAAAGATCTACAAGCGCAGCAAGTAAACGAATCGACTTCCACTCCGGCCACCACCACCAGCAGCACCACCACCACTACCAGCGCGATGAAACTCCTTAATTTTGGCGGCATCGGCATTGAAGACAAAAGAGAGAAAGATACCACAGTCCAATTGATTGATGACGACGATAATAGACCGTTAGATTCATACATAGCCGATATTAAGAAAATACAAAGAAGATTTTTTCCCCGTCCAGATCCGATCGCAGATCCGACTTCGGATCCAGATCCCCGCGCAACCCTATTTTCGGTGTGTCTGACGCAATGTCAACAAACGGGTATCTTACATGTTAATAATAAATCACCCATGCGCCTGAATTCGCATCGCGTGCACGGCTTGCTCCGAGCCCATTACTCGTTTCCCCCCTTCGAACGGTTACTTCTTTGGCCCCACGGGCCGTTCTGCAGCTCTGCCCAGAAAATTTCCGCCTCTTTCTTTTCTTACTTGGATGCGCTTCTTTAGCCCTCTTACCGTCTGAGACAGGGTTGAGACAGGCCGTTGTTATCAAAAATGGACGGCCACGATCAATGTCTGACAGTGCCGCTTCGACCAAGACCTAGTGGCGCGTGCGGCCTCGAATCTCGACCCCTCTCGCGCTCGACAAAGTTGATCAACGGCACATCCTCGTCATTCTGTTTTGAGGTGCGCCTTGGCAGCGACGGCATTGGTGGCTGCTCGTTGGACACGACGCGGCGGACGGGCGCGCCGCCGGCCGTTGAGCGACTCCTTGGCCTCGTCGCAGCTGACTGAGATGCCATGCGCTGGGGAGGGTACGCCTTGTTCGTCCCCATGCGTGTCACTGTCGGCAGTTGCGGTGTCATCGCAGCGTCCGGCCCTTGCTCCCAACCAGTCGCCATTTGAATGAGAGGCTGACCAACGGGTGCCCTGACTCCGCGGCCGTGGCCGTCTCGCCAGGCCGCGGGCAAGTCGGGCACTTTCGGCGTCAAGTCGACCAAAGGTTGAGGCATGCCGGGTTTCCGCGCTCCATCCGATGTGGTTGGCCGGGATGACGTAGTTGGGCGGGATACCGGCGGACGTGACCGGCTTCGGGGCTGCGACATGGGCTCTGCCGCCGACCGGGACGTGCGCACGGTGCCTCTCCTCTCCGGCATGCCGGGCAGACCGGACGACGACAGCCTTTCGGGCTCGGGGTAGTTACTCAGAAGGGAGTGTCCACCGGTAAAAGGGCTATCGGGAGACATCTCCTCATGAGCGGAAGCGGCCGCGTTCTTCTCCGCCTGCAGCTTGCGTCCTTCGTAAGCGCGGCCCAGCAAACCACTGTTACTGAATTCCTGGTCTTTGGCGAATGGATCGATGTGTGCTTTCCTCGGCACTGGTTGCGACGCAGCCAGATTCGGGGTGGTTCTCGACCGACCAACGACTTTGTGTTGTCTGGGAACAGACAGCGGTTCCGATGATCGCGCCGCTTGCTTCTCAGGCAGGAAATCTTTGCCGAAATCGTCAAGCGGCTTGTCGAATTTGTCCATATCTAGGAGCGGAGAAAACGTTCCAATTGTGTAAGGGGTCTCGTCGACAGATACCTTCAGCCGGTGCAGCGTGCCGCTCCTTGCCAGTCCAACGGTCTTGGATGATGGACTCTCGGTGGCAGCCCGCTGGGTCTTTTTCGTCTTGGTCAAATCGACCTTCTTGTTGACGAGATACCAACTGCGCCACATGTGCAGTATTCTCCTAAAGTCCTCCGCAAGCCGTGCATCATCCGTGGAGAAGAAGTGAATGAAGTTTTCTGTGTTTTGGAACACGCTGGATTTCTGCTGGCTTTTTACAGCGATGGTGTTCTTCTTGGGTGCTCTGATTTGCTTCAACATGTCCTTCTCCGTGACCGAGTAGAGGTCGAAATCCGAAAGATGGCACAACGACACGGCGTCCTTGTCTGACAGTTTAGCGTCCTTCTTCTTTGCGGCGAAGACCTGTCCGTTCTCCATCAGGGTGATGTAGCGCTTGTTCCACTTCCCCGGTCGCGAGCAGTGGTAAAGTGAGAAGTTCAGCAGACCTGACGGGGGGTCGATGGTGCGGGGCACAACTTCAAGGTTCAAGTCGGGGTTCTTGTCGACGGAGTCACCAGGGATAATGAGAAGGCAGTGCTGGCTGTCGCGGTCCCATGAATTCAGAACATCCCTAATTCGCTCATAGCGTCTCAGCCGGCGCTCGAGTCCGAAAGCGAAGTAGCATTCCATGACGACACTGGTTTGCGGGTTGATGTTATGGGTCATGAGGTTGGCGGCCGAGTAAAGAATGTCCATTGGTGTTGTGTCGGGGGTAACGGGCAGACTGATGGAAGTCTGCAAGCAACGGATGGCGACTCGCTGGAGGGGGTTAGCAGGCATGTAGCGAAATGACGGTCGTAGAAAAACTCACACGCTCGCCAGCGTTGCTGGCTGTGATGGGAGCATCCGTCTGGGGGACGATGCCGCCGCCGCCTGCTTGAATGAAGCGCGAAGGGTCCATGACGCTGACTGGCCTGCAATCCAGCGATAGAGGCTGGAAGTATGAAGAAGAGGGGGGTTTTGTGAGGGTGGCAGGGTCGGACCTGCGACTTTTTCTGAGAAAGAAGGCGAACTTGTCGACTATGGGGGATCGGAGTCGGGGCGGGGGGTCGGGGACGGTAGCCAATTGAGCCTGAAGTCGAGCGAGATCCTTCCTCTTCTGTTCTGCCAAGATGCGATCAGTCTCTGCTTCGAGACGCGCAACCTCGTCGGCCCAGTGAGAAGCCTCCTCCTGTTCCTGGGTTCTGCGACGCCGATCGTTGTTCTCGTCTTGCTGGAGATGGTGTGGTAGTTGTTGGTGGTGGTGTTGGTGGCGGCGGTTCTCGTCCCAGTCGTCGTCCTTGAGATATTCCTTGCTGGAGAGTTTGGTGATGATTTGGGAACGAGCGTGGTCAGCTCGTGCAGAGAGCTTGAGGTCGGCGCATGACGAGGCGGTAGAGATTAAGATGGGGTTATGAGAGCGAGGTCTCAGCTGGGGTATAGGAGGTGAGAGAGAGTCGCGTGGTGCCCTGTTGGTCGGAAGAGGAATGAGGAGAGGCGGAGGAGGAGGAGGAGGAGGTACATTTGGAGGAGGATGAGGAGGTGGTGGTGCTGAAGCGGTCCTTGTTCCTTCAATTCCACCAGCAGCTCCTGACGCTGGCGCTGACGCAGGTACCTCCAAGTCGTGCTGTGCTTGTGCTTGTGCGTGTGCTCCCGCTTGTGCTTGTGCCGCATCAGCAGCTGACGCTGGAAGTAATAACGCTGATCCTGCAGACGGGGCGTTGGCACCAAAGTGAGCGCTGTGAGTGGTCTGAGTGGAGGAAACCCCTGGGGCTGGGGACCTGGACCCGGAACTGGTCCGCGCTAAGGAAAATAAGGAACCCGGCTCACTGGGGGGTCCGTCTCCGTCCAGCTGGAGGTACGGGTCCACGTCTCCGCTGGCTGAAGATGAACCCCCCGAACCACTGTGACCCCCCTGCAAGGGGCTCTCAGGCACATTGGGGGCTGTTTTTGGTCTTCGTCTGTTGGGGTAGCTGAACCGAACAGGAGATTCGGGAGGCGCTGGGATAACAACATTTGCTGTTGCTGCTGCTTCGTCAGTCAGGATGGACATGGACGAGGTGAGAGGTGCACAGCTGACACCACCACCAACTCCTCGACCACGACCACGACCACGGCCGACGGGGGATCCTTCGCCAAGGCCAACTCCCACGCCCATCACATCGCGGGATTGCATTTGCCATTGCCATTGGGATTGCGGTCGCGACTGCAGCGGCGTCTGCGGCGGTTGAAGACTATGGGCCGGGGCCGTCCGCCGTCTGGCCGCCGAGGACGATGGCGTCGTCTGACTGCGATGCGTCGTGCTCCTGGCTGGTGTCTGCTGCAATGGTGGTGCCTGGGAAGGCCCTTCGTCCTCCTCGTCCACGGCAATGCCGATGCAAACGCCAATGCTTGTCGCGGTTCCCGTTTCCGTCGTGGCATTCGACACAGTGTCGTCATCCTGGAAAATGTCCACCTCCCAGTCCCGCCAGTCTCGGCCAAAGTCCAACACGCTCTTGTGCTCTCGCAGACTCCTGTACCGCGTCAGTCGTCCGGCCGTGATGCTGTTGCCCCGTGTCGGTGGATGCGGAGCTGGTGATTTGGGCGGCCCTGGCCCGGCCGACATGGCCCGACTAATGCGGCTACGCGGGAAGAATCCTCCAGCTTCCATTGCTCCCGGACCTGGAAAGGATTCGAATGCCTCTCAAATGGCCCAACCTTCTTTCTCTCTTCCCGCTAGAGTTATCACCTGCTCCCACAGTCCGATCGATCCGATAAAAAAACCCTTCGGCAAATCCCCCGGATTCTCGTCCGATGGCTTCGATGACAGCAGCCCCGAAAGAGATAGCGTGGCGGTAACGGCCACGGCAGCGGACTGGGCCGCTGGGACCACAGAGCTGATCCTGATCCTCCCCCCAGCCCAGCAGGGAACACTTGAACGTTATCTTGCGTCTCGATGCGATCCTTCCCCAGGACCCTGCAGATCATGCAAGTGATTGATAACGATGCTTTCGGTCGGGTCGAACCTATCTTTCGGAGATCCGGTCTGACACTTCGACGAAGCCCTTAAAAAAATCATTGGCAATTGGTCTGACCGAGAAAACGAAGGGCCGAAATACCTCTCTCACTCACTCACTGTCACTGTCGCGACGTACAGGGGTCGGTTTTCAGGTACGGATTGAACAAAAGAAAAGAACAGCCGAAAAAAGAAAGAACCCGAAAAAGTGGCAAGACTCTCCTTCCCATAAGTCGGGTCCAGCGGGACGGATGCTAAGGGAGGCTTTTCACATCTCTCCCAATTGAAACACCATCTCCCGTCCAGAGACATCGAAAGACATCGAAAGACACGGAGAAAAGGGCCACCTATTCACAAAACGCGCAGGAATAGGGTTCGAGATATGCAGCACAATGAACCGCGATCGCCCAAGCCGTGGGCCGAATGCCAATCACTCACGCCTAATTTGCATCCATCAATTGTGCCATCATACTCTCTCCTACCACGCATTCCTCATCGAGCCCTGACGTGTATCTAGGACGTGTCGTGTTTACAATCTCCGAGAACACGCGCCATCGGCCCGCAAAAGCACTTCTCGACGTGTAACAAGATGCATTTCAGTGCCAGAGACGGATTCGTAATTTGGAATGAGCTCGTTCCAGAGCTCCGAGACTACCCCTGTGTCTATCCTCTACACCTCCGATCCCTCGATCTAGCCTATGGTCATTATTCTCTCTACGAGCATTGAGGGGAAGCTCGCGGCCATCACGGTGCAGCCCGATGCATCGTCTACAACGCATTCCGCGCCTAGAGCGGCAGTTGAGTGCACATCGAAGCCTGCAAGCGGAACCGCTTCCTCTCCAGTTCGGTCAATAAGACTCCCTCCCCACCCAGCCAGTCGTCGTCAATCACATCACGAGCGGCGGCACTGGTCCTGATCAATGGCGGAAAGCATGCACCTCACGTCTCCACCACCCGATGAAGTCGCTCGTTGACACATCGATACCCAGGTCCTTTAGAGCCCGCGTGCTGAGGTGGCAGTCGTAGGGCCTCTGGACGCTGGCGTTGGGGTCGTTGCCCTCCGTGTTGGCGATGATGCCGTCCATCGAGAGGTCCATGATCTCGGCGAACTTTTGGCAGATCTCGTACTTCGTCATCTTGTCCTCGCTGGAGAACTGCAGGATCTTGGGGAAGGAGCTGCGGTCGCCGGCTTCGAGGTACTTCACGGAGATGTCTGTTCACTCTTGTTAGTCATCGCGCATGAGACGGCGAGCAGGGCGGATTACCATGGCACACGCGGCCGACGTCCTCGGTGTTGGTCGGGTAGCGGATGGCCCAGTGGTCCATCTTCACCTTGGACTTTCCGTCCTGCGTCTTCCACAGCGTGTCCATCAGGATGTTGGTGGCGCTCTCGGCCGGAGTCTCTGCCTGACCGTACAGAACGGGAACGCGGAGGACGAGGCCGAGGCCTTCGCGCCCAGCCTGCTTGTACTCCTCCAGGACGGCATGCTCTCCGTCGAGCTTGGTCTGGCCGTACAGATTGGTGGGACCCGTCTGCGCGTCGGCCTCGTACGGGGCATCGCCGGGCTTTCCAGAGAAGACGTAGTCGGTGGAGATGTAGATGAGCAAGATGTCGCGAGCGGCGCAGAGCTTCGCCAGCGACTTGGTGGCGGCGACGTTGAGAGCCCTCGCGGCGTCGGGGTCGCTGTCCACCTTGTCGGGAAATCTCTGGGCGGCGCCTGTTCAAGATGACTGATGAGTAACTCGGTGTCCCGCGACGCATTCAAGAACAGGTTGACGCACAGTGCACGACGACTTGAGGCCTGCGAGAGAAAGAGAGGGCGTTAGCTCAATGTGTGACCGGTCGGCGGGAGTGAGGTCGGCCCTACTTTGACTCGTCGAGGAACTTCTCGACTTCGGCGGCCTTGCCCAAGTCGACCTTGAAAACGGACACCCCGTCCGCGCGAGAGAGGCCGGTGCCCTTGACATTCCAGCTCTTGCGGTCGAAGGCTCTCGCGACCTGTCTTCCCAGGAGACCGGTCGCGCCCGTGACCACGACGTCCTTGCCTGCCATGCTGTGAAGATCGACAAGTGGAAAATGTACTCTGAAGTCTGAACGAAGTTTAGTTCCAGAAGAAAAGGTTCGTTTTGCGACGTTATGCTCTTGTTCTGGCGACGCTGGGAAAGCTCAGCTACCCCGCGGTGGGGGGTCCTCCCACCTGCGACAACTCAATTGGACACTCTACGGGATAATTACATCATCTTCCCACAACCGCATACAAGCGGCATAGAAAGAAGAAAAGAGGACGCCTTGGACCAAGCTTGTGATCTCACGACAAGGGACCGAAGTCTTCACGGCGCAAGCTCGTCACTTCTTCGGATGAACCAGTTCAAGAGAGACTTGGTTTTGTTTGCGGACGCTTCAATGCCGCCATATCCCGAGTCGGCCAGGCCAGCCTGGAAGCCTCTCCCCAGCGGGTCGAGCCAGAGCACCATCTCGCAGAGAAAGCTGAGACTCTGGAATTCAAACGTCGAGAAAACACGCAGAGACGAAGACCAGACGCAGTGAATTACGCACTATTTTGCCCCTAAGCCGCGGATGCCTATCCCTGGCTTCAGGGCTGGAACCATCAAAACCTCTCCAGACTCTCCGAGTCATGAAACGAGCTGACCAGATCTTTAGGCTTAAGCAGCGCGGCTTTTGTTACTCGTGCAAGGTTTACGAATATCGTTACGGCATCTCAGCATTGTTATTTCCAACCCACCTTCTGGCCGGAAGTAAACCTTCAGCGGCAGGAATCAAGAGGTAATGGTGAAGGCGGCGCGGTGCATAATTGAAAGCTTCCCAGGGACAGGTGCTCGGAAACGTCTATGATATCGACAAAGCGGCTCAAAATGTCCCGATATTGTCAGTTAATCGACCACGATCAACAACTTCACATTCGAGTATCTTCATCGTAAGCAGCTTCGGAGCCGACTGGGACGAACTCACCCAAGACTAGTCCTCTCATCCGCGCGTCCCAAGACATGGACAGGGAGGTCCCCTCACCCGCCCTCCCATAGCTGGTCAGCGTCCTTATCAACGAAGCAATCTGTCTGAGCAAAAGCAAAGCTTTCGCGGCGCGCCCTGACGGAGCAAGTGGAAGCTGACAGGAAGACTCTCACGAGCCAGGGGAATGCCCCGGCCACCGGTCCTCCGAGTCGGGTATCTCGCTTAACCGCCGCTGCGGCCATCGTCCCGGGCAGCCTCCGATGAATCGGCCGCCGAGACTGACGTGCAATAAGCAAAAGCAGCTGAAGAAAGGGAAGGGAGAAAAGATTAATAAGTCGCAACGCCCGACCAAGAAGATGGCGCAGTGCCATGGCCAGAGCGGCACGCTGCAATAACGAAGCATTCTTCGGCGTCCTGACAGATGGAGTTACATGTGCACCAGCGTTGGCAAACCACCCTCATCGAAACGATCCAAGATTCTCGAGGCACATCTCCCGTCCCGCGCAAGACGGATCAAACGTTGTTCACCCAAATGGAACACTTTTACCTAAGCCGACAAGTTTCTTCTCTTCCAAATTCCCCTAGACCGATCCGTTGGACCCCTTTCGACTCTGAAGCCCATCTCGAAACCCACTGCGCTTGGCCTTACCTCGGACGCAACCAACGACGGGGCGCTTGGAGAAAGCCTCGCGCCGAAGAAACAGCGGCTGCGATCTGAACATGCCTGCTCCCAGTGCGGCGGTGGGGATCGTCGGCGTATCATGTATATTGCCCTCTTCCACCATTAGGTATCATCGGCCCCGCATCCTTTTTCTTTGGAAGGTCTTTTCTTAGTGACATCCTATGAAGTCACTATATCACGCCGTGATATACATACCAGAAAACCCCCAGCGACGCGGCGGGCGCACATCCTCCGCGGGGCTCGTGACCGACTTCCGTGTCCGGCATCGACGCAATATCAAACAAAATGCTACTGACGTCGTGAGCGTATTTTTGGTATCTACTCTATACTGGTATAGTCGTGCATGATCGTGAAAAAGGTACAAAAACGGAAAGCAAAAAATCCAAGCAAAGTGCCCGCCCGCTTGCTAGAAGCTCTCCGAACTGTTGGTCGAGTACAGCTTCGTGTCGAAGCTCCTCCCCTGGTTCCGGCCGCCACCTCCCCCCGTCGACGCCGGCGGGAGCTCCCCCCTCGCGCCGCCGCGCGGCGTGGAATCCCGCTTGGCGTCGTACTCGATGTTGACCTCCCGCGTCCGCATGATGCCGTCGTACGTCATGATCTCCTCCTCGCTCGTCGTCGGCGAGTGGCCCCTGATCTCGGACCGGCCCTTCATGCTCATGTTCTTGAGCTGGAAGGTGTTGGGGTGGGTGTCGTTGTGCGTGTGGTGCGTGGCGCTCCGGCCGCGGGTCGCCGTCGCCGTGGTGCGCGACCTCTTGGCATCGCCGCCGCCGCTGCGGCCGTAGCCGTAGCGTCCGTTGGAGGAGCTCTTGAGGGAGGCGAAGAACTTAGGGAACCAGCGGAGGAAGAGGCCGCGGAGGGCCGGGGCCGAGGCGGCTATGATGGCGAGGTTGGTCTCGACGGCCGAGTAGGTGAAGCGGATGTCGTAGGTCGGATCGTTCAGGTTGATGTGGTAGGACACCTCGACCAGCCAGACGAGGCGGAGGACGCTGATGGCGGTGACGCTGGGCCGCGGTTCTGTCAGAGGGGGTTGTCTTGGGAGACTGCAGGTAGGTTTTGGGGTGAGCGACTTACACGGCTCCCAGGGCGAAGACGGCGAGGAGAGCCATCTTGACCCGTGCGGGCATCTTCAGTCCGAGGAAGATCCAGAAGGGCAAGGCCAGCGCGAGGACATCGGTTAGAATCGTCAGCGAGGCAGTGCTCACGTAGAAGGCCGAGGTGTCGATGCAAGTGCCGTCCGTCGGGGGGTTGCGGCCTGCCTTTTCCCAAAAGTAGCTGATGGGCCGGCACTGGAAGATGACGGTGACGAAGATGGCGACCATGAGCGTCAGGTTGAAGACGTTGAGGCCGATGATGGCGTACCGGATGCGCCGCTTCTGGCCGCTCAGGCGGAGGAGGAACATCAGGACGGAGCACTTGACGAGCGCCAGGATCGGGTTGTAGAGGAGCTGGATGATGTAGTTCCACAGGCTGCCGAGCCGTTGGTCTGCTACCAAGGGTATGTCTTTGACGTGGATGCCGATGAAGGCATAGCGCATGGCGAAGTACGATGCTACAGTCTCGGCGAGCGACTCTACCTACGGGGGACTATGTAAGTGACTCTGTACGAGGCTGAGGATCTAGTAGATGTTGAACATACCATTGCAAAACATATCAAGCCATCGTCTACGAGAACAAGTTAGCTACCTCGGCGACGATCGACTTGACGAGTAGAATTCCGGGACAACCTACCCCAACCGAACTGATTCGTGCTGACCCGACTATATACTCTTAAAGCCACTATGATCAGGGCCACTGCCGGGAAGAAGAAGAGAATGAAGAAGCCAATGTGCTGAAGACTCGTTTCCGGGTACGGGTAGTCGTCGGTGATGGGCGGCAGCGCAGCAGCCGTCGTGGTCGCGGCGTCGGCGGTATCTCTCGTCACCTGGGCGGCCTGCGCCGCGTGAACCAGAGCCGCGATGGCCTGCGACATGGCCGACGTTCGGTCGTCTTGAACTTCGAAAGTCGACTATAGGTGCGGCGAATCCAAGCTCGGAGGAGCCCTTGGCTGGCGGGATAGGGGTTTACCTCTCAGCACAGCGATGCGGGAAACGGTCTAATATGGAAAGGCAGGGAAAGATGGTAGTCCTATATGCCATCGTCCCTGGCTTGAAAAGTTCTGACTTCTTTCCGGTGTGCCTTGGACAGCCAGATTGGTTCAACACAGTATATGCACATAACTAACGGTGCCGTCTCCAAGTGAGAGGCGCATATTATTAGGCCTACCTTTCCTTCTTCCCACTCTGCAACGACAGGGTCGGTAAAGAAGAGCCAGACGGAATAGCGGTAGGCTTGCGAGAAAGGAACCAGGCCTCTCGGTGTCCTTTCCCTCAAAACACCAAGCCCCAAGTGGCGCCGGCGCTTCCAAAACAACTTCTGCGCCATTCAAGTGGGTGTGGCCATGTAAGAACTGGAGCCTCGAGAGAAACTTGGTGTCCCCCGGTGGTAACCCTACACAACGGGCATCCCTTGCACGCATCTGGCAGCAAGGATATATACGCTCGCTGAGAGGGCGCCGAGAGTGACGACGAGTGGCCGATAGAGGAGGACCACGGGAGAGTGAGAGGGTGGTCCAGCCCTGCGTGGATGTAGCAAGAGGTCCGGCGGGTTGGAATTACCATTCCCACACCATCTCATCCCGTCCGTCGATCAAGCTTGAGTGTCCGTTACCACTCAGATATTGCCATGGAAGACGCCTGGAAGAGGACTGACTTTCTTCTCCCGTGACAACACTTGCTACCAGTGCGACGCCTGAGGTGTAAGAACGATGTAGCACCCACGCCGTCCACATCCCGCGGCTTGTTCATCTCGTTGACAGGTGCCAAACGGTCAGAGATGGGAGCATGTCCGTGAGTTCGGCGTCAACAAGCTTACTTTGAAAGACGGGGCGTCAAGCCACAGGGTAACGGGGGCGTATCCGTCTACGCCTCCCCTCCGTAGCGACAAATCAGGAAAGGAAACCGAAGACCTTTCGAAATTTGCCATCTCCTCTCCACGGTTGCTGCCTGAGTTCTTTCCTCACACTGGACGAGAAGAAATTATCAGAATCTGCAGGGCGGGTTTGATGCGGGACCGGGGCCCGAGGCGAGGTGACAGCGATCGCGGGCTGCATCTTGGTGGACGTGGAGCTCTGGGGCTGCTGATGGGATATCGAACGATTTTTCGTGGGGCCGAAAAGATGCGGGACTGTTGCTGGTGTTGGCACCTCTGGTTCGTATAAGTCGTAAACGTCCGCACCTCCAAGCCGCATCCTGGGACGCAGGTACAGGCCAGGGTTCGGCAGCATGTCAGGACCAAGTGAAACCCATCGCGTACCGAGGACTTTGTGGCTAGCGCGCGATTGGTAGTTGTTAGTTGGCGGGCAGCGGAGAAAGAGATTGGTGGTCTTTCGTGAGACGAGACCCTTCTCCGTGTGGTTGGCTTGAGCGAGGAATTCCATGGGAATCGACATGATGAGTGAGTCTGTAAATGTGGATGATGAGTTGGCCTCGTCAAACTTGCTGGAGAAACGCATGCATGTGTAAAATGCTGTGCCGCTGAAGACGCACGAAAGCCGACATGCTGAAGAGAAATGACAACTGCATGACAGCCGGGGAAATAACCACTGCCGTCCTGTCAGCCACACTCTCTTGCGTTGCCGCGACATGGGTTGTTGGTTGTTGGCCGCAGGTACTTACTTACACATTGGCCTGTTGTCTAGAATGGGTCACTGAGAAGTTCAACTCGAGAACATCAAAATAGCTTCTCGACATGTCGAAGCACCTGAATCTCAAGATGAGCCTGACGATAAGATTCACATCATCAAGAGATGGCCTTTGCGCTGCCGCCCGGTGGTGATCATTTGCGGGAAGCAGTGCGGCATCCGAAGCTCCGGCAGGATTTGCAAGCCCGCCGGGGCCAGAAATTACCTTGCATGCGGACTTCATCTACGCGGGACAAGGGTTGTCCACACCCGGCGCCCAGTCCAACCCCATGCCGGCCCAGAACGGCAAATAGGGCACGGCAAGTTCACAAATCTCGCGCAACAGACGAGAAGAAGATGACAACGAAGAAGACGCAGAAGGATGCGAGACGGGTTTCGGCTTGTTAGTTGATGTTACCCAGCTGGATTAACGAGCCCGCTAGGCACACCGAAATCCCTCACAGGGCAACTAGCTCCGATAGTTGAGATGAACGGCTCAGCAAAGGCCGCGCAATCCACTTGGTCCAGATCTCCCTCTGCTTCTGAGGAGTCGTTATGACAGGGCTTAAGCTTGATTCTGAAAAGGAGAAAAGGATGACGGGTGCTTCCTAAATCTTAAACTTGGTAACAAAACGAAACAGCCGGTTCGCGCTCGCAGCATGGAAAGTCCCTTCTGCAGAGATGGATCCTCGCCTCCTCTCGGTGCGTCTCTGAATCGCTAGCGAGACCTCGCCAGGAGTGACTGTGCCTTGATCACAAACTGCTCTTTTCTGGCAGGTTGGCAGGCTGTGTCGTGCAAGAGGGATCGGGAGGAGGCCAGCATTTCCATGTTTGTGAGAGGCCGAATCTGGCAAGTTGCTGGGATATTGCTTCGAGGGATCTGTGTCTGCATGCGCATCTCCCATATTGCCACCAGCCACAATAAATGATGGCCGACTGAGGTGGTGTTGGCTGTTGGTTGTGTGGATCAAAAGACGAGTAGCAAAACAGCCAAGTGGACCTCATGGAGAAGCAAAAGAAGAAATGATGCGATTTGTTGGAGATGCCGAAGAACCAAGAAACCGGACTTGTCTTCGACTTGACTCAGTCAACCGCTGAGACTGTTGGCTCGTGCAAGACAGAACGGTTCATCTGAATAGGAGCAGATGTCTTTCTTTCTCTTTGCAGTATCTTTGCAGTAGAATCAACTGAACTTGGAAAACTTGCCTAAACCAGACTTACCTCCACAGGACGTTGAACGCGCACTGACACCGCAGTCGGCGAGCAGATTAGCTAGCCAACCGACCGGGCTTCTTGCGCCGGTGAGCGCGGGATAGCCTCCACATCCCAGCTCGACAACGACCGAGATGACAACGGTGCAAGGGTCGTGGCCACTGTGCCTGGGCAACATGCGGGGGCTTCCATCTCGGCCAAGGAGCCAAGCTCCAAACTCCGATTTCCAGCGTCCAGCCACTCAACGACCGCCCATCTGCGTCAGATCCTTGAACAGACCGAGCCCAAGTGGAGGTTGAAAACTGCACGTCGAGGTGGACGACTGGGGGCGTCCACCGTGTTAGTCTCTCGAAGTCTGTGTCGCTTTCAACGGCACCGTAACCTCGCCGGGTTCTGTTGCTTCCCTGCCCGCCATCCAGAGCCGTTGAGGGAAGCATGGCTCATCTCCCTCAAGGGTGTCCGCAAGAAGCACTTACAATGCTGTAATCACCCGTCTCCGGCGGAAAGATGCCTGTTGGAATCCGCCTCAGTTGCTTCGGGGATCTCGTCCGTCGATACTCGACCCTCTCCGTCTCTTCGCCCCCTCATCTATTCCTTCGCGAGAGGAATAGTTCCAGAGGAGCCCTGCAAATATTGCCTCTTGGCCACTGATGCTCTGCCCTACATCAATCCGTAGCCACAGAAAACCTCCCGTGCGTACCGACAGGCTGCGATCGAGCCCCCACAGGCCTCGAGCTAGGCTAGCCGTCCACATCTTTCGATATCGTTGGTAGCATAGCGAGGCCATTTCCGTTGTCGGTCGTGTTGTGTCCACCGATACGGGCTGTCATCCAACCGTCAAGTCCAGCGTTCCATTGCTCATCTCGGTCTCCACGCGTTCACCCCGCTGACACCACTGGCCGAACATCCTGCTGAGCCTTTTATATATTCGACGCAAGCCTTCCCGCCTCGGTGATCGCCTCTTTTCATCCCATTCGTCCACCAGGAGCATCTCGCGTCTGACACCACGTGGCAACCATGGCTTCGACACGTTCTGTTCTGGCGGCGGCTCTGCTGTCTGTCGGGCAGCTGGTTTCGGCTCAGACTATCAAAGTCGACGGCCAAGAGATTGGTGAGTTTGCCGCTAGTGATGCCTGGGAGACAGCTGTGGCGATCCGGATCATATGTGACTGACAACCTGTTAGCTGCCAACGCCTCCACCGTGGCTCCGGCCGCTGAGGCCGCTGATGCCTCCGTCGCCAGCACCTCCGCGGGTCTGAATGACCAGGAGAAGGCACAGCTGACCGATGCTGTACTTGCCAACCTAACGGCTCTCGAGTTGTCCAACGTCTCTTTGTTCGGCTTCGAAGACGCCTCTTCAGTCGAGAAGAGATCTCTCTTCGGCCGATGCAAGACATACCCAGGAGACCTCCTGTATCCCAACAGCATTATCTGGGGCATCTTTGACCTTCTCCTTGGTGGTGCTCTCACCAAGACCATCCCCGAAGCCTCAGTGTGCTATGATGACTTTGGCAACTATGACAAGGCCAAGTGCGACTTCTTGACCACCAACTGGGTTAATGGCTCGTACTATCACACCGAAGACCCAACTGCCATCAACGCTGTTCTCTTCGAGGGCCTGAACTGCATGCCCCCGACTATCAACGTTGGCGAGACGAATTGCTCGGTCGGTGGTCTGCCATCATACGTCGTCGAGGCCACCACTGTCGCCCACGTTCAGTTGGCCGTCAACTTCGCCCGCAATCTGAACCTCCGCCTCGTCGTCAAGAACACTGGCCATGACTTTGGAGCCAAGTCCACTGGTGCTGGTTCCCTGTCCATCTGGACGCATAACTTCAACGAGATCACTTTCCTCGAGAGCTACAAGCAAGACTCGTACAGTGGCTCTGCCTTCAAGCTCGGTGCGGGTGTCAGGGCTTTCGAGGTCTACGAGGCCGCGAACAAGTATGGCGTGACCGCTGTCGGTGGTGAAGGCCAGACCGTCGGTGTTATGGGCGGCTATGTCCAGGGAGGTGGCCACAGCCCGCTTTCAGGATTGTACGGCATGGCTGCTGATAACGTGCTCTCTTTCGAAGTGGTTACTGCCGATGGTCGTTTCGTGACTGCCAGCGAATCCGAAAACACCGACCTCTTCTGGGCGATCCGCGGCGGAGGTGGCTCGACATACGGCGTCGTCACGTCGGCCGTTGTGAAGGTTCACCCCCAGATGAAGGTCAGCACCGCCACTTTCGCCTTCTCTACAGGCGAGAATGTGACTACCGACCAGTTCTGGTCGGCTCTCCGTTTGTACTTTGACGGTTTCGTCGAGTACGCGGTTGATAACGCCAACTACGGATACTTCCGCATCCAAAATCTCGGTACTTCCTTCGCCTTCGATATGGGCCCTTGGTTGGCTCCGAACATGACTGAGGCAGAGCTTCGCAATCTGACAGCACCTCTGTTCGCTAAGTGGGCCGAAATTGGCCTCAACGTCGAGCCCGTCTTCAAGGAGTTCGACAACTTTTATGATGCCTGGTCGGTCTCTTTCCCTCTGGAACCTTGGGGATCCAACGCCATCCGCCAGGCTAGTCGTCTTTTCCCCAAGGCCAACTGGGAAGACGAGACCAAGCTCAACGCCACCTTCGACGCCATCAAGTCCGTCGTAGAAGACGGCGGCTACATCGTTGCCTTCAACATGGCCGCCGCGCCCGAGGGTTACCCTGACAACGCCGTCAACTCTGCGTGGCGCGAGACTGTGATGCACTGCATCACCGCCGCTCTATGGGACCCCACCGCCGAGGAGTCCGTCATCAAGAACGCCAGCGACACGCTCACATTCGACTGGATGCAGCGCTGGCGCGATGTCTCCCCCGATGCCGGTGCGTACATGTCCGAGTCGGACTACATCGAACCCAACTTCACCCAGGCTTTCTGGGGTACCAAGTACGAGAAGGCTCTCGAGCTTAAGAAGAGATTCGACCCCCACGATGTCTTTTATGCCCAGAACGGTGTTGGATCCGAGAACTGGGAGATGTCGGAGATGATTCTGGGCAACTTGCCTTCGCAGAACAGCAAGTTGTGCCGCAAGCAGTAGGGAGTTGTCGATTGATCAAGCCGCCTTGCTCATGATTATGGTGTTCTTTCTTCGACTGTAAATATTGCCATTGTACATAAGTGTGGTTTTCTTAGCCACGAGTAACCTGAATATGGATCAGTAGATGATCTTGACGCATTAGAATAGTACTTTTTGTCATGACAAACCTCATGCCCAAGCATTTTATGAATCGCAAGCCCGCCCTGAACTGATCAGCCTCAGCGTGTGATCTTGATAGGGCCGATACTTTTGCGTTTTTGATGACTTGAGATGATTTGCGGCAGTACGTGACTTTGGTTGGTTGAACTGAAGGAAGCGTCCAGGAGCGCGTCGACAGCAGATGCGCGAAACCGAAATGCCGTGAGACAATTCGTAGACTCTAGTCATTCGATCATTGTACTTTATTCGGAATTTTGAACCGTTTCCTGCTGGATATGCCGTGTATCGATGATATTGCATTGGTGACCGAGCTTGAGGTGTCGTGAACGTGAGAGGTGTTGGAGGTTTGGGTGGCGGTACGTACTTATCTCTAAGCCCACTTTAATTTTACGCTAAACCATAACGGAGCAGGCGCATAACCTGCCTTCGAATTTCAAGGTGACATCTCCCCAAACTCTTCAACCATAGCTTCATACACCAGCCGTCCATCATGGCATCTATCGCGGCGTCCCTGGCATCGGCCCTCCCGAAACCCAAATACTCCGGCGAAGATGAAGAGCCCCCCGCGCGCGCTCAGCAACGCGGCCCCCGCATCGTGGGCGCCGGCCAGCTCGACGAGACGCAGATCGTGCTGAAGAGATCCGGTCCTCCTCCGTACGGCCAACGCGCAGGATGGCGACCGCGAGGCCCCGAAGACTTTGGCGACGGTGGCGCGTTCCCCGAAATCCCGATCGCGCAGTACCCGCAGGATATGGGAAAGAAAGGGGCGTCTTCCAGCAACGCGCTGGCGATCCAGGTCGACGCGGAGGGAAAGCTCGATTACGGCGCCATCTCGCGTCAAGGCCACAGCGAGAACCGAATCGTGCACACCTCGTTCAAGGACCTCATTCCTCTCCGTCAGCGAGCCGACGCTGGCGAGATCGATCTGAGCCGACCGAGTCAAGAGGAGGTAGCTGCGACGGCCGAAAAAACAAAGAATGCATTGGCAGCGTTGGTGAGCGGCGCTGTGGCTGCGCAGAAGCCCAAGAACGTCAACGTCGGGAACCGCGCAGACCCGACCTTTGTGCGATACACCCCGGCGAACCAGATGGGCGACAACTCTAAGAAGCAAGATCGCATCATGAAGATCGTGGAGAGGCAAAGAGACCCGATGGAACCGCCCAAGTTCAAGCACAAGAAGATTCCCCGCGGGCCGCCGAGTCCTCCGCCTCCAGTTCTGAGGTCGCCACCACGAAAGCTGACGGCCAAGGACCAGGAGGATTGGCGCATCCCACCACCAGTCTCCAACTGGAAGAACCCCAAGGGTTTCACGGTTCCGCTGGACAAGAGATTGGCTGCCGATGGGCGTGGTCTCCAAGACGTGGCAATCAACGACAAGTTCGCTCAGTTCTCCGAAGCTCTATACGTTGCCGACAGACACGCCCGCGAGGAAGTCAGACAGCGCGCGGCAATGCAGCAGAGACTGGCGGAGAAGGAAAAGGCGCAGAAAGAGGAGAACCTCAGGATGCTTGCGCAGAAGGCTCGCGAGGAGCGCGCGGGGGCTGGTCGACGCGACTCGAGATCAAGGTCACGCTCGCGCAGCTACAGCGGCTCTGACTCGGAAGACTCCGACGGTTCGGAAGACTCAGAGGTGCGGGAGCGAGAGAGAGCCAGAAAGGAAAGGATGCGCGAGGAGGAGAGGAAGCTACGTCAGTCACGCATGGGAGCTGAGAGGAGGGTCCAAGTCATGGCGAGGGAGCAGAACCGGGATATCTCGGAGAAGATCGCGCTCGGCCTCGCGAAACCGACACAGTCCAAGGAGACAATGTACGACTCGAGACTTTTCAACCAGTCGAGCGGCTTCGACAGCGGGTTCAACGAGGACAACCCGTACGACAAGCCGCTCTTTGCTGCGCAAGAGGTCATCAACAACATTTATCGTCCACGCGCCAACATGGACGAGGAAGAGGACGAGGCTGCTGGCGATAAGGAGATGGCCAAGATTCAGAAGTCGAGTCGCTTCGGTGAGGCGTTGGGCAGGGGAACGTTCAAGGGCACAGAAGATGTCGAGGTAAGCACACCGGCTCGAATGAAAGCGAGGAGTAAAGCTAACCAACTCGTTTCACAGGAGAGGGAGGGGCCAGTACAGTTCGAGAAGGACGCAGGAGATCCCTTCAACGTGGACAAGTTTTTGTCCGAGGTGGAGCAAAGTTCGTCGTCGAAGAGAGGATACGGACTTCAGGAGGAAGATTCCCGGCAACCAAAGCGGGCCCGAGTAGAGGAAGACGACGACTAGATGAGTCGGAGCCGGCGCTAGGGGAGTTTACTTGGTTCGGCGGAGCAAGAGTCAGTCAGCATCGAGATTCCGACTCTCTCTCAAAGGCATTGTAAAAGTACGGGGAGCTGTCGCGATGCTGGACGAGCAGGGCAGAGCATTAATGCAAAAGAGAATTTTGACGAGCTCCGTACAGAAGTCGGTGCGAGCTTCGATCGCAAACCATTGGACGATTGCGTGTGATGTTGCCGGTTGTTCTAGGGCGGAGAGGCAAGGGGTGGAAGCCGACTGGCGAGTTCGCAGCGACGTTCACGGTTTCATAGACCCGTGATTTCATGCGGACCGTCTGGCCGTCGACAAGTCAAAGCCGAGAACCGGACGAGGCGGACATTTTGGCACCTGGGCCAGGAACAGCGATCCGGGTTCGTTCGACTGGACGGGCCGGGGTGGGTTCGCTAAAACTTGTCAGAGTTGGTGTCGTCGAAGTGACAGTCAGGGTCGGCGAGGGAGGCGGCTCGGACTGCGATTGGCCCCGTCCCCTGGGACAAGCAACAGTCAAGAACCGGGACATCAGGCGAGCAAGGGGATATGGTTGGGGGTCGGGTTGGGTTGGGAGGAAGGGGAAAAAAAAAGAAGTTGAGACGAAGATCAGGCAGGGTGGGAAACGTGTGGGCATGGAGCATTGGACGTTCCGGCCTATATTTACCGTCCCGTAGCTTGATTGACGGGCGGTTGAAACAGGTTGCAGCGATGCCCTGTTGGTTAAGCTCTGAGTTGGAGACTCTTTGGAGCCTTGGCCCCCAATGCCGATGATGTGATGGATGGTGTTAGGTAGTCATGTTTGCTTCTGCGATTGCCAGAGTTCACGAAGGGAGAGAGGGTGGTAATAAGTGAGGAGAGTTGGCGGCTGAAGGGAAGCATGGTGATTTGAAAAACAGAGAATGTGTTTATTTCTCGTAAGCTTAACCAAACATCTGGCTCGGAATCGAGAATTTGATATTGGCCAGAGTCTATTAGTCTCTTCTTTTAATCTTTTTCGGCTGGTGTTCGCCAGAAGTTCCGATGCAGCCTCAAGACGCAGCTCCCGAGGACCTGGTTTCCGAGAGCTGATCTCGCATATATCCCGCGTCGAGTGAGTTCTCAGGTGCCCGCCCGCCCGCTGAACCCATTGAGTTGTTGGTTGCACGAGCCGGCGGCAACTTAATAAGTCAGAACCTGATCCGAATGCGGGATTCCAAGCGCAGATCGATGCGACATGTTCGGGTCGTTTCTTGTGTCTGTCTGTCAGCAGCTGATGTTGCTCCTGCAGCAGAGTCCCTGCGTGGGAGGCATGCGACGGGAGTTGGGATCGGGAGTCAGAGAAGAAGCGTAATTCACGACGGTGAGTTTTTGGTGGTTCCATTCCAACTCTGGCCGGCGAGATGTCGAGGCTATTCGACTGAAGTCAACATGGGCGGAAAGTCTACAGCATCCCGTCCTTTTTGACCTTGGAAGAGATGAAGATGATGGGGGTTAGGTGGACTTCAACTCAAGCCTTCAACGCCCAACTTGGCTCCCTTCGCCAAGCCCTTTAGCGCAGATGCGCTGTCGGCCCCTGACAGCGTGGCACCCGTGGCACCTGTGGCACCTGCATCCCGCTTTGAGGCGCTATGAAGTGTCGATCTAGCCGGCTGCATCATCCGAGTTCAACTTCACCTTTTCTTCTTCCTGCGCCAGTTCGGATTCGTTTTCCAGTCATCAGCGTCCCAACAACAGCATGACCGAGGAGGATCAAGACCAACATCTAAGCCGAGGTGGTCTCGTGTCATCATTCATTCCATCTTCGTCTCCATGATCGACCTGACTGACGTCCGGTCCCCATCTTCCAGCTGAAGATGCAGTACCAAAAAAGACACGACGACGGCGACGAGCTTGACTCGACTCACACTGACCCCGGCCGCAGATCAATCCATCCATCCCATCTCTGTTTCTCCCACTCCTCAACCAAGATTTCAAGTTACCAAGACGTGCGAGACCCTGCAACGACGGGCTGCACGTCCACTTCAGATGTCCCGTCATCGTCCCCTTTCGCCCCGTCCTTCATGCCCGAGAGGTGTCTCTGCCTCGAAAGCATGAACAAGAAGCTTCTTCCCAGACACGACACCCCGGACGCACCGGCCAGCCATCAGCTCTGAGCATGACAGACTTGACTTTTGCCATGCACACACACACACAGCACACATCTCAGGTCTGAGCCGAGACCCGCCCCGGATGCTCGTGTCTACCTACCTTAGTTTACCTGCCTACACTACTGCAGACTGGCCTGTCAAGGTTCGTGTCGAGTCCTTGCTCAATGCTCTGCAGAAGCCTGCCCTGCGTTGAAGCGCGCAAAGTCAAGCTCAGCCCTGGTCCCCAGCGCCCTCAGCGTCCCGAACCTCTCTCTCGTCGTCGGCGCCGTCATCCAGTTGCATCCGAGCCCGAACTTGGCGTCCCGCGGCGGTGCCAGTCGTTCTTTTCGTTTCCTTATGCCTCACCCCTGGCTTATGTGAAGTGTTCCAGGGGATTTCCCATACCTCGGATGCACTGATGAAGCTCAAATGCCAAGTTGGCGGTTAGTTGTTGGGCACCGTGTATCATGTTCTTCCCCCGCGTCGTGGTCTCGGCGAAGTTTTTTCTGGGAGGAGAGAACCACGATGCTTATTTCACTGCGTCTGCCCACCCTCACCTTCTTAAGAATCTTCTCTTCTTCTCTCAACTATTCTTCATCGTGTCTGGTCTTGGCACTTACATTACCGTCTTTTAATATCTCTTCGTAATTTCACTTCATGCCTCTGAGAGGACTGCGCCTCTTCACAGTTACGACACCGACTTGGACCGAAGGAACGCATATCACATTCTGCTCGTCGAATCACCACACCAATTGAAAAAAAACCACGCCATATTAGACCGAAGCTGGCTCAATAATACGAAATTTCCACTTCGGGACTCGGAATTCACCCACACTCACGTATTCCCTGATGCGAGACGTCGACATCCCCTGCCAGCACTCGTCGAGCCAGGCAACTTGGACCATCCCTCATTGGACTGGTTTAAGTGGTCCACCGCAACGGACGCGTACGTAGTACGTATGATAGGCGTAATCGGATCGCTGTGTTAAATCGGGGAGCGTATCAGCTTGAAGACGATGGTTCCAAATCTGGGCCCGACTTCATCACTCGGCTATACTCCGTTCGAATACTGGAAGGGTCCGAAACCCGTCATTCCCAGACCAAAGCGCAAATCACGAGCCGTCGCCCTCGATCTAGAACCGCTTCTTCCCACCCCCACACCGGCACCGAGGCCTCGCGCCGCCGCGACATGGCCCGGTCAGGCATTTGCTGTCGCCGTCCCTGGTGTCCAGCGGAAACCGTCGCTGGCACCTCCCCCAAGCGCCTTCGTGGCGCAGCCAGGAACATTCACCGTTTCGTCCAATAAAGGCAAGCCATTTGCGGAGATTCTCGTCGTCCCTCCAAAGGTGTTGGTCCACCCACTTTTTCGAGACGAGATAAAGACTCCGGACTGGCCCAGGGGTTTCTCCCCGTATCCCGATTCCATGAACGACTCGACTTACAACATCATGGGCGACTACGGATATTCAAACGAGCGCCTCGGCCAGAAGCCTGCGTGGTGGGACCCGAGGGGGTGGACGAAGCGGATTTGGGCCGGTGTCAGTGCCGCCATCATTATTCTGATTGTCATCATCGTCGCCGTCGTCGTCACCCAGAACAACCAGAACCGGTACCCGGACTACTCCAAGCTGTCGTACAAGCTGAGTGACACATGTACGGACCAGCCGTGCGCGGGAACAGCGGACATTCCCGGCTGATGATTGAAACCCAGACTCTGGAGAGAACTTCTTCGACAAGTTTGACTACTTCAACACATATGATCCAAGTGTGTCTCGTCCAGACCTCACTGCCAGGCGCAGCACACTGACTGATCCCGACAGCGGGAGGAACCGTTCACTACGTCGGCCGCGCTGAGGCAGCCACGAGGGTACATATATCCCACTTCCTAACCCTGGCAAACATCAGCTGAACCCAGCAAAGAACCTGACGTACGCCACCTCCGACAGGGCCGTCGTCCGCGTCGACAACACCGTCGGCCCCAGCTCCACCCCGGACGCCTCGACCGGACGCTTCTCCGTCCGCGTCGAGTCGAAGACGCAGTACGACAAGGGCCTGTTCATCTTCGACGTCAAGCACACGCCCTACGGCTGCGCCTCCTGGCCCGCCCTCTGGTTCTCCGACCCGAACAACTGGCCCGACGCCGGCGAGATCGACATCATGGAGGCCGTCAACCAGGGCACCGACGGCAACCAGATGACCCTGCACACCACCTCGGGCTGCGAGATGAACGTCAAGCGCAAGCAGACCGGCAGCGTCCTCCAGACGGACTGCAAGAACACGACAAACAGCAACGCCGGCTGCGGCGTCGAGGGCAAGACGTCCTCCTACGGCGAGGACTTCAACAGCGCCGGCGGCGGCTACATGGCCATGGAGTGGCGCGACGAGGGCATCCGCGTGTGGCAGTTCGCGCGGTCCTCCGTGCCCTCGGACATCACCAACAAGGCCCCCGACCCGAGCACCTGGGGCAACGCCCTCGCCGATTTCCCCAACACGGCCTGCGACATGAGTTCGCACTTCAAGAACCAGTCGCTCATCATCAACATCGACGTCTGCGGCTCGCTCACCGAGGCCAAGTACGCCACCTCCGGCTGCGGCGGGACCAGCTGTTCTGATTTCCAGGCCAACAACCCCTCCGCGTTCGACACGGCGTATTGGGAGTTCGGTGCCTTTCAGGTATACACGGCCTCATAACGTAGACACGGGAGGAGGAATGAGATATGTAAAAGAAGAGAGAGTTACACACGCATCAGAAAGATGCGGGTTGTCACCGAGGCAGGTCACCGGTGGCCAAAACCGCAACAGGAGCGGTCATGACCTTTTGTGTTTTTTATTCCAATGAGCGAGCGAGTCTTATATCATCCACTCGGGGGTTTTCGAACAAACCTCCCCAAGTGAGGATCTTCTATCCCTGAGAGGTCAAAAGGAGTCGGAGAGTAACATATGCCCAAAAAAGTTTTCAAGAGACATAATGTCTAGAATGGGGTCTATCTATACTACATTTCTCTCAAAACCCCGCATCGTGAAACTACCCCGTGAAAGAGAGAGAAGAGTCATAGTATACAGCCATCAAAGCAGTCGTCCACAACATCAACCAACCCCTTCGTCGGCCTTCATCCCGATCGTGAATAATGTCGAAGTGGAGTTGGATCTCTATAGTCTATATCCCTCCCCTGGCCATTCCCAACCCGAATAGAAAGGGGTTCGGCCCAATCCGTAGTAAACGCCATGCAATGCAAACAACCCGCCAAAAGCCACCTTTTGTACAGACGTCCTTCCACATCATTTCATACACACACTTTCTTCCTACACCCACAACCTCACCTCTCTCTCACACATTACACATTCCCCCCTCACTCATCCTTCGGACTCCTCATATACGCATCAATAGCGGCACTAAACGCCGCGAACGCAACGCACCCGCCCAGCGCCGCCTGCGGCCCCGCGTTCTTGGCCAATATCCCGCCCGTCAGACACCCCGCCGCGACGCCGTTGCCCAGGTCGTTCTTGGCCCGGAGGCCCTCGATCCCGCACTCGATGCCCGCGAACAGCGCGCCCACCTTGCCGAAGTTCTTGGCCATGCTGTACGACCGCGTGCCCATGTCCTTGAAGCCGTGCCGGAGCTGCTGGCGCAGGGGGAGGTCCGAGATCGGGGTGGTGGTCGGCTTGCCGTCGATCGTGGCCGTGTGGAAGGGCGTGTCGTAGGACATCTGGTGGAGGGGCGGGTGTCAGACTCTTTTTTTCAATTCTTGAGGACACATTTGATTTTGCCTCTTGTAAGAGGAGGGTAACGTACGGATGCCATGAACATGCCGAATAATCCACCCATGCCGAAACCCATCACGCCGGACATGACGCTCTTGGTCCAGCAGTTCTCCATGAAATTCGTCATCTGGCATTCCGCGTCAGTGAATCTATTTGTAGGTAACCAGCAGCCGCAGCAGAGAAACGCACCGCCTGCATCTGGGCGTCGGGGGGGGCCATCGCGCCGGCGGCGTCGGCTGGCGTCGCCATGGGCGAGGCTTGGCTTGCACCGGGGAAACTCATGACGAAGATTATATTGAGGGTATCGTGTAGAGAGCGGCGAGGTGCGAGTTAGTGCGATTGAATGCGATCGTCGCGACGCGTGCTGCCAGATTGTTCGCGGGAGGGTGACCAAATTTCTGCCAGGAGGAGCTTCTCACCACTGGGCGGCGAGCGATAAATTTCTTATCTCGCCTTATCGATGTCGGCGCCTCCTGGCACGTGCTCCTCCGACCGGCCTCCGAGCGGTCCCTCCCGATGGAGAGTGGGGTGAGTTTCCGGGTTCCCCGTGCACCAATGACGGAGCCACCATGGGTGACGGGATTGAAACTCAATGCAGTAAACCATTTTCACTCAACATGACGCCACGGCCTAGTTTTCATGTCTCTTGAGAATGAGCTACGATAAGTCTGTCCTCTATTGAGAGGGTATACAAGGTAAACGGCCCGTAATGAGCCTCGCTCAGCCTGTCATGAGAATGCCTTTTTCTTGTGAATACGAGTCGAGACCAAATCTGCCCGCCTCTAGGCCCCAGAACCGCGAACCTCTCTGCCCGCATACTCTTTGTAACGATTTCGGTTCAAGATGCTGCATCGGACAAAGTTCTAACCCTCTCAACCAGTTCAATGGCATCCAGGTCCGTAGAAAACGTCCTTTGATTACCGCAAAAACAGGTCGCCAACGCCGTTTCTCAATGTTCTCGTTCGGTCGACGTGGTCCAAGCCAAGGTAGTCATCGTCGTTCGTGGCAACGTCCCATAATACGTCCTCTGCTATATGTCAGTGCTGTGATGTGCAAGATGTTCAGGAATGCCTACCGTCACTCAAGTAATGTGGCTTGGAGAAATGAGATCTTTTGATCACCGCAAACTTGATCTTCTCGAAGCTCTTGCCCTTGAGACCAGTCCGCTTCTCAAGTCGTTTCTTCGTATCCGCAAATTTCTCCCCCTGGACAGTGTCAGTGAGCGGGCATATCTCTTGGCAGTGGGATGCTTACCTCGACGAGCAAGAACTTGAACGGAACACCGTGTACTCTGCTCGGCTCGCTTTGGAAGTGGAAAACTTGGATGTAGTTGCTTCCTTCCTCCTCGTTCAACTCCTCCTCAGGCACGCGTTCCGCGAAGACGCTCGTGTATTCGTTCATACTGATGACGGGATACTCCCGAGGAAGTTCGCGGTAAAACTTGTGGCTACTCGTTTCGTATATCCTGATACGACCTCCCTCGGCCTCGTCGGGGATGCCTGCCTTCTTGACCAAGACCTGGATGAGGTCTTCGATGTTGCCGTTCTTCGCAACAAGCAGGTCATACTGTTCCTACTATTCGTCAGTACTTTGCAAACTTGTCATCACGAGAGTCGGGTCTCACCTCTTTCGTGATGCCTTCACTGAGCCATGTGACCTTGATACTCTTCTTGGTGTCCAGCTCCGCCAAGCTCATGTCCAAAACCTCAAAATAGAAGGCATCCGTCCGTTGGCTTGTGCTCAGCTGGTTGTAGCCAGTGGGGTTGAGGATGACTTGCAGGCTCTGGTTGACACCACGCTTGACAGTTGTCTTGGGGTTTCCGGTCGCGGAGTTGACGGTCCAGAAGCGGATATGGGTAGGGGGGACCCCTAGCCTGTCGGCAACACGCTCTGAGAGTGTGTCATAGCTGATCTTGGAGTTCAGGACCAGTTCGAAAGGTGGGTACTTTTCGGCGTTGCATCGAGTCGGGTGGGCGTGGAACTTGACGGTCTTCTTGTTGTGCAGGAAATCGTAGTAGTCGCGTGCGTCTTCAAAACGGTCTGCCTTCTTGACCACTTGTTCTGTTGCTTGCTTTTCGCCGAGACCCAGATGCTTCTCCAGCATGTTACGGTCACCCTTACGCTCTGTCGTCCGCTGGAAGCAAATGATGTCGCCGTCCTGAAGCTCCGCCGCCTTAAGGGTCTGCTTAGCCTTCAAGGCTTCGATCATGGTTGGCTTGATTTCCTCCCAGAGCGAGATCTTCTCATCCGATGGCAGCTTGTCTCCCCAGCCCATCTTCTTCATGATGATAGGCACCAAGTCTTCAACCTTCTTTTCCTTGCTGATGTACACGTGTCCGATGCCATGAAGAGCTTGCTCCTCGACATCGAAGTGCTTCAGGAAGAGTAGGATCAAGTCATTCTTAACAACGACGCCGTTCAGCTGGCCTTGGAACGTCGGCCAAACGGCCTCGCCCTCGGGTGTCGTTTCTTCGGCAACTTCGGCCCATACCCTGAATAACTGGTCTCGGTGTCCAGTGGCTCTAGAGAAGCATTCTTCGACGGTCGGTTGCAGGTCCATGATTGGCTGATCGGGACGAATTGTCTTGTTCTGGCGGTTCACCATAATCCAGAGGCGCACCTTGCGGGGATCTTGGCCAATGTCCTGTGCGATAGTGGCCACCAGCTCCTCCATCGTCGACTGTCGGAGAACCCTGTAAGAGCGCGGCGCAGCATCTGTTTCGGTTTGGTCGAGCTCGAACGTGGTGAGATCCGTACCGCCGTGACTCTTGAAGGTCTGCTCCGTGATGACCTTGACATTGATGTAGAGATGCTGTTCCTCCTTTTCCTTGCGCTTGGCCTCGCGAAGAGCGGTCTCCTCTTCAAATCGCGTCCGCAGATGGACAGGGATATCTTCCTTGGTGACAGGGCACAGAATGTCGTCCAAGCGGGACTTGCGAATGTACACCAACATGTAGGCGCTGTTCTGCCGCAGAACTGGCGTCTTCTTCTGCATTGGGGCGCGAAGATGGTTGGCCGGGCTAGTCCTATACTCTCCACCGAAGTTCTCTTCTAGCACCTCGCGCATCGTGGCTTTCGTGACCTTGTCGTCGTCGTACTTGTAAAACCACCCATCCTTGTTGGGCTTCAGAAACGCGTAATAGTGACCGGCGTTGAGGTCGCCGCTGTGGACTAGTACACCGTGCAGTTGGTACTCCCAAGATTCCGACTTGTCTGCGTCCTCGGAGAGATACGGCGAAGCATCGAAGTGCTCAGGGAATTCGTATCGATCGTTGATTTTCATCATCGTATCGCGCTGGATGTCGTACTCGAAACGCTTCAGCTGCAAGTGAAGCACGTTGGGGAAGCTCTGGAAAATGACGCCCTTGTTGGCGTCCTGCAGCTTGAACTCGTCGCCGGCGAAGTACTGGTTCTCGCCGTCCATCTTCTCGACCTGAACGTAGTCTTGGAAACTCTCAAGCATGTTCTTGTTTCCGCTTACATTCAGCTGAATGTCCCAGAAGTCTTCGACGCGGCTAGACTCGTAATCGACGTTAATGCAAGAGATGTAAGTCTTGATCTTCCCACTAAACATTTGAGGAAGGACGTGTTCGGCAGGAGTGCCCTTCATCTTCTCTTCCATTCGTTCCATGAGCTTGCGCGACAATTCTTGTACATCCTGCTGCTCAAAAATGTGTCTCGTCTCCCAACCAAAGGACTTGGTCAATTCGTTGGTTCCCACTGCGGTCTCCGATGTCTGAAGTTGATAGAAGAGACGTTGGAGGGTGTATGCGCTGTTACCCATGCTCTCCTCGTGCTGCGTCGGGATTTCGTAGATGGCCTGCACACGTTAGCATAAGCTTGCCAGAGAGGGGGACGGCTCTACTTTTCGGAATGCATTGGTAAAATACAAGGACTGGAGAAGAGAGTTGAGGTAACATGTTGCGCCTTGGTTGCGCAGGCCTACATAGCCGGTCTCCTTCTTCGAGTCGTAGTTGTTAAAGTTGTGCCAAAGAACACCCGTCTCGTCTTCGACGATGCGGAGGTACGCCGTGATATTGGCCGTGTCGTTCTCACACAAGGGACGGTTGCCGCCTTCCCAAGGGACGTTGAACATCTTCCGCAGCTCAAGGAACCGCGTGAAGCCCCAATCAGACTCCTCCTTCGTGAACCGATGATGGGCAGTATGATGGGTGTATAAGCTCGGGTCGTTCGGGTTCCACAGGACCAGCGCAAACTGCACGCAGCAGCTCCAGTTCTCCGGGATGTTGGTCGGCTCGAATCCATGTTCAAGGTAGATGGAGCACTGGTCGACGTTGTTGCCGTGGGGGAACAGGAGAATGCGCCTGTGACAGTGAGTAAGACTGATGTTGAGCAATGGCAAGGGTAGAATGAGCATACCATGGAAAGCCGCCAGCTTGGAACACGGGACCGTGCTCTTTCTTGGACATTGTCCTCCATGCCTCGACGGTCCATGTGGAAACGACATCCTCGAGCACGCGGGGCTCTTCGTGGAGATGGGGGAAAATGACGTCCTTCATGGCATCGACTGTCCCGAGTTAGCCGGGGCGGTGGCAGGAGATTGCTGGGTACTCTTACAGTCGCTTGCCAGCGGCAGGTCTTGCAGCTGCTCGACCTCATTTTCAAGGTTGTCCGGGTTGATGATGGCGACGGGTTCTTTCTCCGCGTCGGGGCCGCCGACGTACTCGTCGGTGTCCACCACCATCTCGTTCGGCGAGTGTATGTCGTTGTTGTAGCTCTGTGTGGGTAGCGATGAGAATTAGCTAAACTGAGGCAGCTCGGATATGGGTATGGGAGCGAGAAGCGGTTGGGAAGTGGGATGTTGGGTGCGGGTACTGATGCAGTGACGAAGAGCTGGACTGGGCTTTGCAGGATGGTGGGGTTGAAAGACAAGGAGGATAACACACGGGCAGGTAAGTAGGCCGAGGAAGGTGCAGTGACAAGAGCAACGACAGGAAGCTCAAGCAATGGCAGCAAGAGACGAAGCAGAGTCGAGTAGGGGAGGAGGAGGGGCTGAGGGAGGGGCAGTCGGTGTCGTCAAATGTCGTGGCTTACCATGGTCTTCTTCTACCACAGGTGGCGTGAAAGAAAGTGCGATGTGCCGATGGCAAGGCAAGGCCAGGGCCGAAAAACAGCAGCAAGACGACGATCTGCGCCAGTGCTGCTTCGATGACGGAGTAGGAGCCGCAGAGGGCGAGCGGGCGGCAGGCGATGGAAGGAAGCCGGCAGGCTGCGTTCAAGACACGAGCACGGCGGGTGCAAGTAGCGATGGTGTCTGTCTTGGTGAGGAGGAGCGGATGCTGGCGTTGGAGATGGCAAGGCCAGAAGAGAAGTTGGGTTGCATGAATTGCAGGCAGGGCCGGGAAGGTGGAGGTAGGCGGGCGAAGCAAGACCAAGGCCTAGCAGGTGTCAGTGGTGTGTAAGGTAGAGCAAGGTAGATAGATGATCGGTCTGCGTCGGTCGGTAAGGCAAGGTAGGTAGGTAGGTACTGACGCAAATGGTGGGATCTAGCCGGAGGAGAGCACGAGACAGGCTACCCGGATGAATAACTGTCAGCCCTTCCTCGTCCAGTGAAGTTGCAGAGAAGACACTGAACCAGAAAAGCCAACACTCAGCAAATCCAGTCGTCGTGGAGAAGGCAGAGGCAGAAAAAAAAGTTTGGAGAAGCGACGACGGATGGTCACAGTCTGCTGTATTCCATTGATTGAGGTGTGAGAAGCGCACTTCAATGGAGACAGAATGGGGACAGGGATGTGGTCTTTGGAAGACAGGTACTACATGTTAGATTAATAAGTGACAGTACCACTATATCCCTAACAAAAGCGGATAACGACGGAACTTGTCTCGAGGGCTTGCCCCGCTGTCAAGAGCCATTCCGTCCAGTAGGACCTTTTCTTACGCCGGCAAGCTGGGCTCTCTGGAGCAATGGGTCTTTGCACCTGTGCTACCTTAGCGCATTTTCATTACCCACGTCGTCAATCACCTCAGTTCCAGGTTGCCAGCAGATGCTCAGATGCTGCAGCTCGCTGGGATACGGAGCAAGCTGCCCTGCACCTCCACCTTGCCCATTGGGATGGATTGGGGCGGAATGGACGCCAGCATTTGAGCACTCCACCCCTCCAATGACGTTGCCGTGACCGCCAACATGGCCAATTCATTCACTCCTTCCACCACTCCAAGCCACTCTCCCTGCTGAGCGTGTTACCTCGCCAAGCCACACTTCGACGCTGACAATGGATTCATTTCCGTTACATCTGGCCTCCTCTGATCTCATATCGAGAAAAAAATTGCTTACATGCTGATAGCGGACAGTTGACAAGCTATTCGTATCCTGGATTTCCTCGGCGCCTCAGGGAAAGGTACGATCAAGATTGGCGTGGTTCCTGAGCAATCGGATCGCGATATCCACGGATACAACACTCTCAAAACCAGCCGAATCATTATCTGCCGCGTCTATGAACCTCAGGTCGGGAAGATGTAGATGCAGACGCAGCAATATGGAGGCTGAGCCGGACTTGATTGGCTCGCGTGTGTCACAGCCTGCATAGGCACACTTCGAGGCAGGATAGTCGCCATTTCAGTGCAAAGCACATATCCCATAAGACCCCGCGCGTAGCCTGGTCACATCTTCGGAGCACTGTCTGTTGTTTTCTCTGTTACGGCGTCAACGGCAGCAAATCCCACCGCGGCTCTACTCGCCATGGCAGAGGCCCTGGGGCTCGCAGCAAGCGTCTTCGCCGCAATCCAAATTGCCGACAGGGTCATCGTTCTGTGCAAACACTACATCGAAGGTGCCCAAGATGCCCCATCAGATCTTCGATCCATCCTCATCGAAACGTCGACTTTGAAGGTCATTCTCGAGAGTGTCAACTTCCTTACTCGGCAGCATGGACAGTCGTCCGCACTCATCAGCCTGGATAGCGAGGTCGGTCCTATCAAAGGATGCGAAACTGCTATGTCCGACCTCGAAAAGTTGTTTTCCGCTGATCAAGCCCAAGTGACGGCCAAAGGCAAGTCCAAGAGGGGGAAGCTCCAAGCTTCTCTCACGACCTTGGCTTGGCCTTTGAAACAAAATAAAGCCAAGAAGCTTCTTCAAGATATTGCGACGCACAAGAATACCATAACCCTGGCACTCACCTCTGATACTGTGTGAGTACCTCAAAATCTGCAGATGCAATGCGCTTGCTCGTCTAACTGTTGTCTTCAGGCATGTGGTTCAGGAGATCAAACAGACGACAACACAGATCCAAGCTATTCTCACCGGTGAGTAGCTACGTTGCGAAGGTCACGGTTCTTGCCAATCTCTAACTTAATTACTACGCAGACTCGCAACGCCGCGAGGTCTTCTCATGGCTTCAGCACACCGATCCGTCCACTCTACACCACCGAGCGTGCAGTAACTACGAGCCTGGGACATGCGACTGGGTTGAGAGGCTTCCAACATGGCCCGATTTTCTAGAAGGCACAGAACGATGTCTCTGGATCCATGGGATACCTGGTGCCGGCAAAACCGTTCTGGCCTCGCAGCTTATTGAGAGAATTCAACGACACTGCGAAACAGATTCACGCAAGCTATGCAGTGTCTACTATTACTGCTATTTTGGCCATAACCAGGATGAGTCTATTCCTTTCTTGAAATGGATTCTCAACCGGTTATGTCGCGAAGCAGATATGGTGCCGGACTATCTCTGGAAGCTCTTCAAGCATGGGGGACAACCAAGCTCAAAGGACCTCTTGCAAGTACTTGAATGTGCTCTGCAATGGTCTGACAGAGTGTATATTACCATTGACGCCATTGATGAGAGTGATCCCCGGCAAGACCTATTTGGCGTGCTGAGAGACCTCGCGACGGACCCACGCTTCGCCAAGATCCGACTGCTGGTTACCAGCCGCGAATACTTGGACATCGAGAGGGCACTTCAAGATATATCTGTTGATGTATCTATGAAGAATGCTTTTTTGGACGCTGACATCCGGCTTTATGCTCGCTCCAGGCTGGAAAAGACTGAGAACATCAAGCGATGGCCAGCCGATCTTCAAGAGGAGGCTCTCGAAGCATTGACAGACGGCGCTCACGGAATGTGAGTTGTTTCTAATTGCAAACAATAAGCATGAACTAACAGTTTTATAGGTTTCGCTGGGTCGTCTGCCAAATCGATATGTTGAGACGTATCAAAGGTTCCAGCGCTGCGATTCAACTAGAGTTGAAGCGATTACCCAGAACCCTCTACGATACATACGACAGGATATTCGAGCAAATACCGGAAGAGGACCGCCACATATTGAATACCGCATTGAGATGGCTCTGCTTCCACGTCAAAGTAGTCCAAAATCTCCCCAGTTATTACGGTCTCCTTCCAAGGCTCACTTTCAACGCTCTAGTTCGCGCTGTTTCCGCGGAATCTTCCACAGGAGAATCGCATCAAAAGCATTATTTACACGACACGGATTACCTGCGCGAACTCTGCGGCTGCCTTATAATAACTGAGCTTGACGAATCATGCAACTGTGACTCTCCGCCTCCGACGGTTGCTTTTGCCCACTATACCGTCATGGAGTACCTATCCTCACCTCATCGGGAGTTGCACGATCCTTTCTTTCTGTTGGATCGAGATCAATTGGCTCTAGAACAAGCGAAAAACGTTTTCCGTGGCGCCGCAGATCTCAATGAAGACAATCTCCAGGAGGAAAATGCCTATAGGCACACTGATGGCAGTAACCCACATTTCGTCACGTTTGGGGGATACTGCTGCTGGATTGCCAATTCGCTGATCTGTTTTTTCGATGCCAGTCTAGCTGAGCGAGACGACTTGCTTCATCTGGCATCTGAGTATCTCATCTTGGAGAGCGGCCCTCTGCAAAATTTCTCCAAGGACCCGAATTTTTCAAGCGTGAATGTCTTCTATTTACCGAAACTTAACTGGGTCGCTTTACCTGACCCTAAAGTCCGTTTTGTGATCAACCTACTTTGTTTTGGGTCGACGAAAATGGCCAAAAAGGTTATCAAGAACGCCGGCTCCAAAGTTCTACAAGTTCAGATCGAATTCAACTTCATTGAAGGAAAATTCCAGTGGTCGTTCCAGGGCTCTGTAATTGAGAGCCTTGCTTTGATCGGTACAGGAACCTATCTTGATCTTCCTTTCAAGACCCTCCTTCAATGGGAGGCTTTCAGCATACCCAGGTTGCTGCTTTTCTGGACTGTATTTCATGCTCAATCACAAGGGTTTTGTTGTGGTACAAATTGCATACACGCGTGTGTTGTAAAAGAGCTATTGGAATTGGGGGCTGATGCTGATGCTGGGGGATCTGATGAACGAGTGACGCCGCTGCAGATTGCCGTCGCCATCAGAGACCGTTGCACGGTCGAAGATCTACTCGAAGCGGGAGCTGATCCCAATGGAACTGGGTGCCCAGATGCCACGGAGTGGCCACAAACGAACAGCATGAGTTGCTTCAACAAGCTGAGTGGCCGTACTCCCATGCAGATTTGTGACTCTGAACCGGATCAGTCTTTAATCAGGCTACAAGAGTTTTTGGACACGGACTTGGAGAATAAGGAAGACATACGCGATCTCTTAATTCAGTACGGAGCATCCTCTGATCGGGACGGACAAGAACACGTTGATCGGGACAGACCAGAATCTACATAATCTCCTTTAGACCTAATTCACGAGGAACACTATAAGGACTGCTCTAATATAGACATCGTCGAGAGAATCACACGCATATCGTCGGTCTGTGATAGAGAACAAACGTCCTGGCAGTATTCCTAAAAATTGCATGGGGATGCTATTTGATATCTAAAGCGAAGTCATCTACAGCAGAGCGTTTCCTACACTAAATCATAAAGCCCCTTTGACTTAAGATGGATGGGAGACGTGGCTATCAGCGATGTGACAGCCAGCTAGGTCACGTTACCACGGCAAGGTAGATCTCCCGACGTAATGCCTATTTCTATCACCGTTCCCACCTCCTTTTGGCCGTGGTCTGATCCGGGAAAATAGGTCCTCTTAGGACAGTATCTGAACCAGCAACATCAGCCCGCGGTTAGCAGAGCGAACCACGTCTCGGTATGAGTTCGAAACGAGGCAAGGTTGGGCCCTGTCACAAGCACCAAACATCTGCCCACCGACATCTCGAACATGTGAAGCCTCCATCCCACCTGGCTTGATTCTGCCTAAAGATAGCCCGTCTTGAGGCCTTTTCTGAGCTGGAAACCCACCATCACATCACACACACACAGTGAAACGGGACCTCGTCTAGATGTCTCTCAATAGCCCGCCCGCCTGACCGAGATGACATGTCTGGCAATCCGGTCTGGCAGGCGGGAGAGACGAGAAACGCGGGCTCCAAACAACCTCCACGCAGGGGCCGGCGGAGACCAATCATGCAGCGCCGTTAGTACGCTAGACCAGGGATGCCCGTTACGGCAGTCCGCAGCGTGGTGCGCCGATTCCGCAGTGTGGGGTACCCGTTCCAGACCCTCCTGCCCGCCTACGGCACAGGACTACAGGTAGGTAGGGTAGCAGTCGGCCGTCAATGGTCCTGCTTTGCTGCGAGAGTCATCCAATCCGTCAACCATTGCACCTTTCCCGCCCGCCGTCCTCGCTTCCCAAGAGCTTCAACAGCCAAAGCCGCTGCCCAATCGATACCACCACGACGAGTTCGCCCGAAATTCGCTCAAATATCTCCCGTCTTCCACTGCCACCACCTCTCGCGAGAACGCCGAACAGTCGAAACCCCATCTCCATCCGAACAGCTAGCTCCGTCTTGGAAAACCCACCACAGCTCTTTTCCCCCGAAAAACCTCTCCTCGCGCATGGAATCGACGGCATGGTTTCCCTCGCATTGCGGAATGCCAGTAGACGATGCGGACTGACATCAGCCCCGAGGAGGGTCACCACGACGCACGCGGCCGGCAACAAGCTGCGTGATCTCTGCGCCTCTCCGTCGCAAAGGCGTCCTATGAGCAGTTCCAACTGGAGACCGGTCTCGGTCCTAGACGAGTGCGTCATACCAACCCTCCCTCCAATCCCTCTACATCGCAAGCTAAAACTCTTTCTCTCTTACAGATGGGTGGTAAAAGAGGCGCGGCCTATCAGTTTGCGCCAGCTCATGGTTTTCGGCCGCTCCCTGACGGAATCGCGACTCTTGAGCTCCGCAAACTATGTCCGTACGGAGCTACCCACCCGGTAAGGCGCCTCCCTCCGAGTCATACTTCCAGCAGCGCGAACCTGACATATCGTCACCACGAACAGGATAGCGCACCGTATTCGAGATATGCAACAGCTTCCTTACGTCGTCGTCACAAATCCTCACATTAAAGAAGTCTACGAACTCTACAACAATGCATTCGACACCTTCCGAAAAGTCAAGGAGATCAAGACCCTGGAGGACAACGAAAAGTTCTGCCAGATCATAAGCGGCATGCTCAAGGCGCACTTGACCGTCATCCCCAAGCTCTCCATGGGCATTCTAGAAAGCAGAGGCCGTATGGACGCCAAAGACCTAGACAAGTTTATGAACACCATCCTTAAATCAGTGAGTTCTCCCCTCCGCCTCAAACATCGTGCCGAAGTACCACCACACTCTGTGCCGTGTAGCCTAACGCGAAACCCGTGTCCGCCCGTAGAGAATATCCCGTAGAGTCATCGCCGAGCAGCACCTCGCGCTGACAGAGACATACCACTCTCCCTGGTTCTCCCCCGGCGCCAAGCTCTCCGAATCCGAGTTCATCGGCGAGATCTTCATCAAGTGCGTCGCGCGGGACGTCATCGAGCGATGCACCCGCGCCGTCGAGGCCCTCGCCCGCTCCACCTACGGCCAGGAAGTCCAGGTCCCCGAGATCAAGGTCCTCGGCCACCTCGAGGCCAGCTTCCCCTACATCCTCAGCCATCTCGAGTACATCATCGGCGAGCTGCTCCGCAACTCCGTCCAGGCCGTCATCGAGCGCCGCCAGCGTAGTAAAACCTCGACGGACATCCCCCTCCCACCCATCGAGGTGACCATCTGCGAGGCCCAGCAGCACGTCATCATCCGTATCTCAGATCAGGGCGGCGGAATCCCTCGAGACGAGCTCCCCTACCTGTGGTCCTTCTCCAAGGGCCCGCAGAGCCAGCGCAGGCTGGAGAACCTCGGCCGCGTGCCCAAGCTGGCCGCCACCATGCAGGAGCTGCACGTCTCGGACGAGCTGGGCCGCGCGGACCTGAAGACCCCGAGCTACTCCAGCTCCCTGTCTTCCATGACCGGCCGGCCGCCGAATCTGCGGCTCGGCATGGGTCTGCCCCTGAGCAGGGTGTACGCCGAGTACTGGGCCGGAAGCCTGGAGCTGCACAGCCTCGAGGGGTACGGCGTAGATGCCTTCCTTCAGATATCGAAGCTCGGCAACAAGAACGAGCAACTGACAACAAGAGCATCCATGGATGCAGTATAGTGTAGAAACCTCTTTTTTTCAATACGGGTCAAAGGGCCAAGAGTGAGGCGCATGTAAAGATACCAAACGAGTGACGACGGGAAACGTTGCAAAGGAACAGGCGTAACAGCTAGGTACTACTACTTCATTACGAACACGCATGAATGTTTAGGATTATAGACGCCTTTCTCATTAATTTTGGTATCATGAAAAGGTGAGCTGGATTACATCGTGACTAAGAAACAGGGGATAACTAAACGTTGGAAAAAAAAGGGTGGGTAACAGGTTTTGGAATGAAGAAAACTCCCGACGCATTGCCCCATCACATACCACGTCAAAAAAAGACATGTTTGGTTTTCGGTAAGACTCGTCAGAGTCATCAGGCGCCGAGCACGAACGGCCACATTGCTAGCATATCCATACATGGGCGTCTAGAAATGTCGGGAACGGGTCGGACCTTTGGTGTCTTCGGTCCCCGGTCGTCAAGAGAAGAATAAGTGTCGAGAATCCAGCAAGCACCGACTGCCCAGACATAAACCGCTAAAAACTCGAGGTAGAGCCCCATACGCGTGTGTGCACTTAGCGGCGGCCGTGGCTGCGGACGGCGCTTCCTTGCATTTGCTCCAGCTCGGTCTCGAGCTGCTTGATCTGGGCGTGGGTCTGCTCGAGGTCCTTGTTGAGGCGGTCGCGCTCGGCGATGAGCTTCTGCTCCCACTGGCGGAAGCGCTGCTCCTCGATCTTGACCTGCTCGGTGAAGCGCTTGCGAAGGGCCTCCTCCTCCTCCTTGAACTTGGGGTTGTCGAGCTTCCTGGGGCGGGCCTCGCCGAACTTGCGGGTCTCCATTTGCTGGGCGCGGTAGGCCTCGTAGTGCAGCTCCTCGGTGGTGTGGATGAGGTCGAGCATGTGGGTGCGGATGAGAATGGAACGCAGCTTCTTGAAGTCGCAGTGGTCCTCGTTCTCGACTTCGGCAACACCCCAGGAGTACTGGCGACCCTTGACGACGCGGCCGTCGGCGGACTTGACATCCTTCTCGGAACCAATCACGGCGAAGGGCATGGCGGCCATGAGGCTGCGGGCGTGCTGGGCGGCAGCTTCGTCATCCTCCTCGACGGGGGGCTGGTAGATCTTGATGCTCTGGGCCTCGATGACAGCGCGGATCTGTAGTGGGGCACAGTTAGTGATTGTTTGTTTGCATCACGAAGTTGTGGTACATACGCGCTGCTTGAACTTGGCCAAGTCCGCAGGGCTGAGGGTATCAGCCTTGGCGATGACTGGAATCAGGTTCACTCTCGAGCAGAGTCTCTTCATAACCTCAATGTCCAGGGGCTTCAACGTGTGTCCGGTGGGGCGGATGAAGTACAAGCAGGCGTGGACACGCAGGTCGATCTTGTCCTGGCGGCGGGGCTGCTGCTCCTGGAGCATGTAGGACTCGTGCTGGTCGTCGAGGAATTCGATGATGGGCATCCACGAATCGCGGTTGTTGACATAGTCGCCGAAGCCGGGGGTATCGATAACGGTCAAACGGACTGCAAGTGGTTAATCGTATGATCTCGGTATTAGGCGTCCCGACAGAAGCATACCCTTGAAGAACTTCTCCTCGAGCTCGGCCTTGGTGATCTCGATCTCGACGGTCTTGTCGACCTGCTTCTGGTGTCGACGCTTGTGGTCGGCATAGTTCTTGATGGTCGTGGAGAAGAGGGTGTTGATGAAGGTAGTCTTTCCGAGGCCAGACTCGCCCGCAACCTAGCATACTTGTCAGATTCCGCCATTGAACTGCCATCCATTTCGTCCCAGCAAATTCTGCGTACCATAATAGTGAAGCCAGCACCTCGCTTGGCGACAATCTTGTGTCGCTGGTTAGGGAGGTTGGCGATACCAATCGGTGAGGCGCTCTCGGCGGCGGCAGGTGCCATTTTGTGCGGTGTTATACGGTGGACTGCTCGAAACACGTTTTTGATGTCTGGGACGAACTGTTTTCCCACAGGACTCGCAATTGAACACGCGACGGACTTCGTGATGTGGTTGCGGTGTGGGCGTGTTGACAGTTGAATTGGGGGAGGTTTGAGCTTGTGCTTCAGGGGAATCAAAAGGTGCCACCTCCAAATTTCCCTTCCGGCCTTCTGGGGTTGTCTGGTGCATCTTCATTGGGCATCTTTTTGGGGGACTAATGAGCCCCCCTTTTCCTGCCAATCAGTCCCCTTTTCCCCTGGTCCGTTCACCCAACAGCGCGCCTTACTCGAATGGGAATAAATCGCGGAAATTAGGATGAATGATTCACCGACGGACGGGCCCCGCCAAAAATTTCCAGTCGGCAGTCTCAATCGATAAGAAATTTGGAAGAAATTCTGTAGCGTCAAGGTGAGGAAATGGGTGCCAATTGACAATGAAGACCGATTTCAAGGTATGGCTTGTGGTTGTTCCCGCAGGCGCGATCGTTTCTGACTCTGTGTTCGAATTTAGTTCTCCAACTTGCTCGGCACGGTTTACTGCCAGGGCAATCTGCTCTTCAGCCCAGATGGCACCCATCTATATTCGCCCGTAGGAAACAGGGTCACTGTCTTTGATCTTGTGAAGTACGTTCAGTCTTCAGAGGCCGGCGCATGAGACGCACCATGGCTAATTGAGATCTGCAGCAACAAATCGCACACCCTGCCCTTTGCGCACCGAAAGAACATCGCGAGAATCGGCTTGACGCTTCGAGGAAACCTCCTTCTGACCATCGACGAGGATGGACACGCCATTTTGACGAACGTCCTCCGCCGAATCGCCATTTACCGATTTTCCTTCCGTTCTGCCCCGACCGCGCTGTCCTTCTCGCCCTCGGGACGCCACTTTGCAGTCGGACTCGGCCGCAAGATCGAGGTTTGGCATGTTCCCTCGACCCCGGATGCCAATGCCGAAGGAGACCTCGAATTCGCGCCTTTTGTAAAATACCACACACATACCGGCCACTTCGACGATGTGCGCAACATCGAATGGTCTAGCGACTCGCGATTCTTCCTCAGCACGTCCAAGGACTTGACAGCCAGGATATGGAGTTTGACTCAAGAGGATGGATTCGTGCCGACGGTGCTCTCTGGTCACAAGCAAGCTGTGATTGGCGCCTGGTTCTCGGATGACCAGGAGACGATTTACACGGTGAGCAAGGATGGAGCAGTCTTTGACTGGAAATACGTCGGCAAGCCGGTCCAGGATGAGGACGAGATGGTCGATGTCGACGAGGAGGACATGCGCTGGAGGATAGTCAACCGACACTACTTCATGCAGAACCACGCCCACGTTCGGTGTGCGACTTTCCACGCCGAGTCGAACTTGCTTGTCGCCGGCTTCTCCAACGGTACCTTCGGCCTGTACGAGATGCCCGACTTCAACATGATACACACCCTCAACATCTCCCAGAACGATATCGACTTCGTCACGATCAACAAGAGCGGAGAGTGGTTGGCTTTTGGCGCGTCGAAGCTCGGTCAGCTGCTGGTGTGGGAGTGGCAATCCGAGTCGTACATCCTCAAGCAGCAGGGTCACTTCGACTCCATGAACTCCCTGGTCTACTCTCCCGACGGACAGCGCATTGTCACTATTGCCGATGACGGCAAGATCAAAGTGTGGGACGTCGAGTCAGGATTCTGCATCGTGACCTTCACAGAACATACAAGCGGTGTGACTGCCTGCGAGTTCTCCAAAAAGGGCAACGTTCTCTTCACATCCAGTCTGGACGGGTCAGTAAGAGCATGGGATTTGATCAGATACAGGAACTTCAGGACATTCACAGCCCCCACGAGGTTGTCTTGGTCCTGTATGGCTGTTGACCCCAGTGGTGAAGTTGTTGCCGCTGGATCCCTGGACTCCTTCGACATTCACATCTGGTCTGTGCAAACAGGTCAACTTCTGGACCAGCTTTCTGGCCACGAAGGACCCGTATCAGCCCTGGCGTTTACGCCGAACGGAGACTCCCTCATCAGTGGTAGCTGGGACCGTACCGCGAGAGTATGGTCCATCTTCAACAGGACACAGACGAGCGAGCCTCTGCAGCTCCAGGCTGACGTCCTCGATATCGCCGTGCGCCCTGATTCACTGCAACTTGCTGTGTCAACTTTGGACGGTCAGCTTTCTTTCTGGTCCATCCAAGACGCGGAACAGGTCTCTGGAGTCGACGGCCGTCGGGATGTCTCTGGTGGTCGTAAAATCACCGACCGGAGGACAGCTGCCAACGTCGCGGGCACCAAGAGCTTCAACACGATCCGGTACAGCACGGACGGAAGCTGCCTGCTGGCCGGCGGCAACAGCAAATACATCTGCCTGTACTCCGTCCACACCATGGTGCTGCTGAAGAAGTACACTGTCAGTGTCAACCTCTCCCTTTCCGGAACGCAAGAATTCCTCAACAGCAAGCGTCTCACCGAAGCTGGTCCCGATGACCTGCTCGACGATGACGAGCCTTCGGACCGCGAGGACAGATTCGACAACTCCCTTCCCGGTGCCAAGCGTGGCGATCCCTCTGCGAGAAAGAAGCAGCCCGAAGTGCGCGTATCAGGCGTGGCCTTCGCGCCCACCGGCACGGCTTTCTGTGCAGCCTCCACCGAGGGTCTCCTGATCTACAGCCTCGACAACCTCCTGCAGTTCGACCCCTTCGACCTGAACATGGAGATCACCCCCGCCTCCACCCTCGCCGTCCTCGATAACGAAAAGGACTACCTCAAGGCCCTGGTCATGGCCTTCCGCCTCAACGAGGCCGGCCTGATCAAGCGCGTGTTCCTCTCAATACCGCACAGCGACATCCCCCTCGTCGTCGAGGACCTGCCCATCGTCTACGTCCCGAGGTTACTCCGCTTCGTGGCCGCGCAGACGGAGGAGACGCCGCACATCGAGTTCTGTCTGCTCTGGGTCAAGGCGCTCGTCGACAAGCACGGCGCCTGGCTCACGCAGCACAGGGGCAAGGTGGACGTGGAGCTGCGCGTGGTGTCGAGGGCCGTCGCGAGGATGCGCGACGAGATCAGGAGGCTCGCGGACGACAACGTGTACATGGTGGATTACTTGCTAGGCCAGGCCAAGGAGAAGGAGTCGAGCGGGGTGAAGATGCTGGATCTCGCGGCTTTTGACGCCCCCGGCAAGCCGCTCGCCATCGGCGCGGATGCCGAGGACGGCCAGAGCGATTCTGATGGAGATGGTTGGATTGGGATGGACTAGATAATATTACAATGTATACCCCGTTTTGACAATTTCTCTGCGCGTACCACACCGCCGCCCGTACAAGAATCAGAGTGTTGTGAGTGACATGGCCAGAGGCGATGGCCAATGTCAGCGAGAAACAATGAGCCGTCCCTTTACAATTTTGATGAATCACGAGATGGTATATCCTGGACGAGTGTTACAAGAGGGTTGAGCAATGCCGATGAGGAAATCACTTACTTTCCATGCCTCTTCCAGACCAGTCGTACGGACCCATTTCACCCCTGAATGATCCGACCCGTCCAGCACGGAGTAGTGCAGCTTCACCCACTCGTCGTCGTTCTTAATCTTTATCCAGGGCTTGTCACCGTACTTGGCAGACAACTCCTGGCAGATGCCGAGGGCCCGTACTACTTTGATGGTGTGCCCGTCGTCGGGGATCCTGTGAAACCTCTGCAGAAGGTCTGATTCAAATCACATGTAAGCCAGCTTGTATACTTGGGGGACGTCTTTGCAATCTTCTTACCTGTAGGCTTGGAAACCAGCTGCTTGTTCCGGTCCTTGTCCTTCGGCCTGTAAGACTTGATGGCGTCGGCGCGCATCTGGGGGCTGCCGCGCGCGGCGTACTGGACTAGATCCAACCGGATCTTGTACTCGAGCAGACGGATCTTGTTTTCCGTGGAGATCCAGGGCATGGAGTTAAAGGTTAGAAAGATCGGTGATGCGTTCACGTGGTGGCTGTCATCAAGTCAGCTCGTCTTCATCCCACCAGATACCTCCATCAACTCACATCAAGAAGAAATCCCATCTGGTCTCCTTACCAGGCTTCAACGCCGCAGTACCAGCAACAAAGACATTCGCGTGGAACATCTCCGCCGTCCTCTCCTCCAGCTCTTCAGGCGATACCTTAACCTTGCCCGCAATCTCCAACATCTCCTCCGGCGCACGCTTCAGGATGCCGTCGTAGACCTTATTCGGATCCTTCATCTGCACAGCATTCACCAACTTCTCGTTCCCCCTGATCTCCTCGACCAGTTCCATGAAGGGCGGCATCGGCGTCTTGGCGGACTCGCCACGCTTCTCCGCGTCGTCGAAGAAAGCGCCGAGCTGGTTCTTGTGCACCGAGGCCTCGGCCAGGGCCTCGGCGACGATGGCGGGCTGTTCCCACTCGACGCCGTACATGAGCTGGATGATGGGGTGGAGGAAGCCGGCGTACATGCGCTGGAACATGTCGTTGGCGCGTTCATCGCCTTTGAACATGTACTCGTTCAGGACGTCCTCCCAGCCCTTCTTCTCGATCTCAAGCTGGAAGAAGAGGAGGAAGTCTGGGTAGTGCTTCTCCTTGCCGAGGTACTGCTTCGCCTTCTCCCAGTCGTGGAGTTCGTCTGGGATGCCGTTGTTGGGGTTCTTGGCTGGTCTCTGGTAGTTTTGGTTTTCTTTCCAAGCCAGTTGAAGGGCCTCTGGGTCGGCGCCGGTGCCATAGAGAGCTAGGAGATGGTGGGGAATCTGAGTTGTGATGAGATTTTGTCATGGGTTATGATGATGGGTGAGGGTGCCTACATGGTTGTGAAATCCATCTTGATTGAAGAAGACATGATGTTTCTGTCTTGACATTAGTATTACAACATCTGGTGGGTTTATCCGCCTTCATACCTCGAGATCCTCTTGGAGGAGCTCAGACACCTTATTCGCAGAGGCATCTTGCTGCTTGAACTTCCACAATCCCGTATTGGTAACCGGGACCTTGATACTGTACGGAGTCGCCATATTGATCGATCTGGTAAAGTTGAATGAATATTTCCGGTTGCCAGTGAAAGTGATGTGCTTGGAGATCCTCTTCGAAGCAGGGGACAATCTCATCTTAGTTCAGACAAGCATGAAGCCCAAGGAGGAGCTTCAGGTCGTGATTGAACCTTAATTAAGTATCAAAGACAGGGGACCACCGACATCCAAAAACCCGCCGGCTTACAAATGAGGCACACACGAAAGGGCGAGCGCGCGGTACGCAGTGGTGATGGTAATCGGATGTATTCCCATAGGGTGGTTAGAAGCGGGTAAGCAGGAGGTTGGCGCCCCCGGAAGAGGGTCCGTGATGCTCCATCTAAGGTTTAGACCTGGTCGCTTCCCCAGATTTTGACGTCATCGCCACGTTTAGAGGTTGTAAGCGTCGTGCCATCGCACCACCTCGTCGCAGACGGATTGCGACGGCGCTGGAAATCTTCACGTAATCTGTGGTAAACAGACGGGGAGTCGGACGGCTTGGGTCAGCCCCGATGATCAACTCGGCCTGGTCGTGGCCGATCCGCAAGCTCGGCGCGGCCCGGACAGCGACATGTCCGAGAGGGGAGAGGAGTATCCCTCCGGGAGTCATTGCAGAAATGCGGTATGCCCGATCGAATGAGCGACATAATCACATGATGGTGCGACGACTGGAGAGGGACTGATCCCGGGACCTCGTCGTATCAAAGATGCAGCCTGCGATGGATTGGAACGTCTCAGTGTGGAGAACAGAGGGGCAAAATAATCTTCGCTTTTTGGTGTTGAACGCGAAGGCCGACGAACATGAAGTTGACGTACGAGGGTTCTCGCTCCCGTGGCGCCGCGCGGTTGACGACGCCGTTTGAAATGGATCAGTTTCGACATTGCAGCTGCGTGCTGCACGACATCTGACGCGCACTAGCTTTGAGGTTGGTGTTGAGATCTAACATGCCTCATTGTAGACCAGGCGCACAGCCGCAGTAACTTGAGATAAGAAGATTGGCGAGCTACGAAAAAGTCATGTCCGTGAGAAACTCCTCGTTTCCAGTCATCTCAACTCTGATTTGGAACCAGACAACCAGCAATAAGCTCAACATCGTTTGAAGGAAATTATCAGGTTTCGACGATCCTTTCTATATAAACTCCCAAATTCTAGTAAGTCATGTGTGCAGATTCTGGTGATGTCTCTTTTCCTCCGGCCTGCCCGTTCCTCGTTTCATCGTGTACTTTTCAGCATTTTCAACGGTTCATGCTTTTTGTTCTGGACTCAATATGTCAATGCTAGCTATCACGTGGGAGCCTGTAAAATGACAGGCTGCAAACAGGCTTATCGGATTGTAGCTTCCGCAACCACTGAATTATCGGTGATTTGAGACGTGCTCCTGCTGAATCTTGGCGATTGATTAATACACATGCGGTGCAGTAAGCAATACCCTCCCTTCATGGCAAGGTAGCTAGCTGGTCATGCCACATCTGGCTTTGCTTATTTTTTGTTTGAGAATGGGAAGGGGCTTCCTCATGTAAACACGATGGGGATGCCGAGAGGTTTGTTGGCATCGCATTGCAACGCAACACTGCCCAGCATCGAGAACTGAACTCAAACTTTCCTTCTTTGTCTTGGGAGATCCAACCTGTTCATATTTGCCTGCCCGCTGTGGGATACCTCGGATTGCAAATCTCTTCCCGCAGCTGAGTGTTCAGCACTTTGAGTGTCAAAACTACCCGGCCGGCGATTCTTGAGACGCAGCTTCCCACTGGGCCGACAAAGTTGGTGAGAAGAGACCTCACTGGTCACCTTCAACGTTGTGTTGAGAAATACTGAGACTTAACAGATATGTAATCGACGAGTATCTTGGCTGTTTGAAGACTTTGATGTCGCTGCAGGAGCTCTTCTGCGCCAATCGACCTTTTTGACAGTAATGGTGGCGGCTCAACTGGTACCTCGGCTCTGAACAGCCTCAAATGATGTTGGTCTCAGCGGCTCCGAATTTGGCTGCTGTCGTTGCTGTTGCTAGGTGTCAGTAGACGGCCGTTTCTGGCGACTCACCTCCCCATTCATTCAGCTAATATATCATAGCCATAAAAAGGCTGGCGTACCCACGACCAATCGCGATAGACACTCGAAGTGTGCTGCGCACTTTAAGAGGAGGACCTGACAGGGTCAACTTCACTCCAAAGATTTAATCATGTCCGAACCAGCCAACCAGACTTATTTGCAAGGCCAGGAAGCTGCGCACCTTATTCGCCGCAACTCCTCTAGGATTTCGAAATGCACTTTGCGCATGTCTCGCCTCCGGGCTGCAGCTGGGCTGATGTCTCAACGGCGTAAAGTGCCCTCGGCAACATACACGGCACAACGACAGCGGGAGGCGGTTGGTAAGGCTCACCGACGAGCTGCTGTGGGAGAAACATGCCGATCTCTCGAGCATCCGAGACACATCACGAAATATGGGTGGTGCAGTGCCGCCGCCACAGTAAGCAAGGGAGCCTTATTCAACCTCCCATCCCTGGTCGACGGAGACGATATTCGGCAGGCGCACCAATCCAACGATTCCTCTTGTCTATGATGATGGACGATATCTCTCACTCTCCGTGGCGAGAGGATGCCATGCAGGAGGAGCCCTAGTGCAGCACCAGTAAGCATGTCTGAGTTGCCTTGCGACCCTCTCGCCAGATAAATCGCCGTCGTGCCACTTACTCGACCGGCTCACGAGGAGCCGGTCTCCTTTCCCCCGTGATATACATCTTAACTCCCCGCTCTCCATCGTGGCGCCCTTTTAAGTCAAGGTGTCGGGAGACTAGCGATCGATGCGCTTCCTCAGTACGCTCGTTTTGTCGTGGCTGGCATCTTCAGCACATTGTTGGAGTGCCTTTGACGAAGTGAACCTCGAGCCGCGGCAAGATGCCCCTTCAACCACCAATTTCCTGCGGCGATCGGGCTGCTCCGGTCTGTCCCAAACCAAACACGAGCATGGCAATCAACGTTGGATCGATCTTACTGACTCCTTTAAGCTATTGTCCTCGGCGACTTCGTGTACATAGACGGGGGCTTGATTGCCGACGGACAGAACTCGTCTGGCAACTTCCCATACCGGGCAGGTAAGTCAAACCCCGCCCTTACGCCCAAATAAGAACACGAATGAACGTCTCTCTCCAGTAAACTCAACGCTCTCCATCAGCCTAAAGGACTCATGGACCAACTCGACCGTCGATGTGAAGACGATATTCAAGGAATCCCAGCGGTCGCAGATGAACAGCCAGGGAATATGGCGCGATCCCACCTCGAAAATATTCTATGTCTGGGGCGGAGACATCTCCTTCAACCAGAAGGGCCCTCCCGAGTTCCTCTGGACCTTCACGGGCGACGGCGACGGCGGCGGCTCCTGGTCCCGCGAGGTTTCCAACCCCACCGACCTCACGGGCTTCGTTCGGACCAGGGAGGCCGCCTTCGCCCAGAGCGCCGACACCGCGTACTACCTCGGCGGATTCGCGGGCTTCTACTCGGAGAGCGCGATCGAGTTCCGGAATAGGACCATGCCCGTCCCCGGGATGCTGACGATCGACATGAAGACACGCTCGTTCAAGAACATCTCGACGACGCCGAACCGGTTTGGCACGTTTGGAACTTTCAAGGGCGGGGCCATGCAGTTCGTTCCCTTTGGATCTGAGGGCTTGTTGCTCGTCCTCGGCGGGTGGGAGGCGCCCGTCACGACGAACGACCCCGGCGAGTGGTTTCCGATGGACTTCAACAATCTCACCATATACGACCCGAAAAGTGAGAGTGAAGAATCGTGTCTTTGTGATCATCTGTTAACAGTCAAGCAGCCGACAAATGGCACACCCAGAGAACCCAGGGAGAAGTGCCATCACCGCGGGAGAAGTTCTGCGCGGTGGGCGTCGCCGGTCCTAACAACACTTACGATATGTAAGTAGACATATCAACTGGCACATTCGGCGACTAACGTGACTGCGTCGCAAGATTCCTCTACGGCGGCCGTTACGCCGTCCAGAAAGGAACGCCCACCGACGAAGTCTACGTCCTGAGCCTGCCGGGCTTCGTCTTCTTTAAAGCCAGCAGCGAGCTCTCGACCAAACGCGCAGGCCACGCCTGCGTCGGCGTCGGGAGGCGTCAGGTGTTATCCATCGGTGGCCTGGACGAAGGCGGGACGAATTTCCAGTCGTGGCTCATGAAGGACCCGTGGGCTCTCGGGCTCGGCGTGTTCGACATGACGCAGATGCGCTGGACGGACGGCTACGATTCCAAAGCGGCTTCGTACGAGGCGCCCGACGTGGTCAAGCAGTGGTATGACGGAGGCAATTTGGCGTCTGTCAAGTGGTCGAACGACGAAGTCAGGGAGTTGTTTGCACAGAGTACGCGAGCCCCCCATCCCTGTAACGACGAACGAGGCGGACGACTGACCTTGGAATAACAGCTGCTTCAAATGCACCGACCAACGCACCGGGAACTTCGCCATCAAGCAGTTCTTCGCCTGGCGGTTCGGACTCAAAGCCGGTCGGCGCCATCGCGGGTGGCGTTGTCGGTGGTGTCGTCGGCCTGGCGCTCATCGTGGGCCTCGTTCTCTTCTTCCTCAGGCGCAAGAAGAGACGACATGCGGCGGTGTCCCAGAACGAGCCTCCCGCCCCGATGAAGCATGCTTCTGATGCCACCGCCGACACGGCCCCCCAAACCCACGAGGTGCATGCTGACTATTACAACCCCATCGAGTTACCAGAAAGCCAAGGACCACCGAGATATGCGCCAGTGCCCACCAGGCACGAAATGGCGGGATGAGTTAGGTCGCTGCCGTACACATCGCCTCATGAGTGAAAGAAGAACATAAATCACTTGCGTAGAGAGAAACGTAGTTTATACAAACGAAAAAAGAAACTTTTGATTTTTGTCCCCATCAAAGGCTGATTATGTGGTATCACCATCTATTGCAAAAGAAGAAGAAAAAAGTTCCAAACGTCATCATGTCATGCAAGACGCCAGCCACCCGCTCTAAGCGTCACCCATCTCCTCGTCGTCGTCCTCCTCCTCGTCGTCAGTCTCGAAGTCGGCGTCGCTGAGCTCGCCGGCCTCCTGAGCCTGGGCTATCATCGACAGTAAGTCTCTGTTCCCATCACCGCCTTGTGCGTCGCGAGAGCGGAGGAACTTACTGAAGTAGTTGAGGGCGTCGGGCCAGAGGTCCTGGGCGATGGCCTGGGCGAGGTCGTCGCCGTCGGGGAAGATCTCGAACTCGAACTCGTCCTCCTCATCCTCATCATCCTCGGGGGTCTCCTCGATCTTCTCGCCGGCCTTGCGGCGGCGGAGCTCGTCGGCCTCCTTGGCGGCGTAGGCGGCGCTCTCCTCGGCGGAGATGCGCTTGCCGACGTAGCCGAACCAGCAGAAGAAGGAGTTGCCGCCCATGCCGGTCTCCTCGATCTTGGCCTTGAGGGCCTGGGCCTCGGGGGTCGGGGCGGGCTTGCCCTTGCCGGAGAGGACGGGGCCGCCCTGGTCCCAGACCTTCTGGACGGCGGCGAGGAGGCCGTCGGTCAGGTCCTTCTCGTCGGACTTCCAGCGGATGGTGACGGGCTCGGAGACGAGGCCGGTGTAGTTCTCCGAGGTGCGCCACCAGAACTTCTTCTCGAGGACCTTGTCCTCGAAGTGGTCGTTGTCGCCGAACTCGAAGCGGATGGCGATGGAGCGGGGGTCGCCGTTCTGGCCGTTCTCCAGCTCGAAGCGGGAGACGGAGATGTTCTTGAGCGCGGACAGCAGCAGGGCGGCGTCCTGGGGCTGGATGTACTCGTCAATCTCGGGGGGAGACTGCTCGAAGACGAGGGCCCAGAAGTTGGGGATCTTGGCGACGATGGCGGCGCGCTTCTCGTACAGAGGGCGAGAGAGCTCGTACTGTCTGCGGACTGTTGGATGGGATGTCAGCGTCTTCGCGCGGCCTTGAGATGCGCCGGGGTGTGATGTATGGTGAACTTACGCATCTCGGTCTCGACCTCCTCGAACTCGCGCTCGATGTCGGCGAGCTCCTCGTAGGTGACGCCGGTCTCAACAAGCTCGACCATTTTTGCGGTTGTGTTATGAAAACTCGACGGTGATTAAGTGAGTGTGAAGGAAGGAAACGATGAGATTTTCACCGTTTTTGGCGGGGTACTGATTATGGAGGGGTAAGATATTAGATCAGGGAGCGCAGAGAGTGTGAAAGAACAACGGTCAAGAGATGGGGTCGCCTCACCTGGGGGTTGCTACTTATATATCTAAAGCGATGCTTAGCAAATCCTCCTCCTCAGAAAAAAATTTCTGATTTTTGATTTATTATGGATGCTCGTGAGAAAAAAAAAAAACAAGACTGACACCTCACAGGATGGACGAGGGGCAATGCACTGACGTGGGTGAGGGGGGCAGTCGGCCAAACAGAGATTTTGGCTAAACAAAAAAATTTCCCAACCCGGCACGACGGGCAGCACGCACTTTGGTTCCTCAGTGGCCCATTTTGCTAACTGATGTCATGGGCTACGTGAACCCCAGTCCCTGTTGATCTCGAACTTTTCAGAGAAAAGCGCCGCCCCCCTCCCTCACTCGCCGTTCCATCAATGAGAAGGACGATATCCGGTCGTGGTTGCACAAACGCTGCAGACAGCTCAGAGCGATTGGAGCCACCAAGTAACGGAGAATTTGGGCGGGGACGGACGGAGCTGGTTGGGTGTTGGAACCGACATGGGGTATGTCGTTCTGGGCCCCTCGACCCAATCAGGAATGTCATTATTTTTCTTCTCGCGCGGGCGTGAAATGGGATTCTACAGATACACTAACAGCAAAAGATGATCTCACGGGGGTCTGTAGGCGAGGCTCGTCCATCTCTGTGTTAAGATGCCGTGAAAAAAAAGAGATGCTACAGAAAATCAGGGGTCCTCACGCTAAAGAGGGACCCCGGCGGGGCCATCTTTTGCCATATGGAGACATGGCTCAACTTTTTTCACACTTCTTTCCAACCCAGAGATTTCCCCCACATCAATTTTCTCAGTCGGTGGCTTCTAGATCGTCAGTAACCACTCACCCACTCTCTCGAGAAAAAATTCAGAACTGGGCCCCTGAGGGGAAATCGCCGGGAGACCGCTGCCAACTTTCTTCATGCGTGTCTTCTGTCTAACCGCCACTGGCAGTTTGTTGTTGTTATTCTCTTCTCCAGTGACAGTGTCCAGGTCCCACTGAGGGGTCGTCGTTTTCTTCTTCCTGGCCGTTCAGTCCCCCTCCTCATCCTTCTTCAGGATTCTCGCATCTTCTTATAAGGTGGCGGTGTCCCAAAGCTCGATGTGATGTGCCCGTGGACCCCGACATGTGAGGTGTCAGACGCTCATATGCGATAGTTGACGATACAAATGTGATTTAAAGGTTGAGGCTCCATCTCTCTCATCCGTTGACCAGGAGCTAATAAAATCGAAAAAATAAACAAACATCATAGACAGGCCCATCCCTGCCACTGGACGAGATGAGATTCCCCTCCGTTCATCGTCGCAATCTTCGCCCCTCCCGGGATGATGGCCGTCGTTGATCGTCCGCCGGCGGCAACTACGCTAATACGAGCCCAGCGGACGGATATCCCGACGTTAGTCTGTGTGCGGGAGTATCATCGTCCAGAGCTGTACGCGCCCGGAATGTCACCGTGGAGTTTGTTTGTTGACATGTCGGATGCCTTTTTCTAAAGGTGACTTTCGCAGCTTTTGTCTAAGTGAGGCCGTTTCGACAACTAGGAGAAATACAAGGATATTAGAACTGTCGTGAGACGCCTGACGTCCTCCCCAGACAAAAGTTTGCGTGAAAGAAAGCCGCCAGTTCTCCCCGAAGCAACATCCCAACCTGTCGTTGCCGGGGAACGGCATCTCATCATCCCAGGGCAACCTAAAGAAGGGTAATCCCTACCTAACACTGGTCTTTGGAAAATAAGGCTCCTCGGTCTTATATCGAGAACCCTCCTCGTCTATAGATGACCAGTCAGAGTTTTCCATCATCGAAGTAGGAGAAAAAACCCTGCTAGGCTTGAGGCTCCGGGTCGCGGCAGGGACAGCCCGACATTCGGAAAGAGAGAGATGGCTGGTCGACAGCCGGGCACGTCCCGAACGCCCTCCCCTCGATACCACGCGTCGACGATCAATGTCAACAAACATTCAGGACCGCGCCTGTGTCACAGTCCTGGTAAGCCCCCGTTCTACAATTTGCGTCGAACGGTTGGCTCTCAGCCCGGACCCTGGACTGGTTTGGACCGGAGGCATATTTTAGCCCTTCATTCCTTGTTCTTTCCGCGACGAGGCTTGACTTTATCAGATCGGGCGACGAAATTGCCGACGGAGGCTAGTTTCCGGCGCGGCCGCTGTCTCCGGGCCGGAGGTGGGACGATCCATGCCCGGTCCGGGGTCCACTTCTATCCACAACCGGCACGAGAAGACCGACAAAATGCCAACTTGCCACGAACAAGGTACTGAAGTGCCCCCAATTGTTTACAATTATCCAGTTAGAACGGCCTGCATTTGGTAATATTTTTCATTGTCTCATGTCGTGTATGTCGCTGCGATCGTTGAGTATTATGTCACAATATGTTTTTCGGGACTATTATTGCTTGCGCAGTCCACAATTTGAGTCCGTCGTCCACGTTCCTCGAACTACGTCTGAATTGTTTTTTCCTGCTCACAGCTGCGCCTTGAAGTTAGACCAACCAGCCAAGGTACTCCTCTGCAGCCGTCTTCTCTCCGTATTCAGAGTCCAGCACTGTTTTCCGTTCATAAATCATGACTTCTGAGATATTGGATTGTAGTGAGTGGTAAATGGTGAAAAATGTGCTGGGGGTTCAATCCGAAACGTGCAGCAGCCTCGGTCCTTTCCAAATCGCCGGGGTATATCAAGAACAGAACCGCAGGAAACCAGAACGCCGCTTTTACAAAGCTGAATAAAGTCATCCTGCTCTTCCCATCACCACGTCAACTTCGTCGCTTGAGACCGCAAGTCTGGTGCTCCGGTGATGATGCCTCGAGTGCCAACCATTAGGTTCGCGAACCTCGCCCTCAGATCAAAGTCGACGGCGCGAACCATGACACGCCTCTCCTCCGGAATGGACCGCTTCGACTTGATAAGGCCGGGCAGGGCGCTATCCCTCCTGGCGTCCCAACGAGCATTACCGCCAGGCCCAAGGGGAACGTCCTCCGCGAAATCGACCGAGCCTTGCCGGGCACTGCCATTCGGTTGACTCATCCTTGGCGATGGTGATGGGATCTTCTCCCCATCTTCCTCAATGTTCACGACCCATTGTCCGATGCGGGCTGTCAGCTCGCTATCCCACATACCCTCTCTCCTAGCACTACTGCTCAAAAGCTGGATAGCTTGTCGTCGAATGATCGGATGACGGCACTTGGTAGCAACCACAAATAGAGGCGGGACGATACCGAGGTCGGCGCTGAAGCTGGGCTTGATGTGATAAGTGTTATACGCGTTGCCGCCAAATATGTCCGGCGTGTGGTTGTGTCTGTGAGGGCAGAGAGCTGGGTCAGGGCATCTCTTGGCCGCTGCACGTCTTTCTTCGTCTCCCACCACCTCAGATGCGAGGTCGACAATCGCCTTGAAATGGGGCTGAAAGAAGTCGAACTGCGACTCGTTGTCACTGTATGTCATGAGATATAAGATCTGGCTCATGATTTGGAACATCTTTAAGACGGCAATCCCAGCTTTCTCATGATCGCTGACACCCGGGGCCGTGCGAGACTCGAGTAGGTACTCAAAAGCCTCGGACCAGGCGTCGAGCTGAGCCTTGAAACCCATTCCGTACTGCTTCAGCGACTTAGGAAGAATGCCCATGGGACCGTTTGCTCCGGTGGAATGCTGGTAGTTGAACAGCGTTTCGTTAAATCGGAGCATCTTCTCAAGGAGCTTGTCCCAAGCACTTCGCGCCTCCATCAAGCTGAAGAACTGGTCCGGCATCGATCCTGAGCTCATAGATGAAGGTGAGCTCCCAGCGTCCGAGGGCGGTGACTGGGGGAACTCGGGGTTTTGTGGAGTGAGTCGAATCACGTAAGGTTGAGGAAAGTGGAAAGCCATGTCGTACGATTTCGCTTGGATGGCAAGCCTGGTGAACATGGTGATAAGCTCCTCTTCGACCGGTTCCTCAGATGCAGACAAAAACGATCTTCTTCTCTCGGCTCGAAGCTTCTCCAATAAGCCGAGGCCGGTTTGGATCTGTCTGATTGCTTGTCGGTGATCGCCGATAAAGGAGTCGAAGCAAGCCAGGAGCACACTGGCCATGAGCAAGGTGCGGTGCGACTTTTGATCGCGATTCAAATGGACAAGAGAATTGATGGCCTCGGAGTATTGCTTTACTGCGACTTCCCAGTGGCGGTACGCTCCATCGGAGGGACTGAGCGAATCGGACGGTGATCCCGGCGGTGACTCGCATGATTGTTCTAGGGTCTTGTAGAGCGCTCCCAGCGCAACCACGGCGTGGCGAATAGCATTCTCCGAGTGACACTCCTGCAGGACGGTCCGGCTCCAGAAAACCGAGTCGAAATATCCGGAAAGCTCACTGGCAGTGTGCGAGCGGAAGAGTTGGAAGTAGAGACCATCCTGCTGGGAAAACTGTAGATTTCCGGACGGACGGTACAGTGTGACGGATATGCCTGAGTCTGGGGTCATCGGAGGGGTCGGGCGACGAGCCTGCAGCTTTTGAGCCCTCCGGGGTGGCAGATCGATGGAAGAACGTATGGGAGGGCCACTGCTCTGTGCGGCAAGAGGCTTCGGCGCGATGGCGAGAACTTCATGGGGTCTCGCGCTGCGACTTGGAGGCGGATAGCCAGTACAAATCTTCTTCGAGCGCACACATTGGGAACAGGACGGCCGTTTTTCGTCGCATTTGATGCGCCGCTGCCTATGACTGAAATTAGATGCCAAGCTGCACACATGGAGGATTTAGAGACTGGTTTCGTACTTGCAGTTATTGCAACCTGTCTTGACCTTGGGTTTGCTGGTTCTCGCTCTCTTGGGTTTCTGTTGCGAATCGGAGGTCGGACTAGAGGACGTCACTGAATTTGCCGAATTGGCGTCGGTCTGGTTTGGGGACGACATTGTCGAGTATTGGAAGATGACTGCAGTCTATGGCCGAAGCGGCGCATACACATGCATCACCTTGTAATCACGACTGTGAGCCCGAACTTTTCGTCTGATGAGCGCAAGGAGCTGCTTGTGGTGTAGAGTTGAGTGCAAGACGAGGTTCGGACGGAGTGCAGGGGACTGAGGATGAGAAGCTCTCGGTACGCAGTAGGTGGGCGGCGAGGGCACCTAAGGAAGGGTCGGCGCGATGACGGGTGGTCTGTGAACTCGGCGGTTAGACAGGGCATTCAGGCCTAGCGTGAATTCGGTCAGGACCAGGACGGGGACGGGGACGGGGACGGGGAACAGGTCCGGCGGGGAGCGATCTGCTGGGGGACGGGATTATCCCTCGGCTTGAGCTCGCTAGACAATTCACTTACATGACTAACGTCGTAGTCAGGGTGGAAGAAGAAAGCAGAAGTGGTTGGCGATGGGGATCGAGGCCCAAGACAGGCGGCGAGGAGGAGGAGGTGAGACAGCGCTGAGCAGACCTGAGTAGAATGTATGACGGAATCGCAAACAAGTGCTGAGGGTGTTTTTCAACTCGTGTTTGCTTCGGACTTTTGGTTTTGATGCGAGACGGCAGGGCTAGAAGGGGATTCGCGGCGGGAAGGAGTTTGGGGGCCGGGAAGGACGGACGATAGAGTAATATAGGGCTGGCTGGCGGATGGCGTGCGGGCGTGCGGACGTGGGCATTCGTTCCTAGGAAAGGTAGGTAGGTAGGCAACTAATAATGTAGCTAAGATGATTAGCGGCGCGACAGTCGAGCGCAAGCCACTGCAATGGCAGTGGATGGAGCAGCAAACAGGTCGCAGTACTCCGTACCTTAGCTTACCTTAGTTAGTCCACAAGGACCAGGGACGAGGGGGAGCCGAAGGTACAGTCGCAGTGTCTCCGTACGTTGCTGGCGCGGTAGGGAAGGGTAGGGTAGGGGAGACGGAGATCCACGAGAGAGGAAGCCAAGCGATGGGACAAGTCGCGATGTGGAGGCCCTGCCTGCACACTGCAGAGTGCTGCACCGAGAAGGAGGCTTGGTACTGGGCAGCAGATGCGGACGCAGATACCTTACAAACGTGGACCGGGATGTTTCTCAGAGTGTGGTGTGTTGCTGTGTGATGATGATGATGGAGGAAAATGCTGCCAGTTTATAGGCAGATCTCTGGGAAAATGAGGGAGACGTTACTGCGTTGTGCTGCCCTCCATGCAGATGATCCAACGTCGTCGAATAGGTACCGGGAGGTCAAGCTGACGAGCGTGAGGTGGCATCAGACTGTTGAAGATGGGGTACCGGTAGCTCGTATAGTAAGAAGAGTCAGGTACCGGATATCTTTTTGATTGGTGTCATCCAATTCAGAAAAAGCAAGAAAGAGTGGTGATGTCTGGGCACCCTCGAGTAAGAAGAGAGGCCTTCGCACAAATATGAGTGAGTCGTCCACGTCGAGCCCACACTTAACCAACAGAAAGAGACTTGCACTCTTCCAACGCTTGGACAAGAGCAGCTGGGGGAACGGAGTCGGGGTTGGGCTTGGATGGGGGTGATAGTTATTCAACTTCGTACGAAGCGAAGCGAAGCAAAGCAGAAGCAGAGGCAGGGCCGCTGAACGAAGCAACGAGCACGAGGGGAAACTTGACGTCTCACAACGACTTTTGTCAGTCGTACGTCTTCGGTGCGACGCGACACCAACTGTCTATCCCCGGTGGCATTTTGTCTGTACCTTGCCTCAGCAAACAATCAGGTATCTAGCCAGGTAAGGTATCTTATGCTGAGGTGCGATGGGAAAGGCAAGGTACTCGTAGGGTGCAAGGATGCGAGAGGATACCTCAGTGAATTATTGATTTTTGGTTGGAGACTTGTCCCAATCGGTAATTGCCTGATGCTTTCCGCTCTCGTCCAATCCCGTCATTGTACCTTTTGTGCAACGGATTCCAGGTTGTGTAGATACGTCGTCGTCCGAGGTACATTTTCATGCTGAGAAGGTGTTTCCTGAGCCTGGATATTCGTACCTATGAACAGCCCTGAGAGCCAAGAGCAAAAAAGCAAGAACCAGAAAGGCCAGGCTCAGTGAAAATGGGGAGTTGGAAAGGGAAGGAAACATCCATAATGATGGAAAGATTCAAGAGGCAAGAGTCAAGAGCAATGGAATGCATGCACCTGTGGCCCCTGCTCTTTCCGTCTCCAGATCTCCAGCGTGAACCTCGAACCCCACTCCTTCCCTCCACCACAAGCAACCTGAGTCCAGGCTCACCTCTCACTTCCACCTAAAGTACGACCTCGACATCGCACTCGCACTCTCTGAATTTCTGTCTCGCCGGCTTCCTCTGAGCATCCACAGCTCTCGACCATTCGTTTGGCCTTCTCCATAAGGTACTTTGCCGCTCGGCATCCTGCATGGCGTCGGCCACGCCTTCTTCGAAGCTTCTTGACCCCTCGACTAAACCACCCTAAAAACCACCTAGCACAATGCCAGGCTTTGGTGGCAGTGCTGTCTGCTTGCTCCTGCACATCGGTCGGTGGTTGGCGGTCGGCGGCTAACAAGCCCTGCAGCTCTTGTCTCCAGGATCATTTGCGAGACTGATCAAACATGACCACATATCGACTAGGGGCAAGGGGCACAGCGAACGGCAAGTGGAGAGCGACATGGAGACATATCGATGGCACCGCTGGAAAACATCTGCACGTGCACATCTTCTTCCCATTCGAAAACTACCAGAATCAATTGCATGGAGCATAGCCGATTACTGACGGAGACCACTGACACCGGTACCGGTACCAATCCCGGTGTCACCGCCAGCGGGTGAGAGTCTACGAAGTACGGATACTGGATATCGACCTAAGACTGACGCCGAGACAAAAGCTAAGAGCTTACCAAGCCAAGGTTTTAAATAGCACCCATTACGAGACCAATGTATCCGTACTGACGATGCATAGGTCAACCATTATATCCCCATCTAGAAGTCAATCAACTGGAACTTGGTCAAGTGAACTGTCCATGGTCGATACCAACGGAAGTCAGCGCATCTCTTAGGAATATCGAAGAAGAAAACAATGCCATCTCGTTACATCATCCGCGGATATTCCTTGGGGTATCATTCAAGCCTTCTACAGCGGTTGATCATCGGATCATGCCACCACATCTGCATCTCACCTACTCAACCAATCTCGATACCGGCAAATGTCTCTGCCAGCTCACACCCTGAGAGGCACCCCGACAGCTCTGCCAGCTCACACCCTGAGAGGCACCCCGACAGCTCTGCGAGCGGTGCCCACGATAACCCCCTGGCGACCGTTATACGCGAGCAAATTTCCAGCGCCTTTGCTGTCCTGCACCACGTCGCTGATCGCCAGCGCCGTCACTCTGTCCAACAACGCCTTGGGAGTGGTAAGGCCTTCTTTGGACATCAGGTACGCCACAAGTCCTGCAACAAACGGCGTAGCTTGGGACGTGCCGGACCGCGTGGCGTATCCGTTGTCGAGACCAAGAGACTTGATGTCAACTCCAGGCGCAAATATCTCAACCGAAGCCCCGTAATTACTAAAACCCGCTCGGTTTCTGTTCCAGTCCGCTGCTGCCACTGTGAAGGCGTGTTCTGCCCTTGCAGGTGACCGCCCTGCAGCATCCTGGTTCCCGTTACCGGCAGATACCACCGTCACCACACCGAGGTCATACGCAGCCTTCACTGCATCCTCTAGCGCCGATGTTCGCGAGCTGACGGCGAACCCTGTAGCGAATACGTCAATTATGGGGCCTTTGGGGATCGAAGGGATGGATTTGCTGCCGCACCGAGGCTCATGCTGATGACAGACTTGCCCAGGCGGCCTGGTGTCTGAGTAATGTTGTTGACGGCCCAGTTATACCCGTCGAGGACATTCTCGACAGTGCCTGAGCCCTGATGGCGACGACAATCGTGTTAGTGCCGATCACGACTTGTGCAGGGATGCGCACTTACACCACCCGCAAGAACCTTGACATCTACGATTGTTGCCCTCTTCACAACGCCGTACGTCTGAGATCCCACAACGCCCGCCGTATGCGTACCATGTCCGCCAAAATCGTCAAACTCCTCGTCCGGCTGCGCGTTGTACCCTTTGACCGCGCGGCCAGCGAAATCCGGGTGCGAGATTTGCACGCCTGTATCGACAACATACACGAAAGTACCCGCGCCGGACGACCTGTCATAAGCATATGAATAGACATTGCTGGTATCTGGCAGCTGATTTGGAGAGGACAGACTTGCGAGGCCCCATGTTGCGGACGATTGCGACATAAAGACATCGGGCTCAACGAAGCGGTTCGGCTCAACCGAGTGCACGCCAGCGGCAGCACTTATCTCGGCGATGCTGTCATCGTCGAAGCTGCCCGTGTAGGCGTTGAAGCGGCCGATGCTGAAAGACTTTCCAAGACCCGTGGTGTCGCGTCGCTGGGGGCTGCGTCTGTGCGCGTCGACGGCCCAGTCGAGGTGGCTTTGGATATCGGAGGCCTGAAGTCCGGGTTTCAGACGGACAATGTACTGACCGGGGATAGCGCCGACCGGGGCCACCTTCGGCACCGCGACGGAGAGGGCCCGGAGGACGAACGTCAGGAGGACGGCTGCTGCGCTAATTGACGGCATTTTGTCAGAAGCCTATATCGATTCTGAAGAACACGGGGATTCCTCCCTCGAGTCTCGGTCCGTCCCACAGATTCCTTTATATATATACAGGCTTTCATGGCAGTCGCATCTTTTTCTTCGCCCACCGACAAGCCATATTCTGCTCGTGAAGGGAACCCAAGAATGACGTCTGTGGGGCGTGATTTGAAGCTGCTGAAAGCGAACGTTAACGAGGCGATGCAATATCGTTGAAGATGCCCAAGTAAGGCATACAACCGGACGGTCTTTCTCACGGGGTTGTTGCAACCGGCGTGGCTATCAAACGTGCGATTTTGATGCAATTTTGTCTCGCTGCCTCGTGAAGGGCACGACATGAGGATTGGCAGTCTAATGGGCCGTCCCGTCACCGGGCGAATAAGGCCTCTTAGTTCGGCTCATGGCGAACGCTTCTGGCAACCCCACTGAGCGGGTGACCCATAATGACATGCCTCCTTCTCTGGAGATCACCAAAAGGGGAACAGAGTCCTCCAAAACCAGACAGATCCTCAAGCCGAATTCCGAAGATACAAACCAGACTGTTATTTGGAGACTTCTTTGTCGGCGGGAGACATTGTCAAGGTCGAGGCCGCACCCTGGACCGGGCCAGTCCTGACGGCGAGGCAATTGCAGAACAGGGACGGCCTTGGCATGCATGGCTTAAAGCACCTCACATGGCACCAAGCCGAATCCGCCCCTTGACTCCGTATCGCCAATGGCAGCGTAACTTTGTTTCTTCACCTGAAGGTATCCGCAAGGTCACGCGGCTCATTGGCAAGTGGACGCGAGCGGCCCGTTTTGACAGGCTCGTGCGAGGCGGCTTGTTTCTGTCAAGCAGTTGGCAGGAAACAAAGGAAGGGCCTAGGCCTTGACTCTTGCGGGCTCAGAAAAGCCGCAACTGTTCACCTGCCGCCGGCTTTTCCTTGGACGGCACAGCGCACCTACCTCAGTATCAGTCGACTATGACACCTTTGCATCAGAATCAGAATAACCTCTGTCATATATCATATAACGCCAACCCTTAGGAGAGATGCCGGAGATGGGTAATGGAGCTCACGAGCTTGATTGCCTTGCCGGTGGCTGTCAACTACGGATACTGGTCTCTGCGCTTTAGTGAGCCGGGAGCACACGATCGCACCCTGGCCACTTACAATATCGCGAAGAGAAACACATCTCAAGATGGCTGCTGTCTCATATGCGAGATCCTTGCACGACCCTACTCCAGGTACCATTGGCGGGTTTACTACTCTTTCGAGTCGGTCTTTTCTGATCTCTTCCCTGTTTACGATCGCCTGTCGTGGTCAGCGTAGCAGCAAAACGAAGGACACTTTCAGAAGGTTTCTTCAGAATCGGACATCGGCCTCGGAGTTCTCGTCTATTATTCGCTGAAACGACTTCCCGTCAATCCAGAGCCCGCAGCGTGTCGCTCACCGCTTCTGTCAGTCATGTCAGCTGCGCCACATACAATCCCTTCTATCGGCCCGCTTCCGCTAGGGTCCAGATGCAATCATCTTCCGGCCGGACCCCTCGACACAGCATCCCGCCCTCCAACTCAGCCCTACGACAAGCATAGCGCTGGAACCTGCCTGCCGCCGGGGGAAAGAGACCACTGTCATTCTCTACTGCGGTAGGGCTCTGACCTGGGGCGGCCTCCCTTCAAACATCCAATGACGGCAAGTTAGCGAGCCAACATCACGCTCGCCGTGTTAGTGTCGCTGCTCAGCCATCGGCCACCAGTCGTGTTATCATATTCTCAACAGCCTTACTATGCGGGCCCCAGCCACGATTTCCACGGTTGAATCAGCGAGCGGTAATCTTGGCTGCATTTTACGCATGTTCTCTGCGTCTTCCTCAGCCCTACTGACATACTCTGCACATTTCACTGGGTTGCAGGCTTCGATAGTCATGTTTAGTCGATGCCTTTGAGGGCTGCGCCCTGCGTTCCTCTATTCGACGACCATGCGGCCTAGTATTCCAGTTTCAGGGTCTGAGACCTAGACCTTCGTCCGCTTTCCCTTTGATCGGTCAGTATAATTCACCTACCCGAGCCGAACCCTGGGGCCGCTTCTCTGGCATGGCAGGGATGCCCGGCCAGGAATGTCCGTTACAGCCGCCGGCTCAACTTTGAAGATGACACTTCCGGTTCTGGTAACGTGGAGCGAGAAAGAGACCACACACTTTGGTCCAGATCCTCATGGGCCAATGTCATTCAAACCGGGCCTTTTCTCTTTAATCTTCCGAACAACATGTGAAAGACACACTAGATATCTGTCCAGGGCTCTCTTTCAAGTGCCATTCAGAAAGGCGTGGCACTCTGATCTACCGGTCCGGGGCAACAATCAACGAAGCCCAATCCGGTCGATGGCCAACATCGTAGAGCATCTCATCCGGCCACACAGTATGGAGAAGGACTTCGTGCTCGATCTCACCGCGCATCATTCCTCACAAGCAGAGCTCGACATCGGACATCTCCGTTCCGGCCATGGCGAGGAATTCGATATCAAACATCCCTGGCCATCAACATCTACATCCGATGCACAGCAATCACGACCGTCTCATGAATGCTTGCAGGCACCACATCGCGCGCTCCGAATCACGGGCGATAGTTCGACTGCGCATCCTGCCTCGCAAAACGCCTTGGTCCACTTCTCCACGCAGAGAGATGAGGGAGAGACGACGAGCCAATCCCGCAAGACGGACCAATGCATCTCTGCTGCATGTCAGAGCAGAAGCGAGGAAGCGCTGGCGTCGTCATGACCAAAACGTCCCGCTGGATGGTAGGCTGTGCTTACTGCGCGGGGGTCCTCGCTGGTTCCACTGAACAGGCGCCGTTCAAACCCCTGTCGAACGTCTCCCGCCATGAGCGTTAGCACTCTAGCGATGACTTCATACGGTAGCATGTTGACCGAGTGTCTGGGTGCGCCGGACTGAGGTGACGCGCACATCCTGGGTGTTCCCATGCAGATGATCGTGATGATCATGTAGATGTGCATCACGCACCTCAGCCCGCGGGTTTTCCAGACTATTTCGAATGCAGACCACCGCCTCGATGCGCCTTACAGGGCTCTCACAGCAGTGGAAGTCTTTGAGGTGGAAAGTCATCATTCGATTTACTGGTTGCACTTCTAACTAGGTTTCTAAACTAGCATCGCTGTACACCGGTCAAACCCCATTCGAAGTCGAATTCCCCCAGAGCGAGAAAACAGCTGGGAACTGGCACAGGAACCCCGCCCCGAAAGCGCTCCGCCCGGGACCCTGAAGTCCAAGTCGCACCGGACCACTCGGCGTCATATCCGTGTCAAGCAGTGTGCGCTTTCACAGCATGATTTCGAACCACGAACCTCGGAAACCGTTCCCTTCCCCGGGGTTGCTTCTCTCGCAGTTCCCAATGCACTCATTGACCGCTAAACGAACTCTCGCCGTCACAACACCGGCCATGATCGCACAACCCCCCGGGCCCGTTTGGAGACAGCTACCGACGACCGGGGAAGCGAGATCGACATCGGGCGTGACATGATCTTGACGTCTGGTGGGTGGGTGGTATTGGGGGAGACGTGATGAGTTAGGAAGGTTGATGTCGACCGCGCCGCATTGCTGCATGGCCACGGCCCATCGCCGTGGTCAGCGAACTCACACATATGGAGCGTCGAATCACATCGAGCATCGAGTAAGGCTGATATGGCAGTGTATTCCCAGTGGCGAGACAACTTTAAGAAGCAGCTCTGGGGATGCAGAAGAGCAAGAGTTTAGTCTCATCAAGATGGGCCTTGGGCATTCTTGAGGCAAAAACGATATGCGCAAGACAAGACAAGACAAAATAACCGTCCCGCGAACGGATGTCCCCGAGACCCAAGCCACGAGATCAGCCTCGGATCGACGCGGGTTGAGACAACATTCGACCTGGAGACTTCAAAGCTAAGCTTGCCATATAGAACATTGACATTGGCGCCTTGGCTTCGTCCTGCTCATCTTCTTGGAAGATCAGCTCCTTATCGAAAGTCATCAAGTACACTTGGCCCAAGGACTCCCATTGAGAATACCTAGCATCAAGTCTTGACACCGGCCATGTGCGGCTTATTTCTCCGTATCATCCTCGCTTTCTGTCCGTGACTTCTGGGTGGGACTGCCTGCTCAGCGTGGGTGAGCAAGTGATGTATCCGGAGACTTGCAACGCACTCTTCGATTTACAATGATATACTAGACTGGTCGACGAAGGGTATCCTATCCATCCGTGTTATGAGAATCTAATCTCGCCTCATCATTCAACAGCCACGGGATTTGGAGACCGTTTCTTCCCCGTGTTTTGCTTTCCGAATGGTTCACTATACTCAGGCATTTCAAAAAGCCGCCTGGCATTCATTGTCTGGACGGGAATGGCGGGAAGTTGATCTCGCGCAAGATGGGCATGGATATGCGTCGGCTGTTTACCAAGTCTGCGAGGATCGTAGAGACCAAATTTGGCTTTCATCTACAGGTATTTCGACTACCCGTCACAGGAACACATGATAATGAAGCCGAAAGCTGAATAGAGCTTAATTTATCAAAACTCCAATTCGCTTTCATGAATGATGTCTATCTCAGGTATCATAATGCTAACGCTCACGCCCATGCTCACAAAGGCGGCAGTTCTTCCCGACAAATAGGACACTGCAGCCTGAACCGCAACCACCCCTCCAGACAAGCGCTGTGGAAGATGTGCCGGCACGGCGTGACCATGTAGTTCCTCCTCGTGAACACGCCGACGACGCCCCCGGCCGTGGGATCCTCCTCGCCCGCCCTCATGACGGGCACCTCGAGGACCTCGCGGCAGATGGCGCAGTCGATGGCGCGCAGGTTGCTGCCGCCGCCCTTCTTGTCCTCGCCCTTCCGCACCCTGTCCAGCGAGGGCGAGCCCGGCTCGGAGAGCAGGCCGATGGGCAGGCCGCCGGCCTCGACGCCGTCTTCGCGGAGGACCGGGTGGTAGTCCCAGGCGTCGGGGGTCCAGCTCTTGGGGACGCCGAAGCGGGGGCCGAGGACGAACTGGAAGGCCAGGATCCAGAGCTGTATCCACACCCACGCGCAGAAGACGAGGAACGCGCGGTGGTCCGGCTCGGCGAAGAGGAAGTTATCCTCGTAGACGTAGAAGTAGGCGAAGGCGAGGAGGCGCAGGACGGACTGGCCGATCATGAAGCGCCAGGTCAGGGCTCGGCGGCAGTTGCGGATGATGTTGCGGTAGATCTGGGGGACCCAGAAGGAGAAGTAGACCATGGCTAGAGTGTTGAGAAAGAGGTTGCGCAGGCGGGGATACCATGACGTGGAGGCTATGGAGACGAAGAGAATGAGGGATACGATCATGGCGAAGCGAAAAATGACCGACTGGAAGGTGACTTCAGAACCGCCGGCGCGGGCGGTGCCAGGGGTCGGTACGGCAGCGGCGCCCGTCGTAACCATATCTATCTCGGCGTCGATGTCTTGGTCAGAGGGCACGATGATCGGGGGGCTCGGGGCTCGTCTGCGCGGTCCGGCAGTGACGGGCCGGGGAAGCTCGCCTGCGCCGAGGCTTTGCGCGGGCGTGGCCAGCGTGCGTGGTGTGTCGGCTTGCTCGCGTTCGTTCCGTCTCCTGTTCTCCGGCTCCTGTACCTTATGGATTTCAGCAAGGAAGAAACCCCCCATGGACATGGACAGGAGTGCGGCGAAGAGGAGACACAGAGACTCAAGGTACGTGATACTCGCGTCGAGAACCCACATGGCTGCCGCCACGAAGACGCTGCCGTCAGCCATGACCATCATACTAATCGTAGAGTAGCTGATGCGGCCCATAGTCGACGGTGTGGCAGACTCCTTTATCTGGTGTTTGAGGAGGAGTGCTTGGGCGATAATAACGCCTGCGAAGGCGAGTATCCAGACGCGGATCTTGTGATATATGATCTCCGTCTTCATGCCTTGCAGATGCTCGCCGTCTGCTGCTGCGAAGTCCGGCGGACCCTTGGTCTCGAGAAAGAACCCACAGTCTGGGGACCAGATGATGGCTGATAGTTTCAGCTCTGGGATGCCGCGAATGGGAGCACCCTCCGGGAAGCGAAGCTCTTGTTCGATGTCGCTGATGATCCGAGACATTCCTGCCCTGTTAGGCTGGAAGCCTTTCATGTTGAGTCGGCTCCTGTCCGGGGGGTGAACCTGCGCGTACATGATGTACTCGCAATGCGGTGACGGGTTGAGGGTATCTGGCGGGTTGGACGGGTCTGATGTCCAGGGCATCACGCCGTCGTTAAAAACCTCCTGCTCCTTTCGCCGCAACACCTCAGCCAGAGTCGCGTTAAGAAGCCTCCGGCTGGACTGGAAAAAGTCGGGGCTGGGTGTGAGAAAAGGCAGCCCGAAAATGCCGTCGAACTTCTCACTGGTAGTGGTCAGAAGGATGGTCCCTTGACGCGGCCAATGAACCCCATGCAACCTCATCTCCCAGTTGACACCGGTTCCCTTGATGTCTTCGATATTCAAAGCGGCCTTAGCACTCCGAACCCTGCCCCCTGACGAGGGAATACCGTCGTCCAAAACACTTCGATACTCAAACTCTTTGGTTTGCCTTCCCGTGTCAATCAGATCCAGCAGAATCTTGCCCTCGTCTCCCGTGATATTCCTGGCCCAATCCGCCTCTGCGCCGCTCCAGTGCAGACTAGGCGTGATCGCACTCAGGTTGTAACTCGTCCACTGCCTCTTCGCCGATGCCTCTTTCCGCACCCAAGTCCCCTTCACGGCCCCAGTGGCATTCTGCCAAACCGCCTCGCCCTCGCCAATGTCCCAGAGATTCACTCCTCCGACAGGCGGTATTGCATTGTGGCTCCACTCCAAACACTTCTCCTGGAACTTTTCGAGGTCATCCCACGCGAAGCCATCCTGTGCTCGGAAGCCCGTGATGTTGAGCGAGCGAGGAAGCTCCTGCGTCCCGTTCAGCCGCGGCGAGAAATCGCCCCATGACGACGAGTTGAGAAGGTCGAGCGCGTACTGGTGTCTCTGTAATCTCTGCATCGCGAGGTCGGAAGCCGAGAAGAGAGACGCGCCGCCGTTGCCGGGCGCCAGGAAGATCCAGAGCACGCCGACGAGGGCAAGGCCGATGACGACCAGGCGCGGGTCTTCGAGTGGGTTAGGCATTGTGTCGGACGACCGTTTCCCAGTCTATATCGTTTCCATCGTTTTGCTGCGCGACCTGTCCTCCGGCTGTCGGTGGCGGTCGGTTGCGCAGGCGTTCGTGGTTCGTCTCGAAGATGGGATTGTAGTATGGATGATCCAATTGTGAAGTTACGTCAGGAGTGACCGCAATCGCGCACCAGCTGATGTGGATGACGGACTGTTACCGGGTGGCAAGTGCTGGCACCGCCGACTCCGCCATTCGGCCGGCCGGGGTTCTTCTTCAGCAACCACCCACGAGGTATCCTTGTCTCGTTGTCTCGACCTCAATCAGCCAGCCATCCAGACATCACCACAAATCCTCACATTGCAGCTGGAAGTGCTGCCCGAATCGGTTGCATGAATCAGGCAGTCTGCAAGCCAGGTTTCGACTGTTTTCTGGCCAAGCACCCAGAGTCTTGGCCCAGTTCGGTGGACACTAGCTGATAATATTCGAGGCTCACCCTCTAATGCGACTAAATCGATAGTCCGTTTCCACTAGCAAACGCCACCGTCTGCCGCCATGACCGCTGCGGCGTGCCCCTCACAACTTGGACAAGTTCATCTGACAAGATCGTGAGCGTCTAGGAAAGACTGCGCATGCGTAAAAGTTGACATCGCAACGGCGCCTTGGCGGCGCTGACAGCTGCGTTGTGGACCAACCCGGTCTCGCAGAGGCGGCGGCTTTTGTCTTTGTCAAGTTGATGGTAGGCATTGTTCAGTATTCTCGGCGCATTCTAGGCAAATCATGTTGTCAGCTTTGGTTTGGAGCTTTTGATGGATATCAACAATTCATTGGCAGGTATCACGACCAAAGCGACTCAGTCGAAGTGCGGTTTCCGGCCCGCCCACGAAGGATGGCCGCTGGGTCTATTATGATTTGTAGCTCTGAGATCGACATCTCTAGGGCTGGGCATATCTTTAATCGTCTGTTTATCCCGTCAAAGCCGACTCCGCGCGGCAACCTGGCAAGCTGTCTGTGGGTTCATCACAGCCCTCTCACCTGAGCGAACTGCTGTCAGATGCCGGACAATACGATCTCCGATGGCGCGCTGTCTTCTTTGAATGGATTGCACGACTGCTAATGTTCAACAGCTCAAGGCATACATGCGGCATCTGCATATGAAACTAAACACCATCGAGTCATAGTGTCCATAGTTCGTCGTCTTGGAGGGGTCGTCACGAGACGTATGGCTGATGGAAGAGGCATGTCTTGCCGCGCGTATATGCCGTCAAGAGTCAGCTGCTGAGATCCGATCCGGGAATGGTGAGTCCAGATCCGGAGTTACACGGCACAGCTCTCATGCAGAATCAACAAGTTGGATGGAGAGAGCTGAGAAGGTCGGCAGTCTAAAGAAGCAATAGACAATAAGCGTTGCTCAGGGGTAGGGGATCACATCAATGCCCCTGGACGGTTCCCGAGCTACGGCTGGCACCATCAAAGCCACCAAAACACTTGCGACCAATCATCAACATTGCGTCTTCTTTCATCCAATGCGATCATGTCGCTAACGCGGAATGGGAAAGAAGGGTCCTGGCATCCTTGGCCTCCGTCTTGGCCAAAAATACGAAGCCACCACCGACACCATCGCCCCGTCTTCCACAACACCAAGAATCACCAAAGCCCTCGCCCAGATCATCCCTCTTCCCGCTAATGGTGCCGCTTCTCTCGGCCTGCTCCCACGTTCCGCTTTACCGGTCTACCTTTCCCATACCGCGTTGGCGCAAAACTGTTGCGGCATGGAACCGCCGAGTCCCTTTGTCACTGCCTCTCGGTCCCCTCATCTCTCGTGGGATGTTTCTCTTATCAAACGGCTGGCAGCCTCTGCTCCCGTCTGTTTTTTCTATCTCATCTCCAGCGTCTTGTTCTGCTCTTACCCATCCACTCTCTCCAAGCGTATGCGTGTTTTTGATATCGTAATTTAGGTCGATTTGTGCTTCTACATTGGACCGAGCCACTCACTTTCTCTCTTTACCATAGTACACTCTTTTTGAAATTCCCCGGCGCTGCATCACAAACACCAAGATGAAGTTGGATACACATCTACTGTTAGGCCTCCTTGGCTTAGCAGCTCAGGCCACGGCTGATCCAACGTGGCCTGCAGATATCGACGAGTTGGAAGAGATCATGTACCAGACCTCCATGGTCAGGTCACGAAAGTTTGCCGACACAGTTACTCCTTGCGCAAAAGAGGTCTCGGGTCCAGGCCGCAAGAACGCCGCCGAATGGCTCAGGACCGCTTTCCACGACATGTCGACCGGCAACGTTTTCTCGGGAGCTGGAGGACTGGACGCTTCTCTGCAGTATGAACTAGGACCTTCGAGTGAAAACACAGGACCTGGTTTCGCGACTACCATGACTTTCATGGCTCCCTACCTGACCCGGAAGAGCAGCATGTCCGACTTGATTGCTCTCGGAGTGTACACGTCAGTAATATCATGTGGTGGACCCTCCATCAACTTTCAATCTGGCCGGGTAGACGCAACCTTCAAGAACAACCCGGGAGTGCCTCAGCCCGGAGAAGTCATTCAGGTTTTCCGGAACAAATTCGCGCGTGTGGGCTTCTCGCCCCAAGAGATGATTCAAGCAACAGCGTGCGGCCATACCATCGGTGGTGTTCACTCTTCTGAGAACTCCGATATTGTGCCCGCAGGGCAATTCACAAACGACGTCGCCACCTTCGATTCAACCGATGCCGTATTCGACCCCAAGGTCGTCACCGAGTATCTCGGTGGTTCAACGCGGAACCCTCTTGTTGTTGTACCCGGAACGTCCAAATTGAAGAACTCCGACTTCAGGGTCTACAATTCCGACGGTAATGCGACCGTCAGCGCCATGACGGATCCCTCGGTCTTCAGCTCCACATGCAAGACCGTCTTCGAGAAGATGATCAACGTCGTGCCGTCTGGCGTTACGCTCGGCGACGCTATAAAACCCTACCAGGTCAAGCCAGTTCAGATGCAACTCTCCCTCCAGACGGTGTCGACTATGTTGATTTCAGGTTACATTCGTGTACGAACTACCAACCTGCCCCTCGGGAACATTGCCGGCCTTACTATCAACTACAAGAACCGAAACGGTGGCACTACATGCGGGTCTTCCAACTGCGCCTTCAATATCTCTCTTTCGGGGGTTTCCAAGGGCTTCGAAGATTCCTTCGCTTGGTTTCCCATTGGACAGCCGGATCTTGTCACGATCCCGGTCAGCTCTGGTATTTCATCTTTCACTGTCACCATCAATATGAAAGACGGGTCCAGCACGGTATATGACAACAACCGCAACGGGTATCCCATGCAAGACGGCATCTTTCTTTTGACGGACCAGAGTTGCCTGAACCAGTACACCGGAGATGCTACCTTTATTGCCGCCGTCCGTAACGACAGGACGTCTCTTCCTGTCAACGTCAACATTTGGTACAAGACGAAACAGACCACCAGCGTTGTGCCTCTGTTAAGCAACATGACTCTCGCCATGACCAAGGGAGATTGCAAAGGAGGCTACACCTTCTACTCCGTGACGACGAATATCCCGGGCGGTCTCAGCGTGGAATCGACCCTGGATCTCGCCAGCGGGGATATGGTCGACTCGTTCAAGAAAGCCAACATTATCGGCGGAAATTGCCAAGCCTGGTCTGGCGGCAGCACTTGCAGCAGCATTACCGTTTCCCCATCCACTACATCCTCAAGTGCGGCTCCGACGGCGACGCTTCGCCATCGCGATACCATGGGTGGATACAAGCTTGTGTCCTGTTGGACGGAGGCTTCAAACGGACGTGCTCTCAAGGGCGCCGCGTTTGCTTACGACGGAATGACTCTTGAGAGCTGCATGGGCAACTGCACAGGTTTCGACTACTGGGGCACTGAATACGGACGAGAATGCTACTGTGGCAACTCTTTAGACCCTTCCAGCACTTCGGCACCTTTGGGCGATTGCAGCTTTGCGTGCTCTGGAGACTCGACAGAGTACTGTGGTGCGGGCAATCGAATCGAACTATACTCGACTACCGCCACTCGTTCGAGCACATCGACTCCTGCGCCAACTGCCACTCTGGCCCATACTCCCACCATTGGCCAATACTCTCTCGTGGGTTGTCAGACAGAGGCGACCAACAATGGCCGCGCTCTGCAGGCCGCTCAGTCAGCGTCCGATGACATGACTCTGGAGAAATGCGCCACGTTCTGCTCTGGATACACGTACTTTGGCACTGAGTACGGTCGTGAATGTAGGTTTTTGTCGTCTTCCTTGTAATATGGCTACTGACATGCGCATAGGCTACTGTGGAAACACCATTCAAGATACCAGCAAGCCTGCTCCCATTACCGAGTGCACTATGAAGTGCGCCGGTAACCCATATCAGTACTGCGGTGATGGAAACCGTCTTGAGCTGTACAAGCTTGGAAGCGCCTCAACAACGTCACTCTCCTCAACTGCTTCGGCAACCACAACCTCCTCAGATGGCGGGTCTTCCGTTTCTACTGGGTCTTCGATCTCTGCTAGCAGCTCTGTTTCTCCTTCGAGCACCAGCACACCTTCGACTAGCAGTTTGTCAGCCTCTTCCACCGGCTCATCAACTGTTCCGTCATCAACTTTCAGTACCGTGATCTCGTCGAGCAGCGTATCCCCGTCGTCGACCTTCACGGCACAGGCTGTTTCGAGTAGTTCGGCTTCTACGAGCATCTCGCTGTCTTCAAGCTCCTCCGCCCTGACGTCAATTAGTAGCACAACATCTTCAAGTGCCAGTATTGTGCCCTCTAGCACTACTCCAGTTGCGAGCAGCCAGACTAGCATCTCTGCAGTGTCATCAAGCAGCAGTGTCGTCCCCAGCACGACGACTTCAAGCGTCACCTCCACTATCCAAACTCTTGCGAACAAGCCAACTGTCGCGGCATACAACTTGACGGGTTGCTGGACAGAAGGCAATGGAGTTCGCGCACTGAGTCAGAAGAGTTACTCTTCCCACGACAACATGACACTCGAGTATTGCGCAGCCTTCTGCTCAGACTACAAGTACTTCGGAACGGAGTATAGCGGCGAGTGCTATTGCGGCAATTTCCTCGCTTCTTCCAGTGCAGCTGCCCCTCTGTCCGACTGCAACATGGCTTGCTCAGGAAACCAGTTCGAGTACTGCGGTGGCGGCAGCAGGCTCACATTGTATTCAAACAACCTGAAGTTGGTTGATCCTACACAGCCGCCTACCGCAGGAGTGTACACGTTCCTCGGTTGTCGTACAGAGCCAGCTCAAGGCGGACGTGCCTTGGGACTCAAGTCGACGGCTTCGGACAAGATGTCGAACGACGTCTGCGCAGATTTCTGCAGCGGGTATACCTACTTCGGTACAGAGTACAGCGGCGAATGCTATTGCGGTAACACGCTGCCAGATACGTCTCTCGTGGCGCCAAACAGCGACTGCAACATGGTCTGCTCAGGAAATAGCACTCAGTTCTGTGGCAGCGGCAACCGTTTGTCGGTGTACAAGAAGTGATGGGAGAGGCGTGTTTCATCCTCATGTGGAAGTTGACGAGTTACGGCATTTAATAATAAAGATAGCGGAGAGAGATTCATGGATGATACCTTTCGAAGTTTAATACATCGTTTCAAATAGTAGTCTCGTCGTAAGGCCAACCAACTGGTGATCTTCCACAGCACAGAAGTACCAACTATTGTTGCAGTTACATGAGGGAATCAGCCTAAAGACTTGCCCGTCGTTCTGTCTAGATCACACGGCTCTTGGCCGACTTTCGCCACACGGCGAAATCAAGTCACACTATTCTCAAGGTCGTTCTTGTTTCGTCTGCCCCAGGTTCACCTGGATCTCGCCAACGGCACTCGGAAACACGTTTTCCATTCGATGACCGAATCAAACGAGAGAAGACTAGTTGCTTTCATTCAATCCCCGGGTTCAAAAGGCCGTTCTGCAGTGAGATCCCCGGGGATACCGGGCCGAACCCCACACTCACCCGTCTGACGGCCCCCAGGCCGATCGACGTCCTCCGATAACATCGGGAAGGCGTTCCCCGGGGCCTGCATATAAATATCATCAGAATCACTGCTTTCACAATCTATTTTGGCCCAAGACCTCGAGAGCAGAATTCACCATGAAAAATGTCATCCACCCAGGTCATCTCAGCAGAGGGTGCGGCACAACGCTCGCAACCCCCCGAAACGCATGAGCTCCGGGACCTGAGCCAGAAGCCGTCGCCTACAGATCATGCGTCGCCGCAGGCCGAGGCCCCCGAGTCAAACACGAAAACGCCGGTGTTGAAGATCGTCGTGAGCGGGTACTCGTTCTTCATCTCGGGCGTCAACGACGGGACTCTGGGTCCTCTGATACCCTACATTCTCAAAGGTTTTCGCGTGGGCACGGGAGAGATCGCCATCATGTATTACACATTTCTCTAGTGTTCAACAAAGACGTCAGTTTGAACTGATGATACTCGCGTAGGTACGGCTGCACCTTCGCGGGCTGGGCCCTCGCCGCGGTCCTCAACCCCATCTTCGCAAAGTACTCCCCCCTCGGCTTCATCCTCGCCACCGGCGCCCTCTTCCAGCTCGCCTCCCACTGCATGAGGCCCTGGGGCCCGTTCCCCCTGTACTGCGTCTCCTTCTTCGTGCAGGCCGTCGGCATGGCGCTGCAGGACTCGCACTCGAATACCTTCGTCAGCGGCCTCGGGCTCGCACACAGGTGGCTCGGGTTCATCCACGCCAGCTACGCCGCTGGGCTCCTCGTCGGTGAGAAATGAGCTGGAACCTCTACTTTTCCTACGGCAGCGACTGACTGAGTTTGCAGGCCCTCTAGTTGCGACGGCCATCGCCTCCAAGGGCGGCATGACAGGGGGCGTGGAGAGCTGGAGGGCCGTGTTCTTCGCTCTCATCGGCATCGCGTTCGTGAATGTGGTCGGTGTGCTCGTGGGCTTCAGAGACTCGCTGTGGCAGCGTGGCATGCACAAGAGGAGCAATGATCCCGGCAACAGCGGGAGAAGCAGAGCCGCCATTGAGGAGTTGAAGCAGACTGTCAAGTCCAAGGCCCTCTGGCTTCTTTCCTTGGCGTACTTTCTTCAACTCGGAGCCATCTTCACCGCCGGAGGTACGTCCACTTCACACACACACAACTCCCCCTTTTCCCAAGACAACGTACTCTCCCTCCCACACGGCCATCGCTCACCAGGATCCCCCAAACCAGGCTGGGTCGTCGAATACCTCACCACCGTCCGCGGAGGCGACCTCTCCAAGATGGGCTACGTCCCGACGGGCTTCTACGGCGGGATCCTCCTCGGCCGCCTCCTCCTCGCCGAGCCCACCCACCGCCTCGGCGAGCAGCGCATGGTCCTGCTCTACACGGTCCTCCTCCTGGCGCTGCAGCTCGTCTTCTGGCTCGTCCGCGACACGGCGGGCTCGGCCACGGCGCTGGGCCTGATGGGCTTCGTCTCGGGCCCCTTCTTCCCGGCGGGCGTCGCCGTCGCGAGCAAGCTGTTCCCGCGCAAGATCCGGCCCGCGGCGCTGGGGTTCGTGTTCGTGCTCGCGCAGGCGGGGGGTACGTTCTTCCCCTCGATCACGGGGGTGATTGCGGCGCAGAGGGACGGGGTCGAGGTCCTGCAGCCCGTCGTTACGGGGTTGATTGTTGCGAGTGGGATTTGTTGGGCTTTTGTGCCGAGGGTTCCCAAGGGGCCGAATCGAGATGAGTGAGGAGGAGGGTTTTGAGCCGTGGTGTAGTTTTGGAGCTCGGGGTATTTAAGAGTGAGTTCCCTTTCTGTGCCACGGTCTGGGCGAGATGGCTGAATGTTTCCATGCTTCGATTGTGAGGGTAAACGGTTGTGAGAGGCTCAAGGAATTTATTCATCATTGAGTGAACGAGACTGTTCTTCTTTCCAGCAACAGCCACGCGTTACTTTCTGAGAACGACGTGCCTGGTGATTAAGGCGGGTTGCCTGCAGTTTGCCTATTTACTCGTTCCCATCAACATAGCCCGTTGAAACCCAATCTCAATCAGGTTTTCTTGATGATACCCGACTCCATGAACTCTCCTATCAGGAGCTTCTCACAAAATATTTACGTTGGGAGGAAGCGGAGGTGTCACTCTCAAACGTTTTTGTCGACCTGCGTAGCCTCCTTTGGAAATACACCTGCGTTGTCTCCGGGCTTTCGGGTGAGGAGACAGACTCACTCGTTGGACATCAAAACCCTCCCGTATGCTCATCGCGCAAAATAACCAAAGCCAACAAAGGCGCGATTGCGAGACTGTCTGCTAGATGTCCATTGATCCGTAATTCAACAACACGCCACAACACTCTCTCGACACTAAGGTACGTCTGGATTCCCGCGGGCTTCTCAACGCACTTACACGACGCATGCCCATGCCGCCTGTGTGTTGCCTCTTCACGGCGAAGACGATCTACAAGGGACGGGAACCGGTACAATACACGGATTGTCGTCCCTCAACGCATCAGCATGGCATCGCGAAGCGTGTGGCAGGGCTGTAGCAGCGTCATGCGTGGTCCTTTGCTGGGCGGGGGACTCGGGATCGCCCAGCCACAAGTCGACCAAGTCTTAGAACAAGCCGACTCTCTTCAGATTATTCCTTCGTCGCCAGCAACTTCCGGTCTCGCAATTCCCTCAAGGTGACGGGTATCCTCACCCTGATGACTTGGGGATTGATGTTGCTGCGGCGAAACAATGCGCCGACGTCCGCGAGCTCTCGGGGCGGGATTCCAGAACAGAGGTAGAGATAACATGAATCAAACAACATGGCGTGTCTTCACTGCATTGCACAAACTCTCATCCCTCGTCGCCAGCCGCGGACGAATTCAATACATAGAGTTAAAGGGCAACACTTGCGATAAGGCAATAGTATCCGCGGGCCTGGGCACGGTTGAACGTTGGACTTGGACCTGATAAGTCCGCGTGAGGTGAGGCTTTTTAACTGAACGGCATCCATCGCCAATTTGACGACTTATCCAGCAAGTCCGTCACATCGCACCGAGTCACTAGAGCACAAACATCACAGGAGAGAATATGAAGCACCTCGTCCTCGTCGGGGCATGCTACCTCGACACGATCCTAAGGCATGCGCCCCGTTTCGCGACGCAGTGTTCACAGTCACGGCAGCTAACCCGCCCGTCCCAGCATCCCGCACTTCCCCGACGAAGACGCGAAGCTTAGAGCATCAAGCCTGCGCGTCCGACGAGGAGGGAACTGCCCCAATACGATCGAGGTCCTCCAACAATTTCTCAACCGCCGCCATTTACCCGGATCCTCGAGAGATGCTCCGCCGCCGCCAAAGGTACACCTCATCTCACCACTGCCGGAGCGCCAATCACAGGCAACAGCGCAGATCATGGCCTCGTTCCCCTCGAGCCGAGACCCCTCGCCCGCGGCGCGTGTCGACTTCGACCACTGCCTCTTCCGCGCGGGCCACGAGGCACCGGCGAGCTGCTATATCCTGTGCAGCGAGGCGACGGGTAGCAGGACGATCGTCAACCACAATGACCTTCCGGAGATGACACCCGAGGAGTTTCTGGGCATCGCGGGGGCGTTCCGCAGGAAGGGAAAGTCGTGGTGGCACTTTGAAGGGAGAATTCCCGAGACGACGCTGGAGTGCGTTCGGATCCTGAGGCGGGTGTTGGGCGACGACGTCACTGTCAGCGTCGAGGTCGAGAAGCCAGGGCGGCCGGGTCTGAGGGAACTTGCTGCTGAGGCGGATGTTGTCTTTTATTCCAAGAGCTGGGCTGAGGTGGGAAAGGACTCTTCGTCGGCGTCGTTGGGGATCTGTCAGAAAGGCTGACGACACGTAGGACTGCGGCTACACTTCTGCCGAAGAATGTCTGCGAACGGAGAAGCTACCGCGAGCGTGAGTCGGCATGCCATGGGTCGGATGTCATCGCTGACTGTAGCTGCACAGCTCTCTGGCCATGATTACCTGGGGTGCTCGAGGAGCATCATGCTTTTCACCCAAGGACCAGCGATACATTGAGAGTTCTGTGAAAACCCCCGTCGAAGAGGTGGTAGAGTGAGTCGTTCGTCTCCAGGGCGTCAGGAGTGCCTGCACACTCCTCATCATGAATCGTGGCTTCTGCGGAACTGACGACGACCTTCTAGTTCCGTGGGTGCCGGAGACACATTCTTCGCGGGCATGCTCTACGGCCTGACGTGCCAGACCGACCATTGGGACCTGGGCCAGAAACTCGACTTCGCAGTTGACCTGGCCACGCTCAAGGTTCAGCGAGAGGGGTTCGGTGGGCTTGGAGAGGACATGCAAAGTCGTGTTGACGGTGGGCCGCCCGTATCGGGTCAGACCAGGCGTTGAGATTCAGTTCGTGTGCCGCCGCGGCTGCTCCGGGACCTTTGCCCCGATGCCGTAGATGGTGCGCTTCGGCCGTGGGCTGGGAACGGATTTGTGGTGGATCGAAGTGTCCCGCAATCGTCAGGATTCGGCCATCTGCAGAACAGCATGGCAGCGAGCCGAAGCCTGTCCGCCAGCGGACCGATGGGACTGCCTCGTCGGCGGTCGCGCCCGTTGCGTACTCAGCCAGTGGGGAAAAAGAGGCGGTGTGTTCACGGTGGTGGTGGTGGTGGTGGTGGTCGATGGGTGGTTTGGCAAGCGAGAAGGAGGATGAGGAGGAGTGAGGTACGCTGTTCCGGGCTAAAGCGGGCAGGTTGTTTTGTCCGAAGAAAAAGTTACACGAAGCGTCCGCTCAGGTCACATCCATTTGTCGTTATGTGCCCCGTCTTCATGCTCATAGTGCTCCCCGCCGCATTCGAATGGACGTAAAAAGGGTGATAGGTCGGGCCACCCTGCATTGAATCGATGCAGGGTGGCGATGGCGCACCTCACATGGGCACAGTGGATGCGACGAGCAAGGCTGCATATGGCATGCAAAGACATGGCATCGACATTGAATTTGGAGAAAGCTGGAAGTGGTCGAAGTTTGAGTCGGGGCCGCAAGACCCATCTCCAGAAATGTGACGAGTGCACCAAGATAGTCAACGTCCCACGCATAGTCGCAGCTGTTCCTCTTCACGAAGTGTTAGATATAGCGCGTGGATCAATTTCTCAAAATCGCGCTGAGAAGATGCAGATCATCCAAGCTGGATGCAGAAGGTGTCGAATTCCGCACTGGAGTCGGTTTCTTGAGAGCGGATATCTTGTCCAAAGAAAAGGGGGCGGTGACGGGGTATCGAGTGAGAGTGAGTATGAGTAGGTAGTAGACGGAGTCTTCGGATACAGAACTAGGCCGGCTCAGTGTCTCTGTGAAACCTACCTAGCGACAGGACTTACTGGAGAGCGCTCGAAAATCGCTTGGCCCAATTGGTCTTGCGGTGACTCGAAACTCGAACAAGCCTTCTTCGTCAAGCGGCCTCGCCATGTCAAGTAAGTGTGGTGGAGCTGGGTCTTGAATCTCCTTTGATTGTTGTTCTCCATAAATCCTTGCCACTCGACTTGTTTTGCTCCTGGGAATGGGAAAGGAATCGGGAAAACGGCTCACTGCCACGGGCGTTCCATTCGTGTTGCAATCGACGATGAAGCTGCTGCACTGGTCGGCCCCCAGATTCTTCTGCTGTCCGATGAAATCAAGGCGTTGCCGAAAAGCTGCACACCGGTGCTCATCTGCTAACATGCTTGTCTGCAAGGGGGTAGTCTGAGGAGAAAGATAATCCCCAATACTTACTGCGGCATATTGATACCGCACCGCAGCTGGAGTGGACCAGTCTTAGCTGGACGAGTTGAGTCGTTCCTTGACATCTACACTGCGGCATTAGGGTTAAGGAGTGCTGCAGGTCGTGATAGCTGAGTCGTGATAGCCAAACCTTACGCTGTAGCCGAGCCTTCGTTGGCTAACACGTCCAGAGCTTGCCTCAACGAAAGCACGCAGGGCGACGATGTCCGGCAGAGTGAACCACCCAGGGAACGGATGGCTCATGGCTCTTACACCACCAATGCAGGCGAACACAGCAGGAATGGCAGAATGCCCAGTGAGCAATACGGGTACTTTGCGGATGATCGTCTGCGAGGAGGCTTCGTGTACAAGCCACGACTACGAGATCCAAGAAAGCCAGCTTTGCTGACGGTTCGGGTGACGGTTTGTTGTTGCGTTGCGTCGCGTTGCGTCGCTGGAAATTGGTTGCACCCAGTTGCTGCCCCTGACGCAAGTAAGCAGACGGATGTGTGGTAATTAGACCAGCGTCAGGAGCAAAGCAGTGCCTGTCCTGTTTGCGGTGGCGATGAGAGAACTCATTAACGAGACCGATGCCGTGCAGTGAATCATCCGCAGCCCTGTGGCAACGGAGCACGCGGACAGGTTTCCGGCAAGGGCATGTTGATCGTAAGCCAGCGCTTGGCGAGGAGGTGACGACGACGCGGAGGCGTGTTAATGTGCGCCGTCAGACTTCTGCAGGGTCAGAGACAGCAGAACGAGTCATCAATCTGAGGTCGCCGTGTGACCGCATGGGTAGGACAAGACGGACGAGCAGCGGGATGCTCACGCCTTGCAGGTTATTCTGGAGACGCGTGGAAAAAGACTTCGGCGTGGGCATCCATCCATCCAGACCACGAAGTAACCGACCGAGGTGATTTGTACTTGGAGGAAGAATATCGTTTGCAGGGTTCGCAAGATGAGCGACGTCCTCTCAGCTGGGCAATGACAGAGTCCCCCGGCCCGCTGTTTGGAAAGGGAAAAAAAAGCAACCAAGCCAGTGGAATGCAACGGCGCCCGTCCGTAGAAGGCGGCTTCCAAGGTTGTCCTTACCTTGGGCAATAAATTGTGAGTGGACTGCGCGGTTGAAAGAGTCTCGAATCGAATTGATTGTGATACAACGAAAGGCGGGCCGACGGAGTAGGAAGGCGGTAGCAGAGGACAAGTCGTCTGGAGGGTACCGCTTTTACCTCGTGTAACGAAAGAGTTGCATCCGCAACCAGAGCGTCATATCAACCACCCACTGTCTCGTGGAACAGGCGACAAGCTGCACTAAAGTCCAAAGGTAGTTGACGGTGTGCTTATTGTTTGGGAGGAGGGAGAGGAGGGGTGAAAAGGCCACGCTCCCCAGGGGCGTGAACCACAAAGCCGAGCCAGCGAGAACGAGACGACTCGAACGACGGAAAGTTGCACTGAGCAGGTAGCGGTCGTGGTAGCCGTGGTGTAGCCGTCAACCCCAGAGCCTGACGAGGATGCGAGGATTGGCGTCGAGAGGCACCGTAAAAGGCCTAGGGAAAACCAAAATTCCCCTTTGCTTTCGCTGTCCTGCCTCATCGACGTTGCGCCCACACACCCCCTCGCCTCATCTCCCGTCACCCCTCTCCCTGGAGGCTCTTGGCTCGTTCCGCTCCCACCCCCTTTGCAGTTGCACCCTTCGCTCGCTGAGATCGGTGGAGGGCCACCGCCATCGCCGTGCCGAGTCTGCGGTCTGCGGTCTGCGGTCTGAGGTCTGAGGTTTGCGCTGTTCTGCTTTGCCTGCAGTCATCCCGTCGCCCGTTGACTTTTGTTTGCTGGGGCAGGAGTACCTAGTAGTGCCTCAGCCAGCCAAGGGGGTCTGGTGCCGTGCTTCCACGATTGGCCGGAGTACCTGATGTACATCTGACTAGCCTTGCTTGGTATGATTTTTTTCATCTTGCTTGTTGATGACTTTCGACGGGCGGGCGGGAGCCACATCTGCAAATAGACGTCGGTTCTGAACCCAAGGATCTATCATCGTGACTTGTCGCCCGTGAATATTGAAACCGTCCTTTTCTGGGACGAGTCATGATCTGCAGAGTGAGCATCTCCATATTCGACCAAATTGCTCCTGCCGGTAGCCCTGAGATCAGGCCAATCTCCGTTGCGTTATATCCACGTCAGATCATGGCCGTAAGTTGGAGACTTGTGACATCCAGAATTTCGTGAGCTGGCTGTGCTTCTCATGCTTGTGTCGTCGTGAACAAGTAAGGGAGCCATACGCCACACTTTGTGCCTACGAGCAGTGGATGCTCCGGTGCGACATGCAAATCGGAGGGCGAGAAACGCTGCGAAAACCTCGAAGAACCGTGAGACGATGTTGACGAACAACAAAACGGGAGAGCGCCGGCAGAGTGTCATGATCCTAGCCCACCTCGAATAACGTCTCGATTGCCAGCTTCCGGCTACAGCGGTAAGCAGCCGCTAACAGGGATGAAAGGGTGTTGGGCCCATGGCACTGGTTGAAGAGTGGCACCGCCGGATACTTTCTCTTTTTCCTTCTTCTTTTTTTTTCGTCTCCCCCTGGCCCACTGAGCCATGCCAACGCTAAAAGTGATGTCTCTCCCCTCGCAACCAGGGGTCTCATCATCTCCGAGCCAATCCCTGACATCTCAGCACGTTGGATTATCTGGGGCTGGGGCTGGAGCAAGGGTTGGGATCCGAGGTTGTTGGCGACAAGCCATGGCCATGTCACGGCCCTGTGTCTTGCAATCTGTGCTTGTACCCGCACCCAATCGGACTAGACGAAGGTATCGAGTAAGAGAGATCGTCACAAGAGGCTGCAATTGCCGTCTCGTCATGTCCATGGCTCGTCTGTCCAGGTCCCTTCCCCCAGTATGGGGACGAGACATGAACATGACGACCAAGTCGGCCCCTTTGCCCTTTGGCACTCTCAAGACCAGACATTCGAGAAATGATACGCGGCAGATCTGCAGTAGCTGTTCTGTTCCCCTCGCGTAGCTCTCATTGTCAGGTTTACCTATCATTGTCGGGTTCGAAGAACGTTGCATCGTCCGAGATGCGAGGTTGCGAGAGTATTGTTGAGATACGAATAGTGTAGATGCTTCTGTCAAGTCCTTGCATCCATGCAGGGCGGCCAGTGAGCCGGTACTGGATCTTTGAATGGCCCGCGCGTGAACAGCCAGTAGATCATCGGCGGAACTAAAGTTGATTGGGCACCTTGGACGGGCTTGGAAGCGGAAGTTGACGCTGAACTCCTCGGTGGTAATCCCTGCCATGTTTCATTCCCATCTCTTGCGCGCCATAGGACGGACACCTGTTAGCCTTCGCCTCGTTGGTTAGAATGCGCCTGAGATCCTGGACGAGTTCGAGCCTGGCTAGCCGGCCATGACAGCATGCGCATTAAAGTGATTTTGTCGGTTGGCCCCGGTTTCACCGAAGCCCTGACGTTGCTGCCCTTGCCTCTAGTTTTCCGTCCAGGAGTGCCAGGCAAGGAACACCATCTGTATCCGTACACCCTTATTCACAAACGGCCGACTGTTGCCTTCGACTTTATTTAGCCTGCGCTGGTTATCTGATCCGGCAGGACCTGGGCAACTGGGCACGTACAAGGTGGCTTGCTGGCTTTGAAGACGTC